CAGCCGCAACCATTCGCGAACATCGTGGGAGCCATATTGGAGTACCAGCCACGATTCCTTGCGCCTCATGTTGGCAAGGACACGCATGACCAAGCATCCAAGCAGTTTCAAGATGCATTGCTTTACTACTCGGATCTTCACGCCGGCACAACGCCTGCTACAGAAGGAGAAGTTGACGAAACGCAGGATCCATACAAAACGTTGAAACAGATTTTCATACAGTATGGTCAGGGCGACACGAGGAGTTCACAGAAGAGCACGACCAATGGCGACAGCACTGCCACTGCCACTGCACCTGATTCTAATCCTAATACCAGTGCGCCTGCCGCAACAGCACAGACTGCAAATCAGGCTTCTCCAAGCACGACTACGGCGGCCACTGTGAACACACAGTCCGCGCAGCCTGCGATGATATCGGCTAATGGCATGCCTGCAAGCCAAACAAACTCGCAGGCACCGCCGCAGCAGGGCCAGTTGCCTGCTGCGAATGCAAATTTCGCAACACAGCAGCCACACCAGGCAGTCCCACTACCAGCTTCAAATTCTGCTGCGCCCAACTTGAACTCATATCCTACGGCAGCGACCTCAATGACCGGGCCGCCACAGTTCTCCCATCCTGCCCCGCCTGCACATAGCCGACCACCAAGTGGAACGCAGGCAATGTATCAGCCGACTCCTGCAAGCGCGCCTCCATCGGGCCAGCCGCCTATTGCACCGACGCAACAGCCCGTTCCTGCCGCCCAGATTCAGCCCGTTCCTGCAGCATCGCAGCATCAAGCTGGGCAGCCTAATGGGATCGCGCAATTCCCACCACGACCAGAGCTTGGGACTCAGACCCCGGTGGCAGCAAGTCAACTCCCTTCAAATCCAGTAGTGAGCGAGCAAAGCGCTTCACAGCCTGAGGGGAGCCAGAGGATATCCAGTCCAGTGGTCCTTCCAAACATGGCAGCTACATATGTACAGCAACCACCGCAATTGCCCCAGACAAATCCTGTCAGTGCAGAGCAGTCGACTACAGCTGCTCTCCACCCAGCGACAGCAGCGGCCATGGGCGCAACTCCCGCAACTGCTGATAGTTCAACCCATGCAGGCATGGGGACTGGTGCAGGGACGCAACCTCATAACCCACTCGAGTCGAATGTATCTTCAGTCGCGCGCTCGACTGATCTACAACCTCCTTCACCTGGCGTCAAACGACCAGCTGAAGAGGTTGATGCCGATCCCGAGGCGAAGCGACAAAAGACCACACACGAGTCCGGTGCTGGTGCAGTCGCTGATGTTCGGCCTGTTTCAGCAGGCGTGAAGCGTCAAGCCGAGGACACAGCTGGTGATCATGAGGCAAAGCGACTCAAAGGGACAAATGAGCAAGGGCCTGGTGCACCTGCACCCTAGGTGAATGTTGGGGACACAAAAGTGCGCGTCGAAGAGTTTTTGCCGACGCAGTCTTGGAATCGTGTTATTTGTGTTTTTCATCCTTCTTATGTGTATAAGATTTAGAGCGTTCTAGCGAGCGAGGCGTTGGGGTTATATTGGTCAGTACATGAATCAACGAATGAATGCCTCTGCCATACCTAGAATCCAGCATAAGTACACATACACATTTGTTCCGCAAACATAGGATGTACTGATTGAGTGCCGCGCCGCGTACGCCTCGGAAAGATATGAACATTCGCAGAACGTGTGTCTGTGCCGCGTTGTTCACCTGAGTCTGGACAACACAGCAGAGCCTTCTCAAGCGAGATTTTCAATGATCTCGAACCTGACAACCCTTTACCCCTGAGAGCTCGCCTGATACATGCCGTCACATGTCTCACTTGACACAAATGCACAATGACAGATGAGTGCAGAGCCATCTAATTATGCATGAATCTCATATTTTAGTCAACGCCCACGTCACAGCCACGCGGTGCCGCTACTGTGCGTGCGGATAAGTATTGCGAGGGTAAGCTAAGAAGAGTTCGCGTGGACCCGTACCATGATCACTTTGCCGGAGTCAAGAGACCCTTTGATGGCGTCGAATGTTGGTAGAACCGAGACATTCTTGAATCGTTCGGTACACGCTTGGCGATTACTAGCGATCAGATAGTCAGGGGAATTGAGACATTCGCGAATGTTCTTGACATGAGGTTGTTTGGTATCGTTGAAACACGGCATGGCAGGACCATGTTGGTGGAATCTCCGCGGGGAATTCTTTTGTCGGTTGATGGCGTTGTCGGGGTCCCTAGTGGGTTGCGGTGCTTGTCGTCTAGACCTTGTGCATGAAGGCAAAACGAGAGGGTAGGCGTGATGCCATGAGAGCCCTCCATCTGGTCTTGGTGTGAGCATGGTTGAGCGAGAGCGCGCCCCTCCATCGCGATGTTAGCTTTGCCTTGTACTGTGGTTAATAGATGAACAGCAATCAATGGGACAGACGGGATGATAATTATACATGGTTGCTTGAAGTGCTGTGGTTATTTAGCTAGGAAGCTCTGGAATGCCTTGTTATCGATCGCAACGTTGCCAACGGCTCGCATCCTCCGTTTTCCTTCCTTCTGCTTCTCCAGTAATTTCCGCCTTCTGGACACATCAGCGGCATGTAGCTTCTGTAACACATCTTTCCTGAAAGGCTTGAGCGTCTCGCGTGCAACCACACGCTTGCCTGCTACAGCTTGAATGACCACTTCGAACATTTGTCGATCGACGTGCTCCTTGAACTTAGTCACCCATGCTTTGCCAAGCCTTTCGGCTTCAGAGTAGTGAATGACTCTGGCTACAGCATCGACCGGTACCTTGTTAACGTTCAATTGTAACTTGATAATATTGGACTTTCGGTATCCAGCATCTTCATAATCGAGTGATGCATATCCTTTGGTGGCCGATTTAAGCTTCCCGAAGAAGTCATCCACCAACCGTTCCAGGGGTAACAAATACTTGAGAATCACTTGCGTGGCAGTGAAAAACGTCAAAGACTGCTGCTCGCCGCGATTGGCCTCGCACAGTTTGATGATTTCTCCCAAGTACTCTTGCGGAAACGTAATTGTGGCCTCGACATACGGCTCCTGCAACTCAGCGACAGTCTGATGAACCTGCTGATTCTCAGGGAAGTCATTTGGATTTGTGATGATTTCTTCCTTGCCATCCTTGCGTATCACTTTGAAGGGCACGGAAGGTGGGGTGATGATAATGTTGGCGCCATGCTCCTGCCTCAGACGATCTTCGAAGACAGAGCAGTGAAGCGTGCCCAGAAAGCCTAAGCGCCAGCCCGCGCCCAAAGCTTCACTACTCTCCTTCATGACTGTCACGGATCGATCGTTGAGCGTGACCTGGTTGATGCTGTCCTCAAGATGGGTGTAGTCTCCTTGATCGGTGGGGAAGGCAGCAACGAACACCATGGGCTTTGGCTCAACAAACCCCGGCAAAGGCTTGACGACGTCCCAGTTCTTGTAGGCTACAGTCGTGTATGTGTCACCAATTTTGGCCTCTTTGCTGCGTTTCATGCCTGGGTTCATGTAGATGTATCCGAGCTGACCTGCTCGCAAGCACTTCTGTGGTAGTTCGAGCGGATACATGATGCCGACCTCACCTGCAATGTACTCGAGCCCGGTGACATAGGACACCAATCGATCGCCGGCTTTGACCTTGCCTTCGAATATCCGGACGAGCAGAATCACACCTTTGTAGTTGTCGTACCAGCTGTCCACGAGAAGCATCTTGAGGGGGCCATTCTCGTCTCCGACCGGCGCTGGGATTTGTTCCACAATTTGAGGCAACAACTGGGCAACATTCAGACCTGTCTTCGCAGACACCATAGCAGCATTGGAAGAATCGATCTCAAAAGTGTCCTGAAGCTGCTCGATAGTTCGCTGCGTATCTGCTGTTGGCAAATCGACCTTGTTGAGCACCGGAACTAGTGTCAAGTCCTGTGCAAAGGCAAGATAGAAGTTGGCTACGGTCTGTGCCTGAATGCCCTGCGAAGCATCGACCAGTAGCAGTGCTCCACCACAACTGGCGTAGCTGCGACTGACTTCCGCCCTGAAGTCTACGTGGCCAGGTGTGTCGACAAGATGCAGAAGGTAGTCTTCACCGTTGTGGTTGTATACCATCGAGCATGTCTGCGCCTTGACAGTGATGCCTCGCTCTCTTTCCACATCCAATTTGTCTAGAATCTGCTTGTTGCCGCCGGGAGGAATGGTATTCGTGAGCTCCAGCAGCCGATCGCTAAGCGTGCTCTTGCCATGATCAACGTGAGCGACGATGCAGAAGTTGCGGAAGCGCTCAATGGGAATCTTCGAGATGCGCTGTTCGACGACGGTGGGATCGTGAATGGAGCTGGCGGCCAATCGAGCTGTGCAGCTCAATGACCTCCACTGGCCATTGAGCGCCAGACGGGCTGCGAAGGTCGCATTGGGGGTGACGGACGACTGCCAGGAGCGGCAGAAGCCAGCTAGTCCTTTAGTCGCCAGGAAACATCGTCGCATGAGGGAGAATTGATGGCATTGGCAGTGCACGTCGTGTCTTCGCCAAAAGTCTGGAAGTCAAGTTCTTGGCGTCCTGTTGTCCCCCGCGACGACCAGATATAAACATCGAATGAACTTTGGGCGCCGGCATCAGCACACCAGCAGACAACATACCATTTAAAATGCCTTCAGCAACGAGAGAACCATCGACGAAGAAGTCGTCATCATCAAAGACCGCGGACGATGCGAAGACACACAAGCTGTCGCTAAAAGGCAGCTCAAAACTGGTGACGGAGTTCTTCGAGTACTCCATCAACACCATATTGTTCCAGCGCGGCGTCTATCCCGCTGAGGACTTCACAGCGTACGCGTGGTCAGAATTTCACGGAGATAGACAAGCTAATGGACTGTTAGGGTCAAGAAATATGGCCTGAACATGATGGTCACGCTCGATGACCAAGTCAAAGCATATATCAAGAAGATCATGTCGCAACTCAGCAAATGGATGCAGAAGTCCAAGATCTCAAAATTAGTCATCGTCATCACATCCAAGGAGACCGGCGAACACGTTGAGCGATGGCAGTTCGACGTCAACATCTTCAACGACGACAGCAAGAAGAAATCGCGCTCCTCCAGTGGCGACAAAGAGAATTCCGCACCGGCTGGATCCAGCGCCGAAGCGACACAGCCTGAGAAGACGGAAGCAGAGATTCAATCCGAGATTCAAGCACTGTTTCGTCAAATTACCGCATCTGTTTCCTTTCTGCCTATGCTTGACGGGAATTGCACATTCAACGTCCTAGTATACGCAGATGCAGATAGTGAGGTGCCGCTAGAGTGGGGAGATTCTGACGCGAAGGAGGTGAAGAATGCAGAGAAGGTCATGTTGAGAAGTTTCTCAACGCAAAATCACAGAGTGGATACTGTGGTCTCGTACAGGTATGTTGCGCTATGGAATATCAAAGAGGCGCTATGGTCTCGGCGGATGACAATGCTGGCCGTGTACGCCGCTGACATGTAGCAGGCTTGCCGACTGAGTCAATGGCTCTCACCTTTCACACTGTGCCGACGAAATTCTGGAATAATGAGATCGCATTGGAGATGTCGATCGTGGTGTTGGGAGCACGCACCAGTTGTGCGGTTGTGGCGTGGGAAGGCTTGAAATTCGCGGCTTGACGGTATGGCATGGAGCACAAGGCTCATGTTCACCTACGAGAAATTTCGTATCCTATGTGTATTTTGCGGCTTCTCAAACATTTGCTACCCACAATGAACAGTGCAGCGAGCCGTGGTTGAATCGGCTCCGGAGCTGGCTCCACATTTTGAGTTCCTTCAAGGTAGAAGCTGTAAGAGCACATTGCTGCTGCACGTGGCGATGGGTGCTGTAACACCCGACAAGCATCTGTCGGTCCTTCACTGCTTCGAACGTGTCGCCGAGCCGGTGGTATGTTGGGCCTGCAGTGCAGACTGGCGTTCACACTGCTTTATTTCCCAAAGGTAGTCTTACAGACATTTCACGCCGGGGACGCAGAAATTCAATAACGTGTGATGAGCCGTGCATTTACTCTGGAAGTCGCCGCTGGGCACAATCGCACAACGACATAACAGAGTAGCGCAAGGCTGCCGAGCTCCTGCACACGTGCATCGAGGATTAGGTCTGAAGATAGAGCGGCGTACTAGAGCTCGAAGCCTCTTACACTTCTCAGCAGTAAGTTCGATAGTAGATCCGGCTGAGACGGCGCGAATGCAAATCCATGCACGCAATCCGAATCCTTGGATCAACATGAGTCTGCACGTGCTATTTGAGATCGTTTGATATGTCTTTTGAAACCACTCATGTAGCCTGCGCTGGCGAAATCCGCATCCGCATCGAAAGGTTCTGAAAATGCTACTGCAGGAGAAGCACCACGCTCGTTGGCTGTTCGTGACCTGGCACGTGGGCACAATGCATGAGAAGCCCATTGAGAGCAACAGCCGATCAAGCACCGTTGCGTTCTCGTGGCAGTCACGCACCAGTTCCTGGAATGCAGCCCTCAGATACGCGCAGGGCCAACATGCTGCAAGGACGGCATGTTCCGCATCGAACTGCATTGTGTGGTGATATTGGTTGGAAAACACCAATGGGGCTCTGCGGGTCAATGCTGCGGCACTCCCAATGCCAATTGATCGTGCTTCCCAGCATCTCATGCTCAAGACGAATTGCACAATGTGCGTGGCAAAGCATTGTTCGCGCGTGGTGTGCTGCGCTTCAGTCTCTAGCTGCTGCACCCTACGGGTCTACCGGCAAATGCAAGCTTTGTTGACCTCTCTCGTGCTCGACCAGGTGGATGTGCATAGACTCAAGCCATCGCAATTCTCTTTCGTTGAGGTTCAGCGGGACGCTGATGAACTACAGACAGATGGTGTCCCCGCTGGCAGGTGGATGCTCAATCTAGGCTTGTAGACCAGCGGGCACTCGGTGCTGTACTCGCCTGTGTTCTGTTAGCATTGTCCGCAGTCTGCGGCTGTCCCAAGAGGCCGCCTGCGGTGACGAGAGTCCAACGACTCGGTACGCTCCGGGGAGCAGAAATTGAGGTGAAACTGGAGCACCGGCTCCTGGCATCTGGGACGTGGGAAACACGCGGTCCAGCTGTCTGGTCCCACGCCGAAGAAGCATTGTTGACGGTACCAGAGAAAGGGAGCACCGCTGGGATGGCCACCGTCCGAGACACGGCACCCGGCAGACAGATTCGCTCTCAGGAGCACGGCGTGGGCGTGGTGTGTCTCAGAGCAAAGTGTGGTACAGCGGGTGAGCTTGCCTGACGCCAACAGGGGAGGGGATCAACATGCTGGACCGCGACGTGCCGACGAGGCTTCCTGGTCGGTCCCACAAACCGCACTTCACTCTACTGCACGAGCTCCATTGCTGCTCGCCGAAGCTTTCGTATCGACGGCAGGACGACACGACGCAGTCCGCGACACTGGCCATACGAGCCTCCTGCGCCGCTCGAGCGTGCGCTGTTTCAAGAACACTCGGTGGAGCCACGCTGGCCTCTCGCCTCACGAATCGGCCTCCAGACTGCGCGGCCGCCTCTCACGCTGCGCCTGCAATCGCATTCACGATGCTAGGATTTCTTGGCCACACTCGTCGGTGAGACAGCTACTCGCATGGAGGTGGTTTGGACAAACCACATTGGGACGCACTGCATGCGGCATCTGGGCGATGTGCTGTCCAGCTTGCCATGGCTCGGCGTCTTTGAGAGGCGTTTAGGCTTTGGCTCGTTTTGGGAGCCGCTTCGCACCGCCTGGAGGTTGGCTGGCATGAGCAGCATACCAGGCTACCAGCCCGCTCGAAAAAGCACCACGCTGCTGCAGACTAAGCCAGAATGCGTCAAGGGCTGCTAGCGAATGCCCAAAGGGGCACGCAGCTCTGGAACGATGCCGCATGGAGACTGCCGATGATGCGCTGTGATAACACCATCGCGCCAAAACATGCACACAAAGCAATCTGGCGCCTGTAGAGAAGAGTGCGCTGAAATCAGCGGCGTGTCGTTGTGTGTGACATGCGTGCTACTGCACGAGTCCGATCATGATCGATACTCTCGCACAACCCACGATTGCAAACCATGTACACTGGCCGCCCAGCAGTGTGGTTGCATGATAGTGCCGGTGCATCTACCCGCTCCACCTGCGATTTGGCATCGGGCAGACACAGTTTGGCTCCGTTGTGATCACTTTGACGCCAGCTTTTGTGTTACCAGCACTGGTCAGAATGAAAATGTCATCATCACCCTGCTCGGTCGACGCCCTCGACCCAAGCGCGGAACATGAGATAGGAGCGATCTTCGGATGGACGGCTAGCAAGTGGATCTGATATTATTGCAAGCCGGGCCTACTACGCTCAACGCAACACATGCACTTGGCGTTGCAAGACGGCGCCATACCAATATAATGATGGACGATTGGCTTTCGGACTGCTAAACTCAACCACAGATCGAAGTTTAGCTGGTCTCTCGTGGCTGACCAGGTTCGGCCTAGCTCGAACGGCTTCGAGTAAGGTACGGGAAACTTTATACCGTACACACTGCCTAAAAGGGACTGGCGTACCTGGCGATGCCAAAAAGAGATCCTCATCACAAGCTCTGCAATGCGGAACATGGCTTGCTTCTCGACTCCCGCCTGCAACATGAACTTTCGGCAACGCTATCCGCTCGTGGCGCTGGCTTCTGCAGCGCAGGAGCAGTGCTCGGCGCCAGGTGCCCGGAAGGTTTCGTTCATCAACGGGCACGAAGCTGAGGGAATCAGTGCCACGGCCTTCATATACTGGGCTCGTGCCTCGTGCTATCCCTTTCACCCACCACCGACTTGCCAAGTTGTACATCGTTGCCGGGCATTGTGCCTACATACATTCGCTCATCTAATCCTGGCTGTCCACTGGGCACTACTGTTTCTTGTTCGGTCTTCCAACACCTGAACATTAAACGAGGCCGTGCTGCACCATAACCTCACTGGACCTGGGACGCGCGCTCATCGTGCGCGGGGTCTCTCCTTACGATGGGCCTTCTCTCCTACATGAAGCCCAAGAAGGGCACCGAAGAGGACAAACCAGAGACGGGAAAAGTCGAGACGACCGAGAAGCAATCAACCGATCAGAGCAGGGCCAGCACATCTGGACCGACACCCGGCAATGGCACTCCCGGATCTTGGTCAAGACCAGCTTCTCTATATCCTGCCAATGAGTACCGCAACTCGCAATCCGAGGACATTCACGAAATAAAATGTGACGTGATGGTCAACTGGCTGTACCAACAGCAAATGGAGCGTCTTTGGACTGCCGGTGGTATGGATGAAGGCGTGGTACTCAAGAAGTCCCGTGGTCAATACACATGCTGTCCCTCTGATATTGTGGAAGAGCCTTTTGGATTCTTCAAGGCCATTGAGACCTTGAACGTGAAGGTGAGCCGTAGCGTGTTTCCCAAATGCAACGCAATGCACCCTGCTGACATCCACACAGGTCGCCATGACTGTCAACACAAGAGTCATCAAACTCTTCCTTCACAACAACGACCGACCATACGTCCCGCTCAAAAACGGCCTGCGTCTGCAGGTACTTCCAGACATCTCGTATCTTCCGCGCTGCCAGAAGCATCAATTCGCGGCTTTCATTGCAGACCGAGGCCTGCTGGTGGTTTGGGATGATGAACCACGTCACTTGCTTGACCGCGCCCACAAGATTGAGAAGGCACTCATGGAGATGATTTGGGATGATACGTCCTCAATCGACGAGAAGAAGGAGGGCAGTGTTGCCGTTAACGAGGTCGACGGCGATTCCGATGGCAGCGACCTCGAGGCCAACGGACAGGAAAAGCCTCGCAACATCGTGCTGTGGCAAGCAATCCTCTGCGCCGTCACCTTGTGCATCACATTCGTTGCCATTGGTACAGGTTTCCAGGCGATCGCGGTTTCGACGATCATTGACAGCAACTACATCCGAATGGCTTTCGTGCTCGTCGTTCCATTGCAGTTCTGGCTGGGTCTGTTCTTCTTTCAATCGCTCGTCAACAACATTGCGCAGCTCATTGGCCCGATCTCGCAAATGTCCGCCAACACCAAGTTCTACTCTGGCCTGAAGCCGAAGCGGCTGCGACGTGGTGACGCCGCATTGCCGCATATCACCATTCAGATGCCTGTGTACAAGGAAGGCCTCCAGGCCGTCATCGAGCCCACCATCCGGTCGATCAAAGCTGCTATCTCCACGTACGAAATGCAAGGTGGTACTGCCAACATCTTCATCAATGATGATGGTATGCAGCTTATCAGCGAGGAAGATGCTCGCGCTCGCCAGGACTATTATGACGAGCACAACATTGGATGGGTGTCACGCCCTAAGCACAATCCCAAGCCGGCAGAAGGCGAAGAAGTATTCCTTCGACGTGGCAAGTTCAAGAAGGCTTCGAACATGAACTATGCGCTCTGGGTCAGCAATCGTGTCGAGGAAAAGCTTGCGGCCATTGAACGTCATCAAGGCTGGAACCAGGAAGATGAGGCCAACGCCTACCGCGATGCTCTGACAGAGGTTGTCGAAGAGGATGAAGGAAGAACTTGGGCCGATGGCAATATCCGCATGGGCGACTATATCCTTCTGATCGACTCAGACACTCGTGTTCCTGTCGACTGCTTCCTGGACGCTGCTTCGGAAATGGAACAATCGCCTCAGGTCGCTATCATCCAGTACTCCTCCGGCGTCATGAACGTCACCGACTCTTACTTTGAGCGTGGCATTACATTCTTTACCAATCTCATCTACACCGCTATTCGGTTTGCCGTCGCCAACGGCGACGTCGCGCCCTTTGTCGGCCACAATGCTATCCTCCGCTGGTCCGCCCTGCAGGCCATCGGCTACGAATGCTACTACGGCGACGAACGCGAGAAATTCTGGTCTGAGGATACCGTGTCCGAGGATTTCGATATGGCCCTCCGACTGCAGACTGCTGGTTACCTCGTACGTCTTGCCGCGTACCAAGGCGATGGATTCCAAGAGGGTGTGTCGCTGACGGTATACGACGAATTGGCGCGATGGGAGAAGTACGCTTATGGATGCTCCGAGCTTATCTTCCAGCCCTTCCGCTACTGGTTCACCCGTGGACCCTTCACCAAGCTCTTCCTCCGCTTCATCGCTTCTGGCATGCCACTTCCGTCGAAGCTCACAATTATGGCGTATGTCGGCACTTACTTCGCACTCGGATCCGCATGGGCCTTGACTTTCGCCAACTACTTCCTCACAGGTTGGTATAACGGCATGCTCGATCACTACTACGTCGACTCATTCAGGATCTATTTCGCTATCATCATTGTCTTCTCCGGTCTCGGAAACGTTTCTCTTGCGGTGCTCAGGTACCGCACAGGCGAGTGTGGACTCTTCCGCGCACTACTGGAAAACTTCTCCTGGGTGCCGCTACTCATGATTTTCTTGGGTGGCGTCTCGCTTCACGTCTCACAGGCTCTTCTATCGCACTTGTTCAGTATCGACATGACTTGGGGTGCCACGAGCAAGGAGGCCACCGACACTACCTTCTTCAAGGAAGTCCCGCACGTTATCAAAAAGTTCAAGGGAACTTTCATCTTCTGCTTTTTCTGCACTGCCATGATGATTGTCTTGGCGCAGTTCGCTCCTTACTTCTGGCAGATCACCGACTTCATCGCAATCTACCCACTCAGCAGCGTCGTTGTGGGGCATTTCCTATTACCTGTGGCTTTGAATCCAGGTCTGATGAGATTTACATGGTAAATCAATCTCCTTATACTTTTTTGTATTCATGTGTGCATTTTTGGCAAGCGAACAAGGTCCCTGGCTAGGGTAATAGAGATATAGCATTCTAACGGTATGACCAAAACGATGCAGGATATGCAGCTTTGAACCATTCATCCTGTCCAATTCCAAGCAGATCTTCTTGCGCCGCGTTCGTATTGACTTCTCCCATGACAAAAGCAAGACGCAACGTCGTTTTTCACGTTGTGCTTTTTATCGTGATCATCTCAACCAGACACCCTTCACGTACACATACAGATATCGATATGGCACTCTCCATTTTGTTACCGCTTTAGACTACAAGATGTGTTTGCAGGTCCAGAATTGCCATGTGGCCTGATCGGCGTGATCTTCGAGAGCTATTCCTGTAGACAATTCTGCACAATGCCGATCATGCTGTGCTACCTCGAGACACGCTTTTCTGTATCCTAGAACAATTTGGTGCACTCAATACTGCGTGAGGTACACATTGACAGCCTCTCTCGCCAGCATACAGCTGTGAAGAGCTCCACGATCGTGGCTGTTCGATGGCTGGAATGGCTGACGTGGGCTTCGACAAGCATACTTACGCCTCCCAGCCACTGGCGAAATTGAGGGCTTGAGCAGACTTGTCACCATGACCACCCGTGGCGTAAACCAGGGTGCGTGGCGATGGCCAGAGCGATCGTCTGGCAGCCTCCGAAGGCCCATGCTGTGGTATACAGCGAGCACAATGTGAGTGTCGTGAACAAGCATGTAGTGAATCGAGTGTTTGGCCTGCTGTTGGGATTAACAAGTCTGCATGAGGCTTCGGGATGTACCTCAGCGGCGGCTTTCTGAGTGTCAAGCCAATAGACTTTGCAGAAGAAGCACGCATGATACTGCCGTCGATTGTCGCTCGCGGCGAGTGTTCCTCTTGTTGAAAGATGTGGCGTGACGCCGAATAGTTCGTTCTGTCTGCCAGGACGCGCCTCCAAACCCTGCTCTCCCAAGCGCCATCCAGGCGGTCAGGGCATCACAACACAGACCAGCGCTGATCGTCATGGAGGCCGCAGCCACGGCACAGGTGGCACGTATCCTGACACATGAAGACCTTCCGAGTGCGAGGAGATTGCTCAATAGTGCGTCCGTGTTGAGCGCTTCGGCCCGTTTCGGCGCTGTTCCTGTTCCTCCTCGACACGAGCCCGAATCGACAACAGGCGAGAGTTTCGAACTTAGCACCATTGGCATGCGAAGCATCGACAGATTCCTTGCAGACACTTCAAAGACGGCTCAGCGAACGCGGCACGAATGCGCACCTGCGCATAGACTCATGCAGTCCAAGGAGGATTGCGGGCCATCATACCTAATGCGCTGTCTTCTTCGTGTTTACTGCTGCTGAGACGATAGCCTCCACGCTAGGACTATTTCACCATGGACGAGCTGCAGGCACGGCACCGGAAAGAGCAGAAGGACTTGCAGAGTCGAGTGACACAGAAGAAAAAGCAGGCCAGCAAGAAGACCCGCAAAGCCGTCAACGATGAATGCGAGCAGCTGGAGCGAGATCTCAAGGACAAGCAGGCCCGAGAAGTGGCGGAGCTCAATGGCAATGCAATAACAGATAATGAACCCTCCGCCGAAGAACTCGAGAAGCTCACGCTGCAAGTCGATGACGACTCGCCGACAGAAGTCAACGGCACTTCAGCCGGCCCCTCTTCCGCAATGAAGCCCGCTGATTCTGGTGAGGCTGCTTCGGCCGCCGGAGCTGGCAAGAAGCGTAATCGCCAGAAGGACAGACTGGCAAGACGCGCAGCGGAACAAGAAGAACTCGCCCGGCAGGCAGCTGAAGAAGCAGCAAACCTTCCAGACATGAAAGAGCAAGAACGTATGCGGATGCTTGAATCAATGAAAGAGCATCGACTCGTCGAGAAAGAAATCCGCGCTGATGGACACTGCCTCTACTCTGCTTTCGCCGACCAGCTCGAGCAGCTGGACATACCACTTGGTTCAGAGCCTGGCGGCAAGCCTGCTGTTGCATACAAAACCGTTCGGGCCAAGGCCGCAGACTACATTCAGTCTCACCAAGACGATTTCGTTCCATTTCTGGAAGAGTCTTTGCCCGAGTATGTGCACAAAGTGCGCGACACGGGCGAGTGGGGCGGTCAGCTCGAATTGATGGCACTTGCCAAAACCTACAGCACGAACATCAACGTGTTGCAGGACTTCGGCCGTATCGAAAAAATTGAAGGCGCGACTGGAAAAGAAGTGAAAACTGTCTGGCTTGGCTACTACAAACATGGCTTTGGCCTTGGAGAGCACTATAACAGCCTGAGAAAATCGCCATGAGCTTTGACTGCTACACGTCTACACTCCTTCAGGCTTTTCTGGCGCGTAATCGATGCGGCGTCTCTTCCGACTTCGCACGAACACGAATATGGAGTAACCCAGGCTCATGTAAAAGGACAGACTGAGGAGGCAGATCAGCTATCAGTAAGCAACAAGCAGCGGAAATGAGTGACTTACGCCGTGGTGATGAACAAAGCAACAAGCGTCCAATGCTCCCATTGGATTCCAGTGAAATACAAGTGAAGCTGGCTCACACTGATAGGGGTCATGCAAGACCACAGCAGAGCCTTGAGTATTTGCAGAACGAGGTACAACCTGGACAAAGTCAGCGCACGAACTATGAGCAGTCGAGCCCTTGTCCTAGCCCTGAGCAATCTTGTAATGGGTGGTGGTCAATTGGACTCACCATGGCTCGAGAAGGTGATGTGACCAGAGGACCATTTCCACAGGCTCTGCTATGAAGTTGAGTAGCTCGAGAACCAGGGCAAGTATATGTGTCCTGCTGACAGTCAGCCCATCGAGCCTCAAGACACGCAGCGTTGGCGACCACTTACGCTTGCACCTGACCATCTGTGCTCGTCGATACCAGCATGAGGCACACCACGACCAGGATGTTGCTGAACACAAGGAAAGTATGTTTTATCCAAAACAACCACAACACCAGCGCATGATACGACTCTTGGGGATAGTAGCCATACATTGTAACACAAAGCTATGTCAACGTCTGTTGCGGCCAGAAGGGCTTCGCTGGAGGACACACTTCAACTACATATCCACGAAAAGCTCTTTCTGCACTGCGCCGCAAGCCTGCGTCGTGCTGAATCTTCCTCCAAGATCTGCACAATCATTCCGCACCAAGCGCTTGATGCTACAAAGCCATCGTGAAAGACAGGCGGGCAAGAAGCAATTGCGTACGCGCCCACTGCACGACTGCGGCGCAGGTTTCATCCAGCCCTTTGTGGAAGGCAGCAAGCGCCCGCCAAGAAATTTTGACTCGGCTCATACCACAAACGGCCGAGACAGTATCTTTCAGGTACAAGAGTTCATACCTCTACAGATTCGCTCTGGACTCCCTGGCCTGTAGGAACCGCTTCGGAATCGGCACATGCACAGCGCGAATGAACTCTGCGAAGCCTTTGCCGAGTGCATCCAAGATCTTACTACTCGTGACACCTCTTCCCAAAGGTCCGTATACTACGAAATGAACTGCTTTGATGTCAGGCATCTCGACTCGCTCAATGTAATACCAGTCCTTCCAGTCGGTTCCCATCATCTCTCTTAGTTTGGCCTTGGTCAGTAGAGAGCGCAGCCAATCCCATTCTTCGTCTGTCTGGACGTAGAGACCGATGTTGACATTGGCTCCCTTGTCACCACTACGGCCAAGAGCGATATCTCCAATCGGCGCCAGAATAGTCTCTCCAAAGCTTGCCAGGTCCACAGGCGAAGTTGGGTCGTAGTCTTCACGTGGCGCAAGAGGTTCTGTCGTCTTTGGGGGACCAACAGTATGTCTCGAGATCTGCTGAGAAGCCTTGTCAATGATGCTGACGCCCTCGTCTAGCTCTGATTGCTCGGTTATACCAGGGTAAAATGCAATATACTCTTTCGGAATAATGGTTCGCATATCCAGCGACGAATGGAATCCGGCGAAATGCTGCATCGCGTTCACGGCAAAGGCTCCAGGAAGTTTCGTGAGTACTTCCTTATCCTGCGCCTGCGCAAAAACACGCATATATGTGGTGGAGGCTAACTGACAAGAAGGATTTTCCTCCGGTCTGCCGACCCACTGAAAGTCAAGCACGTCGAATTTGTCCAGGACATTCCAATCTTGCAGCTTTGTCCTCACTTGAGCTTCAAAAAGTGCCCACTTCTTCGCGGTCGCGTATCCAGTGGCATTGACGAGAAATTCACATTGCCAACCGCCTTTGTAAAAGACTGCAAGTTTAGTAGTCGAAGGCGGCGGACAGCCTTTGGTCCCGGAGACCTTCACTCTGTCTTTTCCGACGTCTTCAATCCTAATGTGGGTTGTGTCCGCCTTGACATCGGAATTGAGGTAGATATTGCCTTGCAGCTCATACAAGAATTGACATTTGACTGTGTCTGCAGTTACGAAGCCATTCAAACTGTCGTGTTTCGTCACGATACAGTCTCCATTTGCTTCGATCTCGACGATGCCCAGACCCAAGTTCAGGAGTTGAGGGATCTCGTATTGGAAGAAGCCAGCGAAGTTTGCACCAGTAACATATGTGCTACATTCGATTAGATGACCGGCAATCAGCGCTCCAGCCAAAGCGTCAAAGTCATCGTGCTTCCATTGATGCCACCAAGATGCAGCACCGATAACTGGACTGGCATCCGAAACGCGGCCACAGATAACAATGTCTGCACCTTCATCAAGTCCTTTCCGTATTGCACGAACTCCAAGATATGCGTTCGCCGATACAATCGGGTTGCGTTCCGGATGCTCTAGGAATACCCGCGAGTTTCCCTCTAATTTCACGTTCGCATTGTTCCTGTCCAGATGAGGTAGGTCGACATCTTCTTCAGCTTTCGACAAAATCTCTCCAATGCGAGGAAGTAAGTTATCGCCTTCGACATATGCGACTGTCAAATCCAAGTTCTTCGATCGAACATATTCGTGGACTTTCATAGCGAGACCTTTTGGATTGAGCATTCCGCCATTGATCACGACCTTAATCTTCTTCTCGGCCAAAAGCTCTGCTGACATCTCGATGCCGTCCCATGCTGTTTGACACCATCCTGAATGCTGGCCTTTGGTAAACGCTTCGGCATCGTTTCCAAGATTGATTTCGGCCAGATAGTCGCCTGTGATCACATCGACTGGTCCATGTTTTGCTTGATTGTACATGTGATAGCCTGGATCCGGCACTGCACCGCTGCAGTTTGCTATGCGAACTGGACGTTTTGGGGAAGTCATTGTGAATGTTAGAAGTATCAATGAACGATAGCGAAGAGTTGTTGTGCACTACTTTCAAGTGCTTTGCAAGCAGGACAAACAAGCCCCGAAGAAGATGTCTACTATACGACAAGAGCTCGGGCAAACTGCTCGGATGTTCCGGAAGAATCACAATCGTATTGATCGTGTTCATCAGATGTGTGCATTTGACTACACTAACGCTCGTGAATGACATGGTCCCCACGACGTCGAGATCCGAGGTGGCTCACGCAGAGCTCCACCTACAACGTGGGGTATTGCATCTGTACTTTGGACTTGGTATATATTGCGCTTCGTGAGCGTCATCGGAGGAAAGCACCTGAACGATTGCCCAAGTAACGTCGATATAGCAAGAGACGACGTTGATCAACTGATATAATCAAGGTGCGATTATGGGCAAATGTCGTCGTGGAGCGGCCAATGTGCGGCAGCATTGGGAGAAGACCTTCGCTGGCAGCATTGTATAAAGCCTGAAAACACTTGTTGGATGTGTACCTGCCTCATGACCATGGCCATACACCTGATGGTGAAGGAACGACACACGTCAGATCTCTCGCGGCCGTCCCGGCATGCGTTGCTTTACCGTGATCGTGAATCCTTCGACTCTGGTTGCTAGGGTGGCGGCCTATTGATAAGCGATAGCATCAAAGTGGTATTGTTCGAGACTCTCTGCTCCATCTCAACATCTGCAACACCAAAAATCAGTGCGATCAATCAAGATGGTGGCAACAGACGGCCAAGAACCTACCATAATACTCTACACAGGCCAGACTCCCAACGGCATCAAGGTATTGTATTGGATCCCCGCAAATCGGCGCCGAAACCCCAGACTACCAACACCCAATTTACCGTACTCAGATCAGTATCACCCTTGAAGAACTGGGCCTTCCATACACCGTACGCAAGGTCGACATCGCAGCCGACGAGCAAAAGACCTCCTGGTTCGAAGCAATCAACCCCAATGCCAGGATCCCTGCCATCACAGATGTATTTCCAGATGGCAAAGAAATCCGCGTGTTCGAAAGCGGGAGTATAATGCAATACCTCGTTGACCGCTACGACACAGAGCATAAGATATCCTATCCTCGCGGAAGCAGAGAATGGACCGAGACGAACAACTGGCTGTTTTTCATGAACGCGGGAGTGGGTCCGATGCAAGGCCAAGCAAATCACTTCTTTCGTTACGCGACTGAGCATGTTCCGTATGCGATTGACAGGTACCAGAATGAAACGAGACGGCTCTATGGTGTTCTCGACAAGCATCTTCGGGAGGCTGGGACTTCATATCTTGTTGGCGATCGATGTACCATCGCAGATATTGCGCACTGGGGATGGATTGTATTATCAAGGTGGGCGCTAGGAGGGCCGCATCATCCTTCGTCTCCATTAGACAATTTCCCGGCTCTGAAGGCCTGGGAGGAGCGGATGTATTCTCGGCCGGCGGTGGACCGTGGGAGACATGTGCCTGACAAGCATCAGAGGGAGATGTTGCGGGACCCAGCGGCGATGGAAGCATTTGAAGCCCGAGGCAAGGTATTTTATGAGAAGATTGCAGACAAGGAGAAAAGTTGAGACTGGTTTGTCATTTGTTAGCTACAGTGGAAGAAGCTCAGGTAAATCGGGGTATCTCTGGTGAATCAAAAACATGCTTGGATGGACGTGACTGGTGGCACCCCCTCTGTCTTACGATCTGTGGCGGCATCGGGTCTCATTGTGCAGCCGATTGCAGCTCATTTCGCAGCTGGACTGCAATCTCATCGACAGCCTTTCGTTTCGCTTCCGGGGTCTCGGCGTGGACTTCAGCAGGACGTTTGGGCATAGGTGTAGGCGCTGCCCAGGACGGTCGCTGCAACACCACCGCACCTGACTGTGGGTCACTCACACTAGCATTTCTATCGTCATGCCGGAGTGCATTGGAGAGAGCCGGAGATAGCAGAGACGTGGTCGGTGGTAGCAAAGTGGCCAGCGCGGCAGTCGCAGCAGTCCTAGACCACCCTGTTGTGGTAGTATTGCCTCGTGCGGTAGGAATAGGAGGCGACCTATCTGAGCCCGTAACTGGCAACGCTACTGGCGTCGAAAGAGTGGTCGTATGTACAAAGTTGCCAGGTCGATTGGGATCTGGTATTCGAGCTAATGAGTACCCGAACGCGCTGCGTTGTTGAGCTACAGCGTGCGCCGTGGTCTGGTCTGGCGTTTCCTGAAAGGGCGTGACTGCTTGCTGCGGCGTAGGCTGTGTTTGCAGCAAAGGCTGTCCTGGTGCATGCGCTTGGTCTTGCGGACGGCCTGCAACTGCTGTAGGTGTCGAGACGGGGACATCCCATTGTTTTGCAACCTCGCAGCCCGGGAATGGAATGACAATGTCAGTGCCCTCAGTGATCGGCGATGATCGCGACTCTGCAGGCCGCGGTTTATCGAGGAAGGGGATAATAATGTCAATCGCTTGTGGAAGCTGCTTGCATACTTCGATCAGCGCTTTGGAGAGCTGGCTAGCAGGAGTTGTGTCAACCGAGCTTAGGTACTCTTTGCGCTGCTTCTCCAGGTCGGACTCTTCCGGTATCTCCTGGCGCAGCTCTACGTTCTTATTCAAGGCGCGCCAGTGCTGAGCGACGTTGCAAATGTCTTGTTTGCGTACGCAATCTACCTGTGGCGTACGATGTGCATAGTTCTCTTTCAGCCACTTCAGCACGGCGGCATAGCTGTAGCGCTCTTCCACTTTGAGCTTGCAGAAGAACATGATAGCCTGGCTCCTCTTGTACTCGTCTAGAATACGAATGTTGTGTTCGTGTCGATAGCCAGCACTTTTCGTTCTTGGGGTGCGAGTAATGTAAGCCCATTCGGGAATACATTTGCATTCCAGAAACCCTATACCGCATGGCTCGGGCATGCCCTCAACGTGCTTGCTGTAGAACTGGAGTCGGATCCTCAATTTGCATTGATGAGGGTCCGTCAGCATGTCGTCCTTCTTCTTCCGCCGTCGTTGGACAGCATTGCCTTCCGCGCCACGGTCTCTGCGCTCCACACGCCTTTGATTGCGGCAATGCCAAATCTCCATAACCACTCCATTTGCTCTTTTGACTGGAGCTGTGTCGCGCTGCCAGATGTTCGACATGTGCGGCCAGTAGTCCGAGATCTGCTGAGAGTTCAAGAGTACATCTTTCTCCAGGTGAAATAGCTTCTCTCTGATCTCTTCGACATCATCTGGGAACGGTCGATAGGGCAGGGGCTTATTGGAGTACTGGATTATGGAGCCGACTACAGGTGGGAAATCGAGCAGCTTGCGATTCGTATTATTCACACCCAGGGGCGGTACTTTTGGCGCAGGCTGCGGTGGGGCCTCGTTTTGGTCATCTTGTTGGTTGGCAGGCGCGGCATTGAACGAGTTCATGCCTTCTTGGATGCTGTGCGGAGTGTGCGGGAATCCATTGGACGGACTCGGCGCGTCGATGGGCGGGAAACCTCCGAGGCCGATGCGGTACGAGGCGTCGGGCGCCATCGAGGACTGCTCGTCCGCGACATGTTCGCAGCGCGTATCGAAGAAGCATTAGGTGTAGCCACGCGCGTCGAACGTCCACAGAGCTGCCAGTGGGGTGTGAGTCAATATTTCAACAGCAGCATGTCAATAATTGACGCTTGGCTGTCCGCCACCAATTACCACGAGAACAACTCTTGATCAGACCAGAAAGGGAGCACGGAGCGTGCCTGCTGACGCTATGGCTGGCAGAGGAAGCGGAAGGACTGGCAGCAGGGCTTAACGGTCTTAAGGCGGATTTTGTATCACAACTGAGCAGGGCATTTGTAAACGAGCTGGAGGGATGATATTTACAAAAAGCCCAATGCCGCGCTCACTGACCTGCACGTAAGCACGTCTCGTCTCGTATCAACTGCAGCCATGCCACCACATTCCGTCCTCGTTCTTGGCCTCGGCGAGCTAGGCGAGGAGGTCGTCAAATCCCTCGCTACTCATCCTGAGCGCAACAACATCAAGATCGCGGTGCTGCTCAGGTCCAGGAAGCCACAGCATGAGACACGGCTGCAGCAATGGAACGTTGAACCTGTGCTTGGCAATGTGACCGAAGACACGCAGGATGCACTCACAGACACCTTCCGTTCCTATCATACAGTCATCTGCTGCACAGGCATGTACTCGCCGCCGTCAACGCAGATCAAGATCGCGAAAGCAGTCCTCAGCGCCGGAGTCAAGCGCTACTTTCCATGGCAATTCGGCATCGACTACGACGTGATCGGCCGAGGTAGCGGACAGGATCTTTTCGACAGCCAGCTTGATGTGCGAGATCTTCTCCGAGGACAATCCCAAGCACAATGGGTCATCGTGTCAACGGGCATGTTCATACCATTCTTGTTTGAGCCAAGTTTCGGGTTGGTCAATGCTGAGAGGTCCGTCGTGACCGCCATTGGAAGCTGGGAGAACGAGATCACGGTGACCAATCCTGAAGATATCGGGAAGGTGACAGCGGATATCGCAATGCGACATCCGGATGTGTCTGGCGTAATTCATGTTTCCGGTGACACGATTTCCATGCAACGTTTGGCAGAGGTTGTCGAGCAAAGCACAGGGAAAGCAGTGGTTCGGAAGCTGAAGACAATGGAAGAATTGGAGCAAGAGCTTGCAGACAGGCCCGACGATGGCATGCGTAAGTATCGGGTTGTGTTCGGCAGAGGCATTGGGGTTAGCTGGCCGAAAGACGAGTCCTTCAATGCAAAGCAGGGAATAGCTACAACCGTGGTCGCGGATTGGGCATTGCAAAACATAAGAACATAAGACCACTTTGAAGCTGCCAAGCGCAGAAGAAACAGCTATACCTTGAAGGTTCTCTTCGGTAATTGCGAAATAAGCGGAAAAGAAACAGGCTGAACCCAAGCCAGTACTTCCTAGCACTTGCATAGTGCAGGTGACAGTTGTGTTGCACAGCATGACTTTCAGGCCTCCGGTCCACAGCTCGGCTTGGCGCTTTCAGCTCGTATTCTTACGAGGCTGTTGCCTCTTGATCGACAACGCACGTTACCCATACAGGCAAAGGTAAAACCATAGATACTACCGGCGACTGCTCGATCTTCAGGTTTTTATGCAACACCCGATGATTTTGTTCGACACATAAAGTTTGCTCTGCGAAGCGGTTAAAACGGAGACCTCCCGTTCCTACCTCCTACCTCGACAAGTGGCGAGGACGAACAAGACAACATGACAGGAACTACAACGGAGAGGACTGGCGCCGTGTTGCCTGCGCCAGATGGCAATGGGCCGGCTGTTCCTAATGACCACAACTATATACAAAAGTATGCGTATGAGCGGGAGAAGCGGTTAGGCAAAGGTGGCATGGCCCAGTACATTGATTCAAGATCAACAGAGCTGAAAAAGTTGCTTGAGGATCCATGGATTGACACTGGCACACCCATTCAGCAAGTCGTTCCAGATGGCGGGCATTGCAAGATATTGATAGTTGGGGCTGGATACGGCGGCATCCTCTTCGCTGTTGAATTAATCAAGAAAGGCTTCACCACAGAAGACATCGTGATTGTCGACCCGGCCGGCGGATTTGGAGGCACCTGGTATTGGAATCGTAAGACACCTCAATTCACCTGCTTCCAATGTGCTAACGGCACTCAGGATATCCGGGCTTAATGTGCGACGTCGAATCATACATCTACATGCCGATACTCGAAGAAATGGGATACATGCCCAAACATAAATATGCCAGTGGCGAGGAGCTCCGTACCTATGCTGAGAGTATAGCCGAGAAGTACAATCTTTCACGCACAGCAATGTTCCAATCGACTGTTCAGAAAGCTGCCTGGGACCAGGAACGCAATCAATGGAAACTGGAAATTACACAAACTCCCAAGGGTGGCTCGGAGTCCAGGATCCGAATCAATTCAGACTTCATCATCCTGGCAAATGGGTTGTTAAACAATGCGAAGATTCCAAATATGGCTGGTGCTAGTGACTTTCGTGGTCAGACGTTCCACACTGCTCGCTGGAACTACGAAGTTACAGGTGGTTCCTCAGCATCGCCAGAAATGGACAAACTCCAGGATAAGAGAGTGGCGATCATTGGAACTGGTGCCACCGCCGTACAAGTCGTGCCTCAGCTCGCAAAGTGGTCCAAGAAGTTGTATGTGTTCCAACGCACACCCTCTGCAGTTGACGTCCGGAACAATCGAGAGACAGACCCCGTGGAATGGAAGACCAAAATTGCAAACACTCCCGGATGGCAACGTGATCGAAACCTAAACTATTGCAGCTTCGTTGGCAACACCAACCCTAAGCCGGAGGTGGATCTCGTGGACGATGGATGGACACATGCTCCATCGTTCAGCGCGTTGATCGGCGGCCCCTCGTACGATGTGAATATGACCAACGTAGGCGAGCATGTGGCAATGCTGAACGCTTTGGATGCCCCGCGAGCTGCCAAGGTCCGAGACCGAGCTGCGCAGGTCGTGCGAGATACGGAGACTGCACAGAAACTCCAAGCGTGGTACCCGACCTGGTGCAAGCGTCCCTGCTTTCACGACGACTACCTGCCTAGCTTCAATCGGGACAATGTAGAACTGGTAGATACAGATGGCCGTGGAGTGAATCGAATCACGCAGAATGGAGTAGAATTCGATGGCAAAGAATACGAAGTGGACATACTAATATGGAGTACTGGCTTCACATCTCCAGGCGCTGGTACTGCTGCCTCTCGTGCTGGAATTGAGTTGTCGGGCCAAGATGGAAGATCTCTTGATGACCTTGCTCAAAGTGGCATGTCCACGCTGCATGGCATAACGAGTAGAGAATTTCCAAATCTCTTCTGGCCCGGCCCACAACAATCAGGCGTCTCCCCCAACCAGATGTTTGTGCTCGAAACCATGAGCGCTCACATTGCATACATCATTTCGGAGGCTAGCAAGCGAACGTCAGGTTCTCCGATTATCCAGCCTACGAAAGAGGCTCAGGAGGCTTGGGCGATGAAATGTCTGGCTGGGGCTGCAACATTTGCTGCCGTGTCTGGCTGTACACCCGGCTACCTGAACAGGGAGGGCCAATCGGACGAAATGTCGATGGAGGAGAAGATGACAGCGGCGAGACTCTCTCCTTGGTGTCGTGGCATTGCAGACTTCAACAACTTGATTGAAGACTGGCGGGCAGAGGGAAAGCTGGAGGGATTGGAAGTGAGCGCACGAGGCTGAACGAGTAGATCACAAGTAATGGGAAACATCACATTGTCGATGCTGCAATCATCTGAAGGGCGTGACCCACATGAGCTATGCATGTTGAACCATTACAGAATAGGAAGGTGGATGACCAGGGTAGGTCGACGGCCGACAGCTTTGACCGAACGGCATAGACCTTCCATCAAGGCCATTACTCTACCAAGTTTTGCTCTTGAGAATCCTAGTCCTTAAATCGCATCACCAAGCATGTCCGACTTCGACATTGCCACAGTTCGAAGCCACTTCCCAGCCTTGAGTGGCAAACAAGTTGTATGCCTTACTATCCAGGTTTTCCAGTATCTGTATTGACCGATTGACAGTACTTTGATAACGCTGGAGGCAGCCAAGTGCTTCAAGAAGTCATCGATTCCGTCGTTCAATACCTGACCAATAACAATGTTCAACTCGGCGCGAGCTATCCCGTCTCGAAAACATCAACTCAGTTGTACGAAGAAGGCAACAAAGCAGTCGCCAAATATATCAACACGACACCAGACTGCGTAGTCCTTGGTCCTTCAACAACGCAGCTCTTCCGGAATCTTTCCCAGTCACTGTACGATTACATAACCTCTGACTCCGAAATCATCGTCTCTCTTCTCGATCACGAAGCAAATATCGCTTCCTGGGTCCAATTGGCCAAAGACAAGAACTGCAAGCTTATCTGGTGGAATGCCGCCGACAAGCAGAACCCTCAACTCGACACTGAAGTTCTTCGAAGCCTGATGACACCAAAAACAAAACTCGTGGCATGCACCCAAACCTCCAACATCCTTGGCACGATTAACGACGTCAAATCCATCGCTTCTGTCGTCCACGAAGTCCCGGGAGCCCTGCTCTGCGTCGATGCCGTAGCCTACGCTCCCCACCGCGCCATCGATGTCACAGACTGGGGCGTAGACTTCTACAGCTTCAGCTGGTACAAGCTGTACGGACCGCATATTGCCTCCCTCTACGCGTCCAAATCTGCTCAGAAGCACCTTCGGACTCTCGGACACTTCTTCAAAGACACTTCCACGCTGGAGAATCTTCTCGGTCTCGCAGCTGCGAACTACGAACTAACTGCGAGTATTCCCGAAGTTTGCAAGTACCTTGAAACAGTCCCTTGGGATCTCACGAGTCAGTACGAGGAGAAGCTGCAGAAGATTCTAATCGACTATTTGTTGTCGAAGCCAGAGGTGTATCGAATCAAAGGAGAGCCAACTGCGGATCGACAGAAGAGGGTACCAGTGATCAGCTTCACAGTAAAGGGGCGACAGAGCAAGGATGTCGTGGATGCGATTGAGGCGAAGAGCGATTTCGGTTGTCGATGGGGTAGCTTCTACTCGAATCGCCTGTGCGAGCAGGTCCTGGGTCTTGATCCTGTTGATGGAGTGGTCAGAGTTTCCTTGCTGCATTACAATACGGAAGAAGAGGTGAAAGGATACGTGAAGGTGCTAGATGAAGTTGTGTTCAAGTTTTAGTACTCTTTTGGGGTATCTCGAAATCAGTTTGCAACGCAAACCATATATTTCCTGGGCCCAAGCATCTGTCCCATTCGAAGTCCGTCTCGGGCGGCCCAGAGCCGCATACTTCACGAAGGTTCGTGCTTTCCTCGTCATTCCACTGCGTGTCATGTCCTCCATCTCTGTGCAACTTGGTAATACTATGTCTGACTGATCACATACTGTGCGCCCTAGTCCTTACCATAGCCCCTGAAACGCTTGTCTTGTTCGAAACGCGACACCTCTTGCTTGGTTGGTCGAGCTTCTGGTCCATTCCCACCTCGAATTGGGCCTTGACCAGGTCGCCGGACAAGCTTGAATCTGTACCTTCCCTTCGATTCGTCCAGCAATTCAGAGCTGACGACATCATATAGGCCATCATAGCGGAAGCCTTTCGAAGGAGCATACTTCGAATTGACTTTGTAAGAGCGGATGAAGCGGACTGGCACTTTCTCGGATACGTTCCTCTGCAGGAGAGACGTGCCGCGCGAGACCTGGCCGGGGATGTCACTGTCTTGGCCGCAATACTCAACAACGTCACCCATATCCTTGTCTTCGTAAATGTGATTTTTGCCGCCGCTCATGAAGCACGAATATGCGGCGACATTGGTTTCACCTGAGATTCCAGATTGACTGTCGCCGTGCGCGCCATCGCGAAGGGCGCAGAGAAGTGTGGGCCACCATTGGCCATTGACCAATTTGCCATTTCCAATATACTTGGACGATACTTGACACGTTTTGTCCACTTGATCTGCTGACCGGTCGTCTTCCGCATGCTTGCCCTTCTGTGATGTAATGATGCCGTGTAGCAAATTGTCATCGAAGTTCTTTGAGCACCATCTGTAATATAGCTCCTTTGCATCGGACTTTACGTCCCATGGCCAATGCCCTGCCATACTGCCAGCGTACCGATCATCGAACAGCTGCGGCAGACCGTCATCGTTATGCAGCATTCGCTTGTTACGAACGAGCTGGGCACCAGCGGGCCCCATCGCGAGGAATGGCGCCTCATGCAGCATGTCTCGAAGCTCGTTCATTTCCTTTAAGTTGTTTACATTTGGGCCGGACCTCTTAAGCTTCGATATCTGGTCTTTGATACGCTGGAGGAGTGTGTCTGCATTGCTCGTTCCTGTGCCTCGTTTGGTCGAGGCGCTGAGCTTGGCGTACCATTCCGGCGGTCGAAGGTCAGCCTCTGAGGAAGTGGCCGGTGGCGAAATGGGAGAGGTTAGGGAAGTCATCTCCGCGCGTGGTCGCTTCTTAATGTGTATGCCTTGGAAGTCTCGTCCACCTGAGATGTGTGAATCTGGTGCAGATGCAGTGCGCTTGTTGTTGTTGTTCGAGATAGTTGGTCCGTCGTCTGCGACCTGCTTCGACCCTAGGGGCCGAGCAGCTGCGGAGTCAGTTCGCACGTTTGTAAATGCTCTCGTGTTTGCCTGTAAAACATCTTCTGCGGCTTGTACGCTGGTTCGACTAGCAGTGGCCGAGGCGTCACGCAAGATGCTCCTGTCGCTAGCGAGGCCTGGCCTCCGGCTGTTGGTGTCAATCGCAGTAGAGCTTGCTGGACGACGCTGTTTCCTCGCATTCCAGCCAGCAAGAGCATCCGCTTCCCGAACTTCGATGAAAGCTTCATTGGAGCGTTCAGAAGCTAGCGATTTTCTTGACGACTGTTCCTCTAACGGTATCGTTTGCCAATCACCTGGTTGTTCCTTTTCAGTCGTTGAGACTTGCTTCGCACGCTGTTTTGCAATCAGCTGTGCTTGCTTGCCAAGAGCCAGCTTCCTAGCTTCGTCGCGTTGGGTCTGTGTGCGCGGCGCGATACGGTCGTCAGCGCGTAAGGATACGCTGTCTGATGAGGCTGCTGGTGCCGCTTGTTTATTCCTTGCCGGACCAATCTCATCCTGAGTCAGTTGCGGGTCTCCGGAATCCACAGGCTCTAGGTGCTCGGCATCGATTGCATTGTGCCTTTCTGCAGCTCCATTAGGCTCGGTAAGCGGCTCCCGGTTCAGCCACTCGTCAATCTTCGCCCATACGGGTTGCAGCTCAGCTATCTCCTTACTCGGTTGAGTGTCTGTCTTCGACGCTTCGTTGCCCATGTTTTTGTATGTCAGATTTTGATGTTTCGGGCAGATAGGTGTCTGGGTAACGAAGTGCGCAATGGGCTCGCGCTGTGGCACGACTTGTTTGGCTTGGCGCTAACGAAGTACCTTGATCAACACGTTAGCCTCGTGCCTTCTGCGCCTAACAACGGCCGAGCAGCATGCAACGCGCTCACGCCACACGGCAACGGTCGTCGCAGTCGCATGTGCGCGTGGTGCACTCTGGCGCCGTTGAACGCCATGAGACACTCGTTCACCTGGAGGCGGCATGATACGTACTCTGTGCTTCGACGAGATGGTCGCATCCGTGAGGAGGAAATAGATGTTTCCAACTAGATGCGTTGTTGCGAGGTGCCTTTTGCTGGCAGGGCGTTTTGCTGAGCGCGACTAGAAGACTCCGAGGATAAACGACTTAGACTGGCCTGAGTAAGTGCGTAACATGTTGGGGCGTACTTTGGACGAATGGATGTTGTCAGAAGTGATCAAAGTCTCGATCTAATAGCAAAGCCCGCGGTGACCTGCGCTTTCCATTTGCAGCACAAACGGCAGGAGCTCCTACACCTCACTTTCCAAAATGTAGCCTGAAACAGCGAGCAAGGAGTCCGGTTCCAGTACTACCTTCGAATTCATTCACTCCATCGATATGCCAGAGGGAGACAAAGGTCGCTCAAGAATGGTTGTATTCAGTGAAGTTGGGATCTGAACGCGTTTATATAATCCAAGCCAAGAGTGCTAAGCCGTAAGCAGATAGGCGCATATTTGGCCCCACACTGTATTACGATGATTGGCTGAAAGTGCCAGCATGATCCTGAGACAATTCAAGAGGAGAAGGTGTTGGGTTTTGACAGGCAAGAGCGGCAGTGAGGCCATCGAATGAAAATGGAATGAGCAGTGAAGCTCACTTGGTTTTCACTTCACTCACCACGTCCCACACGAACTTTGCAACCGCGACCTGACCTTCTTTCCGTGTAGTGGCTTCAGTGTGCAGCGCGCCAATGATGTCGGTCCTCAGTGTTCGCAGATCAGCCCTGCGTGCAATCCGCTCAAGCTTGTCGGCCTCGCTAGGAGGCACAACTTCATCGCGTGTCGCCGGCATGATGAGGATAGTCGGAGGACTATCTACACGAGCAATCGCCTGCAAAGCAGCTTGGCTGTCCCAGTGATTCCAAAGAAACGGCCAGAGATATCGATAGGGTAGCCACTTCTGCGGATACAGCGCTAATAGCATACTCTTGATACCTGTGAAGGGCGTTTCGAGGATCAAGCCACTGATATTAGGCCTAGGCCCAGCTTTATTGGCGGAGACATAGGAAGCAGCGACAGTGGTTGCCACGCCTGCGCCGATGCTCTGGCCCCAGAAGAAGATCTGCGTCTCAGTGCTTGCAGTGGTTTGCGTGGTCTCAATCCACTTCAGCATTGCCTTAGAATCCTCTTCGATGCCCTTCTGGGATGCACGACCGCCCGAAGTCCAGTAGCCGCGGTAAGATAGAGCAACAAGCACGAATTCCACGTCTGAAGTTTGCCCATCGGCGACAGCTTGAGCTTCAATGGCTTTGAGAGTGTTACTTAGCAATGGCAGTCTTGGAGGCGTGCTGCTACCATTGCCCTGAAAGTAGCATATCACGACCTTCCTTTTCGTGCTTTGTTTGCTCGCAGAGCTGATTTTCCCAATGCATAGCGCAATCCTCGTGCCATCTGTCGATGTAATATGTAGATGTTCCCATTCCACAGGCTTGCACACAGCAGCATAATCTTCAACCTTCTCCTTCCGCGCATATGGTGGCATATAGGGCATGTAAATGATCTTGTCCTGGAACAGCACAGTCATCATGCACTTGTACGTCCATAGTCCTAAAAGCAAGGAGATGAAGACAACAGGAGGCACGAAGATTGATGGAAGTCCACTCCAGAATGCACGCCTGGATGGTTGGGTGTCATTTGCAGCCCGGATAGCCGTTCGCAGGTGTACGATGGATGGTCTCAACGTCGCAAGGCATGTGAAGGCATATTTCGAGGAATACCGTCCCGTCGGGTTCGAGAGTCTGCTTGGTAGGCGTCGCACGCCGCTCCGGGAGTGGAGCGCGAACATTGATCCATTGCGATTGCAAGGAGGCAGTCACCGCAGTATTGCCATGATTCGAGTTGGTGGAGGTGTGCGGTGCAGAATGGGACAGATGATCGTCCCAGATCTGAGACCAGAAAGCATGGACCATTTGCAGGTGGTCCCTGCAGAAAGTGATGATGACCTCGGTGGGGCAGACTATTTTGTTCGACTCACATCCGATGCAATATTCTGTCCTGCTCCTGCACCCACCAAAGCGAGCCATTGGGACACGAAATTATGGCTGCTGAGCGATCACCACCGTTTCTGGCTGCAATCGACTTGGAGTCTTACGAGGGAGTCGAGCAGATCCAGGATTCCAAGGAATTGGCCTACACTGGAGGGCTGGTCACTACTGTCACCACCTCGAACCTTGAAAAGGCATTCACCTTGCTCAAGGACGCTGTTGGTCGTTTCCCGGTATACCTTGTGGTGTTCGGTCTCGAGACACAACAAGACGTCGTCGACCTCCTAGACGCTGGCGCAGCGAAAGTTTTCGTTCGAAGCCAACAAGCCGCTGAGCTTAAGAATGTCAAAGGATTGGATCTGAGCAGAGTAGTATACTGTCCTACGGCATCGGTAGGTGAAGATACGCAAGCTGTAGACGGGACATCCTTTGGCCTATTACTGCAAAATGTGGGCAGCGTCGAGAATGTCAGCAACATATTGAAGGAGCTGGGCAAGAATCGACCGCCGGTCTACGTTTCGAAGCAGCACATCACAGAACAGGAAGCGATAGAGCTTGGCCGCCAAGATGCTGTCCCGATAATACCAGCATCGCAATTGAGCATCGATGCTGAAACCTCCCCTGACAGCATTCACGTGGCCTCTCTCTTGCTGGCACAGGTGAAGAGCGATCGCCCGGACGGCTTATTCACAACGCTTGTTACGGATGAGCGAGGCGTGGCTCTTGGTCTGGTTTACAGCAATGAGGAGAGCGTGGCTGAGAGCTTGCGATCAGGAAGAGGCGTATACCACAGTCGAAAGCGGGGGCTCTGGAGGAAAGGCGATACAAGCGGCGATTGGCAAGAGCTGGTGCGCATAGATGCAGACTGCGATCAGGATACACTTTGCTTCGTTGTACGCCAACAAGGACACGGCTTCTGCCACCTGCAGACCGCAACGTGCTTTGGGCAGTATCGCGGCTTGTCCAAGTTGCAAAAGACATTGCAAAGCAGGAAACGCTCGGCGCCGGAAGGCTCGTACACAGCGAGATTGTTCAACGATTCGAAGATGCTCAATGCAAAGATTATGGAAGAAGCTTCCGAGCTCACGGAGGCTCAGTCTAAGGAAGAGATCGCATTCGAGGCGGCGGACGTACTATACTTCACTTTGACCAAGGCCGTGGCCGCTGGAGTAAGTCTGGAAGATATCGAGCGGAACCTGGATGCGAAGAGTGTAAAGGTCAAGAGGAGAAAGGGAGACGCAAAGGGACCATATGCGGAGAAGTTCGGTGTAACGACCAATGGCGCTACGCCTGCCAATGGCAAGGCCACACAGGAAGAGATCAAAGAGGCAGAATCACAGCCGAAGAGCAAGGACGACCCGGCCGGATTGGACAACGAAGGCAAGATCCGAATGAACAGATTGGTGACATCGCAGTCCAATCCTGAAGCAGTACAAGAGGCACTCAAGCGGCCGTCGCAGAGATCTACAGAGAAGATTATGGGCATTGTCAATCCGATCATCAAGGACATTCGAGCCAGAGGGGATGCAGCTCTGCTCGAATACACTCACAAGTTTGAGAAGGCCACCTCGTTGACTACACCTGTTCTGAAAGCGCCGTTCCCACAGGAGCTCATGCAACTACCAACTGAGACCATCGAAGCGATCGATATCTCATACGAGAACATCCGCAAATTCCATGCCGCGCAAAAGGAAACCAAACCGCTCGAGGTCGAGACAATGCCGGGGGTCGTCTGCTCACGTTTCGTGCGGCCTATTGAGAACGTGGGACTTTACGTTCCTGGAGGTACCGCAGTCTTGCCCTCAACCGCACTGATGCTTGGTGTGCCTGCGCAGGTCGCTGGTTGCAAGCGTATCGTGTTGGCCTCTCCACCTCGTGCAGACGGCAAGCTCACGCCTGAAGTCGTGTACGCTGCACACAAGGTTGGCGCCGAGAGTATCGTCCTGGCAGGTGGTGCTCAAGCCGTGGCAGCCATGGCCTACGGAACAGAGAATGTCACCAAAGTCGACAAGATTCTAGGACCGGGCAATCAATTCGTCACTGCTGCTAAGATGATTGTTAGCAACGACACCAGTGCCAATGTCAGCATCGATATGCCTGCCGGACCCTCAGAAGTGTTGGTCATCGCTGATAAGACCGCCAACCCAGCCTTCGTCGCGAGCGATTTGTTGTCGCAAGCAGAGCATGGTGTTGATTCACAGGTGGTGTGTATTGCGGTCGGGTTAGACGAATCCGAAGTGCAAGCAATCGAGGACGAACTGCACAGGCAAGCTATGGCCCTTCCTCGTGTCGATATGGTTCGTGGCGCCATCAGCCACTCGGTCACTCTTGTCGTGGAAGATATTGAGGAAGCGATGGCGTTGAGCAACCAGTATGCTCCAGAGCACTTGATTCTGCAAGTGCAGGACCCCTTGGCTGTTCGTGAGATGGTGCAGAATGCCGGATCCGTCTTCTGTGGTGCCTGGACTCCTGAGTCCGTCGGCGACTACTCGGCAGGCGTCAATCACTCGCTGCCCACTTATGGATATGCCAAGCAGTACTCCGGAGTGAACCTGGCGAGCTATGTGAAGCACATTACATCGTCAAATTTGACTTCTGAAGGCCTCCGTAACGTTGGCAAGGCGGTGATGCAACTTGCGAAGGTCGAAGAGCTTGAGGCGCATCGCCGCGCAGTCGAAATCCGCTTAGAGTATTTGGACAAGCATGCAGCGTGAGCCCTATCTGATAAAATATTCCTTCAGCTTTTACGGTCCTAGTCGCAAGGCTGTCGCGGGCCACTCGGAAGAGTGGATTATGTTTGAGCACAATGTTCTTCCGGATACTCTGGCTCCGTAGCGCCAAGGCTTTTAACGATGGACAGTTCGAGTCGTACGACCCGACATCAGCTAACATTACGAGCCGGGGATATATGCCGCATACCATCCTCTTGAGATTATGATAGATGATACAAGAAATTTGATGATGATATAGAGTACTGTACAAAAATCGTTAGCCACGGCTGCCATGAAAGGACTCGCGACTTCAGTTTCAGCTCGACGTTGCCGATCACCTTAGCCAAGCTATTGAGACCCTTCTACACTATACCGCCCAGATTACCGAACCGGTCGAAGGCCTTCCTACCCCTCTTCCTATCGTAAGCTCAATGCTAGTACTAGTCTTGCTACACCCACGCGGTGATCGGTCACGATCCAGCCCGACATTGCATCCTTGGGCTGAAGAGCTCAAGCAGACGGCGTACCCGTGATCGACGCCCGGCTATTGTAGTGTTTCTGTTCATGAGGAGGCAAGGTACAAGAGGGCACATCCACCTCTCTTTCTTTCCTACTCACCCCAATCTTACCTTCATTACTCCTCGATTATCAAGCTGCTTTAGATCGATCTCTTGATTGACCCACTATGGCAGACATTAAGAATTGGTCCTCTCTTGGTCAACTTGACGAAGAATGGAACGAAACCGTCAAAGCTGCGGGCGGTAGCCCAGATTTGGGCGCCTTTCCCAATATACAGGCGATGCGAGACTTCCTCGAGAACGCAAAGAAAGCTATGGCTCAAGCCATGGCTCCACCCGTTTTCACTGATGTGAAAGAACAAGACCACCAAGTCAAGATGCGGGACGGACACGAGATCACCGTGAGAACATATCATCCTCAAAACGTGCCAGCGCCAGGGCCTTTGGGCGTGATGTATCATGGCGGTGGGTGGTGCATTGGTGATTTGACAGGCGAGGACCTGTTGTGCAAGCTCATGGCGAGCAAATTGGGCATGACGGTGGTGAACATCGATTACAGGCTTGGGCCAGAGTGGAAGTTTCCCACTGCGCACAATGATTGCTGGGATGCTACCAAATGGGTGAGTGGTATCAGGGAGGGTCGAGCAGCTCACAGTGCCACTGCTGACTCCAGGGATATTAGGCTGCAGCAAACGCAACGGCATTAGGAGCGGATCCTTCCAAAGGCTTCACAATCGGCGGCACATCCGCTGGCGGCAACATTACAGCCACGATGTCTCATCTCGCCCGCGACGAGAATCTCTCGCCGCCCGTTACAGGCTGCCACCTCATGATCCCAGCCGTCTGTGACAACTCTGCCTACCCGGAACAATTCAAGAAAGACCTTTTGTCTCGAGACCAGTTACGCAATGCCCCAATTCTCAGCCACGGAGCGATGGAACTTTTCCTCAACAACTATATCGAGCCCAAAGACCGAAGTGATCCTCTCTTCAGCCCTTTGGTCTGGAAGACAGGCCACAAGGGCCTTCCACCGCAGTACTTCCAGATCTGTGGCGCAGATCCTCTGCGTGATGAGGCACTGGTTTACGAGAGGCTTTTGAGGGAAGATGAGGGCACGGAGACTAAGGTCGATATGTATCCTGGACAGCCGCACGGATATTGGAGCATTTTCCCAACAATGAAAGCCAGCAAAAGGTTTGTTGAAGATTCTGTCAAAGGCGTGCAGTGGTTATTGGAGCAGAAGAATTGAGTTACAGGAATTACCAGCTTGAGACTCGAATTAGATGTAGGTGCTGCAGTGTATAGAAGTTCGTCTCTCACTCAAGTAGTTGCAGCTGGCTGCTTGTATGGTAAGTGAGGGTCGATAGGTCAGCGCTCTTCCGATGCTGTGAGGCGAAGCGTGGAAATCACGAGCTCTGCGATTGTCTTCCTGATGTTGTTTTGATATCGTACATGTCGTGCATGTGTGTACATCGCATGCCTATGACTCGTGGCGGACCAACTGCACGCACTCCTGGCTTCGACCACGTGCGATAGGTAGGGCCGCGCTCGGTCGTGGGCCCTACTGTATCCTCTGCTAGGAGGTATGCCGCTTGTACAGCAGGGAAAAGCTGCCCCGGAACAGGCTCGAGCTGGTCTCCCAAATAGCTCATCGCTCGCCAATGGCAGTGCGACACGGCACAAACAGTCTGTGAGCTGTCGCGGGGCGTGCTTTTGAATGCGTTTTCTGACTGAGGTCTGTATCCATTTCCCTCATTATTCCGGCGCTCACGCCTCCTGCCCCCAAAGCTTCTTCCTCTCGACCCTGGCCTCTCGTGCTTCCTTCTTCCGTCGGCCCCATCTCGCTCTGGCGGCATCGGCTTCCGCGTCCTTCTCTTTTGCTACTTCCGGTGCGGTAACGCACAAACTGACAAAGAACTGCGAGCAATTGAACTTTTCCGCCAATCTTAATCGTGACCAGTGTTTGGGATCCTCCATCCGTAACCTCCGGATTTCATCAATATCGTCTTGTGTGAGATGGTATTTCTTCTCGTATATAGGCCGTATAGGCTTCAAGTCTGCGGCTTTCGATTGTGATGCCGCTCGTTGTGCTGCTATTGCGGCAAGGACTGATGTGGACTTTTGGGGTGCATCTGCTGCCGCTGCAGCAGCAGCTTCGATGTGTAGCTTCCTCCGTGGATCAGACTCAGGCAAAAACTTCGGTGGTGTGTGATATACATTCGGCGCGCTCGGCGGAGGGTTGTAGATGATGTGTTCGGTCTTCTCTGTCGTCGAGGGCGCGAATGAAGGATCCTGCTTCACGCGGAGCATCTTTCTCGTCCGTCGGTACGATGCAGTGTTGCGGCGGCATGTTTTGCACACATATTGCGCGGCATCTGATGATATGAGAGATGGGCGGAGGGAGTGTGAGAGCAGCGAGGATGGCATTGTGCTGGTCGTGTGATGCTGCTACAGCATTCTTCTGCTACACGTGCATTGGTATCGAAAGGAGCAAGTCACCTCCGCGGCGAAGCCGACAAGCGCCAAGACCCTCACTCCATACCAACTTTACCAAGTCCACTGGCTTCGTGCATGTCTGCTTGTCCTATGCATCCATGTCCAGCGATAACTCATTCGTGTTCGTCACACATTTGATGGCGACGGTTGGCATCTCGATGGATACGCGAGAGGCACTATGCAATAAGACAGCGAGACTGACATGGGAAGGCCGGCGACCCTGCCTGTCGACTGGAGACTTGCGAAACACCGAGCGAAGTGCAATTAGATGCTTTACCAGACTGAAAAGCATTGTATTGAAGAAGATGATGCATCGAGTTTAAGTATAAGAGTCTAGTGTACTAGAGCCTATCTCTGAAAAAATACTAGCGATTCTACTTTCTCTACACCGATACAATGACCACTATTGGACTGACACTGTATAATAGAAAGCCGTTAACGGATCCATCTCTAACTCTGCTGCAAACTAGAATGCTCTGAACAATGGCCTGTTCAGGCTGCAGCGATTATGGCTACCAGAGCTCTTTTGGCGAACGCAGTCCCTCGTCCCAGCCAGCTATTCTACGTCAGCAGAATGGAATTTTCCAAGGAGCAAGCTTGACAAACCATTTCAAGCCTCGATGAAGCTCAATTGGTTGGCTCCTTGTACCAAGGCTGTTTCCTAAGCAGTTCCATCCGCTGGTGCTCCGCTTTCATCGCCGGCGAGATTGGCTTCATGGGGCTCGGCGGCTTTGCCGGGTTTATCTTCTTGATGAATTTGAGCGCCAGAGAAGCAATGCCACGCGCTTCCAGTGTCGACATACTGTCAACAGATCCCTAATGACACGTGTTAGCATGTCCAACAGCAGGCCTGGAAGTGAGCTAACCTGTGGCATTGGAGCTGCAAAGCTGAAGGTCAACAACGCGATGATAGTCGCGAGAAATGCTGTGAAACGCATGTTGATTATGCTTGTCGCCGGGACTTGAAAGAAGTGAATGGAATTAGCTGGAATGTGCTGAGGAACCTGCCTGCTTGGGGAACTTGAACACTCTGCGTCCTCCCGATTTATGTGTACTCGAACGGCCTGGACTCCGACATCATCAGCATTTTCGGTCCCGACTTTGAGATGAGGGCTGACAGTACAGATGACATAGATTAGTAACCGAATGTGCCGAGATGTGTCTCTTTCACTCGACCTCTGATGAGTAGCATTGGTTCGTTGTACCGAAAATAAATACGCCGAGCCGTAACTTCTGCTTTGAAGGCGCACCGTCTTCTTTGGGAACATGTCGCGTGCCTTCGAAACATACCGCCTACTTTCAAGCTTCGGACCCGATCATTGCTTCCCAGTAAAGCCGAACGCGCCGAGACTTTCCTTCACTTTTACAAGTTCTGAATTGCTCCGACTCGCTACCAATGCCCATTGTTGTTCAATTCTTCATGGGCTTGTGCAACTACTGCATCTACCGGGTTCCACCTCTGCATCCGACGGAATAGAGCCAAAAGCCGCGACGTGAGTAAGCTGGCTGCCCTGGTGTGGACCCGGGGCCCGAAGACAATTCCGTGTATCTTTCAACGTGCATGGCCGCCTCTGCACCTAAAAGATCGAATTTCTCGCAGTAGCCGCGATGCGGCCTGGCGCTCAAGCATTTGGTCAATGTCTACGGCCATCATGTCTGCCCACTCAAAGCTCCAGCACCGAGGCATCCATTCGATGCCAGACTTCAGTAGCGAATCAAATTTAGTGTCATAATCTGCTCGCGCGTGCCCTCAACAGCGTAGTGAAGTAGTTCGAAAGCGGCAACGAACTCTGCCCATGGTCTGAATTTCATCTGCATCGCGAGCCGCTGACCGGCGACCACAGTGGGACACGCAGAACCATACTTGATATCCTCCGGGCTACAGTCCCATGCTGGTAGCTTGCCTTCGCGAACGAGTTTACACCACTGGATGATGTTGCTCGGATCTTCGTTATCATACGTGTTGTAGTCGATTGAGCGGTCGTTGAGCTTGCCATCAACACAAGCGCGGCCGACATAGCGCGTGGCCATTTCAATCCATTCATATAGCAATCTTGGACTGCAACCCATGAGCCAGAGCTGGAAGAAGTTTTCTTCGAAGTACATCTGAGCCGCTTCGTTGCGGACTTGATGACAGACTTGCAGCAAGGCAGGCACTTGTAGTCCTGTCGCTGGTTCGAGCTGGATGTAATCGTTACAGTCGGAGATAATGAGCACTTGTTCGTATATCACGTTGCGTAACTCAGCCGAGAGCTCGAATAACATGCATCGCGGTGGCTGCTGATTCAGTTAGCCAACAAGTTTCAGACTCGGTGGCAATGCTCGACCTTCCTCACCGGTCCTGGCGACGCCATGGTATTCCCTGTGTACAAAGACGTTGTGATGCTCTTGGTTGTGTAGCGTGTGCTGATGTTCACGGGCGAGAACTGCTGTGGTTTTGGCTAGGCAGCACGACACGTACAGTCATGGGGAAGGTGCTTTCCCGACTTCGCGTCTCGATACACAGTTGCGCCTGCACCTGCATGATGCTTTGGCCTCGCCACGCAATACTTCACCGAAGCATGCAATATTGGCAATTGCATACTGGACGGCAAGGATTCGATGCTGGCATCGGCAAACGCCATTCCAGACAATTCGCTGCATCAATTGCTCGAACAAGTCGTCCCAAACAAAAATATGCGAATGCCAAGGGTGAACGAGGTTTGTGATCTCAAGGCCTTCGAACGCGTGAATTACGACTTTCCACAGATAATCGTGCTCTTCACCACCACGCTTAAGAATATGCCGAGATGTCGCCAAGAGATCCGAAGTGAAGAACGCCACGGCCCGAGAGCTGCTCCACCTCAATTCAGAGCTGAGCTCGTACGACTGCGTGCAATGCCACACGGCACTGATAACAGTATATAGCTTTCCCGCAGACTTCCATCTTTGGTGCAGCTCCAGAAATCATAAAAATGTCAAACAAGTCCAGTGATCCGCCCTTTGGAGCTGCCAAGATCTCACCCTACGGCATCAGAACCTCGCCGTACTATTCATCAGTCACCCACAGCAACGGGCCTTGCACAATCGTCACATTGGCAGGCCAAATCGGTGCAAGACCAGATGGAACCGTACCCAGTGATCCTGTGGAACAGTACAAGCTCGCCATAAGCAACCTCGGGCGATGTCTCGAAGCAGCTGGAGCTCGCGTACAAGATATTCTGAAGCTCAACTACTATATTGTCAACTATGACTCCAAGAGCCCACGCCATCGACCAATCTTGATGGAGTTCCTGGGAGATCATCGGCCCGCTTCGACGTTGATTCCCGTCGAGCAGCTCGCCGTGCCGGAATTTCTGTTCGAGATTGAGGCGACGGCTGCCATTCCTCAACATGCAACGGAGCGCGTTGATGTTGTTGTAGTAGGTGCTGGTTTGAGTGGACTTCAGGCCGCAGTCGATCTGCACAAAGCTGGGAAAGCAGTCAAAGTCTTGGAAGCTCGTGATCGCGTGGGTGGAAAGACATGGTCGCGGTCTGCACAGGGCAGTGTCTGTGATGTAGGCGCCGCGTGGATCAATGATACGAATCAATCGAAGATGTATGCTCTGGCTCGAAAATGTAGGTTGAACCCATTCCATCTGCTGATTGCATCTGTACCACTGCTAACAGTATGTAGATGGATTGGAATTGATAACCCAAAATACCGATGGCAGCATTATCTGCGACGAAGGCATTGGAAATCACAAATCGCATCCTTACGGCCAATTGCTCGCCAGTGCAACAGACAAAGCTCACATTGAAGATGTCATTCGCGTGCGGGATATCTTCGAAGCGACGTGCCAGCAGATCGACATCTCAAGTCCAGTTGCATCGGGCCAAAAGCTGCGTAAAGACCTCGATGATATAACGTTTGAACAATGGCTGCAAACCCTCAATCCCAGCGAACATGCCATAAATGCTCTCCGAGTCGGTACACGCGCCATGCTAGGAGTGGAGCCTTCTGAGCTGAGCGCCTTGTACTTCCTTGACTACTGCAAATCCGGCGGAGGATACATGCAAATGCGCTCCGACCAGAAGAATGGGGGCCAATATTTGCGGATTTATTCCGGGACACAATCGTTCAGCAAATCTCTCGCCACAGAACTTCCAGAAGACGCACTCATCCTGATGTCGCCCGTTCGTCGCATCGAGCAGATCCAAGGAGCAGGCGTGCGAGTCACTTCTGCCAGAGGAGTTTTCGAGGCTTCGAGAGTGATCGTCTCCGTCCCGACACCTTTGTACCAGGAGATCACGTTCAGCCCGCCTCTGCCGGTTGAAAAGCTCGAATTGTCCAGATCTTCAAGACTCGGGGATTACTGTAAATCGATCGTGTTCTACCGGTCTCCCTGGTGGCGCAAGCACGGTCTCACAGGAATGTCCCAATCCGCAAAAGGCCCTTGCGTTGTAACGCGAGATAGCAGCGTTGATGCCGACAAGCACTACAGTCTCACGTGCTTCATCGTTGGTCAGCCGGCTCGCGACTGGATGGCCTTGTCGGACGAAGCGCGCGAGGAAGCGGTGCTGGAACACATTCATAAACTTTTCGGGAAGTTCGCTCATGTGGAAGAGCCGATTCATATTGAAGAGCAGATTTGGCGGAACGAGCAGTGGTCCCAAGGTTGTCCTTGTCCGGTCCTGGGCCCTGGCGGATTGACCAAGTTTGAGAAAGTGCTGAGGGAGCCGGCGGGCAAGTTGCATTTTGTGGGGACAGAGACGGCTTACGAGTGGAAAGGTTATATGGAGGGAGCCGTCAGATCGGGTGAGCGAGGCGCGGCTGAGGTCCTCCGAAGTTTGGACGAGGCGAAGTTGTAGGTGCTTGCCGGCCGGGCACATATGTAGGTTCTCTCCTCTCTGTTCGAAATGCAAGTGTTTCGCCGCTCGATTTATGTTGCTCTCTGTGCCCTGACTGCGGATGTTCAATTTTGTACTGTTCTCCGTCTGAACACGGAGCAGCTACCGAAAGCTGTAAAAATGCAGGGCGTAATCTGTCGCTCAGTCCATGTACACCTCGTTCTTCAGATTTCTCAAATTCTGTAAGAAGCCATATCCAGATCCACCTTCGCTTGGCGCTTGGCCATATCGAAGGTCGTAACCTCGTGCAGTCGCGGGAACAGTCTTGTTGTTCGTTGCAGTTGTTCTACCCAGCGCCTTCCGCTTGTCATCCACAGTCTTCTGCAAGGACTCGACAAAGTGAAGTCGGGCCTTCTCTTCAGCCGTGCCCTTGAATATCTCGGCAAGCCCTCGCATTTCCTCGACTCGCGCATTAGCCGCATCGAGACCCTCCGCTCCGATTGCCAGCAAGTCGTTGATTTCGTTTCGTAGCTTCTCGGCATACTCTTTGCCCTTCTCTTCGCGTGTTCTGGTATCATCGCTGCTCTCTGGGCCCGAGACTGATATCAAGGACGAGGTCAAAGAGGTTTCTGAAGGCGCCAATGGCCATTGCATAGCTGAACCAAAGGTCTTGACGACGGCATCGAGGCGCTCGCGGACAGTGGTCAACTGACGTAACTTCTCGAGAAATTCGGGTTCTATAGACTTGTCTGGGGCCTCTCCTGCATCCTTTCGTGCTTCTATGTTGCCCGTCTCCTGCTCGTTTGCTCCAAGTGGAGTGATCTGCTCATCTTCTGCCGACTTGCCCGGCACGAAAAGTTCAAGTTCTTTCTTCAATCCAGTCTCGAAGGTATCGGTCAACCCGAGTGTCTCTCCCCGCAACACTTCCACTTCATAAGCCAACCTGCTGCCACTCCGAATGATCTCATCGGTGAGCTGGGTCAAGGTGTTCGACAGACGCGTCGTCTGTGCGTTCCATTGTGCCAGGAGTGTCTGGAGCTGCGAGGAGAGTTCGGGCAACGCGACTGCTCTACCGGCTCGTTGTGCCGTGGAAGACAGCGAGAGGGGCGGGAGTGTGCTATTCAGGTAGTCGACTGGGTCAAAGTCGGGCTGGAGAAAGGGCTGGACGTTGCTATCGGCCACATGCAACGACTTGGGCTCGGTGTTTCCAGCGGGCGACTTGACGGTCGGGATGGCCATGGTTGCCTCGGTCTGCAGTTACGAACACAGCACCGTGACAGCATTGAGCGCGTTCGTGGTAGATGGATTGATCTGCACATGCATGAAGCGGGGCGGGCCGTTGCTGGCGCCACGTTCCTTCCACAACGAGGATCAAGCTTCAGGCAACAACGCGCTCTTTGGATGCGCGCGCGCTGCCTCGTTGCCGCGCTGTGCCTGGCCTGCTGCCACTGCCACCGGTGAGCTGCGGACTGAATATTGACTCCCAGTGGGTGTTGGTGACTGTCGCCTGTTGATAGACGGACCAACTTGCCATTCGACGCCTCTCAACAGGCTCGGAGTGTGCTCCCCTTCACGTTCGCCTTTCACCTTCGAGAACAACAGCGCGGTCGTGTCTTGCTTCACCAGCGTCACGGGAGGCCCGCCTGCTGTGCAACAGCAAACTGACACATGCAGGACCTGCCGCACAGACTAGACCGACCTTCACTTTGATCGCGGCTACAGACAAACTCGATCCTGCCCTTTGATACACAGCCGAAGCCCGCTCGCTCGGTCTTCAAGAACAGCGTTGCCTTCCGCTGAGGCCACGCAGTACCCACGTGTACCAATTTCGAACATTCACAAGCCGCGCGCGCACGCTGGCACCGCTGACTGCTCATCAATCACCACTCGACAGGACCACAGCACACATTTCAGCGCACTGTTCAGCAGAAGACTGCCAGTTTCCATCTACGCATCTCTCGATACACGACGCTCACTCCTTTCATTCTTCGCCGCACCAAGTTTTGTGCGCCTCGATAATCCCACGTTGTGCGACGTGACTGCACTTTTTCACCATGCCGCGCCGCCAATTTGTGGCTGACCTTGAAAAGGTTCAGAACGGCCAACTTCCTCCTGGAATTTCTGCAGTTCGTGCTGGCGAGGATGATGGTCAGATCGAGTTCTCTTTTGCAGGAGCGCCCACTCCACTGACCGATGGACCGGTTACTGTGACAGCCATGGTCCCAGACCTGGGTGATTATCCTAAATCACATGAATACTACATTTTTGGTGGCGAGGACGCCCCTCGAGACATCAGTGCAGCTCTTGGCTCGATTCGTGGCATCAACAAGAAGACGGTGTTCGAAATGCTTGACATCGTCGCCAGCACACTGTGTAGAGTGCAGCCTGACCAAGACGGCGACTCACAAATGCTAGAGGACCAGCACGAGGTCGACGAGGACGAGGAAGAGGAAATGGTCGATGACGACGACGACGACGACGACGACGGCGATGTCTATGATTCGGACCATGAAATATTCGACGTCGACACACCTGCGCACAATCCAGCCTTCGCCACAAAGACAGTTCACACAACTCCGGACCGCACGTTCAGACAGCGAATTCGCGATGATCTCCGCGTCACAAAGGCTGCGGGCTTCAAAGTCGGTCATCTGGGCCATCTGCTTGACGGCAACTCAAGTTATGTTGCCGTGGCCATTCGGATTGCAAAGCTCGGCATCTCAGAAGAAGCCATGCAAGCATGGCAGATCGAGCCCAATGAGTACCTGACTCTGCTGATCCAATATCCCAACGGCTACAAGACCAACGAGCAGTTGCAGGGTTTCGAAGCACTTCGTTTGGCTCCCAACCTTGCAATACGGGTGGTAGTAGGGAAGCGCCCAAAGCCGACGATACAAGAAGCCATCAAAGCGTTCACAAACGTTCGTAAGACTGAGCGCAGCAGCATCAGCAGCACGGACCTACCATCGGCTGACGAACTGGACACCGAGGATTCGTCGATCCGCGACACATTCATCTCGAAGCCATTGAACGCACTTCTGCAGGAGCGCTTCGTGCCTATTCTTCGATCCCGAAGCATGGGATTGGACTGGAGAGGCGCAGAGCGCTGGTATGACGAGATGCAGGCCACTGCTGGCCCACAAGCAAATGCCGATGTGGTTCCTGACCAGCTGTATGTGCCAGAGCCGGTCAATGATGCTCTTCCAGAAATTGTACGGGCAGACCACTATCAAGCCGCTGGTGTTGTACAGTTTTCTTTTCCGTTGCTCGCCATGCAGTTTACACTGCGCCACTTTGTGCGCTGCACCGACTTCTGCTTGGTCTGCCACCGCAAGTTGGAGTCCGACGTTGAAGCAATCAAGCCCTACGTATGCGACAAGCCACTGTGTCTGTATCAGTACATGGCCATCGGCTTAGGGCCGAGCATCGAGCATGAAGTGATCGCGCAGCCGTACGTCGTCGATCTGTTGGTCTCGTTTTGTTACAGCAGCGCGGCGAACCGGAAGCTGAAAGACTTCCCTGATGGACTCTCACTGACAGTTCCCCCTGTTGGCGCCAACGACTACAATCCTCTGGGCTCCGAGTACCTTCCCGGACGCCATGGCACAAAGGCTGAGAGCCCTTCTAAGGTTCAGCGCCAGAACCAACCATTTCCAGTGTTCGAAGTTGGATTCGACCAAGCTGCGCGCGAACTGATTTTTTTCGACCGACCTGACGCATGCCCTGTTCGCCGAGGCGATTGGATTCTGCTCAATGCCTCTTCCATGGAAGGACAAGACCTGCATTGCCGAGTTTCTGACACCACGTATTTTCCTACCATTTCTGTTGATCCTCCAATCGTCTTGAACCAACAGCGCACAAATCCTCGTGGGCAGGGCGGGGATCTGCAAACACCGACCATGACGCCCATATCAACAAGAAGTGGCAGCCCGGCGCAAGCGACCGAGAAGTGGGTAAACGCAACTTTCCAGGTGTATGCGCAAGACTTTAGCAGTCTCGATGCTAACGGCAAGTGCCTCGCGATTTGTCGCTTGCTGGATACTCTACCAGCGGTAACAGAAATGCGCAGCTATCTGATCAAGCGGCAACCAGCCGATCTCCAGAGCTGGTCGGATCGCATCTCCTCGTCTGCTCTGAGCTTGCTGAGGTGGATCATCGCAAGCAACAGATCGTGCATTATGCAAGTTGATGGCAATGACTCAGTCACGGGTGACGGAACGGTGTCCACTGCTGGAGCATCCACTGTCTTTGGAAAGACGCAGGAGCGGTGTTATGGTATGAAAGACTACATGCAATTTCGCTTCGCGATGGGTGCCCCAGACAAAGAGCAGCGATTCATCACCGAAGTGCGCAACACTGCGACCCGTCTCAAACTCCAGCATCAGACCATCTTTGCCTGGCATGGATCGCCACTGTACAACTGGCACGGGATCATTCGAGAAGGCTTGCACTACAAGAACGCAGATCACGGCCGTGCTTACGGGGACGGTGTCTACCACGCGAAAGATGCCTCCACAAGCACCGGATATTCTGGCATGAACTATTATGGTTACGGAGCCAACACCACCATCCGCGGAGCATGGCCAAGCAGTGTTCTGAAGATATCGTCGGCTTTGGCACTGAACGAAATTGTCAATGCTCCAGCAGAATTCCAGTCTCAGAATCCATATTATGTGGTCAAGCAACTCGACTGGATCCAAACGCGGTACCTCTTTGTACAAGTGGCGCCAAAGAATGAGAATGTCAAGATCGGGCCAGAGGTTATGCCCCAGAATCCTCATCCTCAGGATCCTGCTCGGACTCCTACTGGTGTTGATAGAAATTCGGCCATCGTCATACCTGCATCTGCAATCAAGTCCGGAAAGAGGCCTGCACCGGCTTCGCCGCCGGGCACACCCTCGCTGGCCAAGAAGATCAAGTCTTTTGCGTTTGCGAAGCAGAAGTACAGTGGTAAAGCTGCAGACCCCGTAGTAATCGACGAGGACGATGATGTGCAAAGCATCATGACCGACATAGAAGACAGGGACCTCTTGAAAGACGAACTCGAAGAATCTCAGGCGCCTCGTGTCAATGGGAACTCACTGTCCAAGCAAGTCGTATCTCCACCAAAGACCGACTTTGTTCCAGGCTCGCTAGATTTTGGCACTTTACCTATCATGCCCATGCCCACCTACGCAACTCCGTCTGCAACGAAGCGCCTCATGCAAGAGCTACAGTCACTTCGAAAAGTGCAAGAATCCACGCCGCTGGTGGATCTTGGGTGGTACATTGACGTTGAAAAGATCGACAATGCTTACCAATGGATCGTGGAGCTACACTCTTTTCACACCATCGAGATCAATGGCAAGAAGCTACCGCTTTCGGAGGACATGAAGAAGCGTGACATCAAGAGCGTTGTTCTTGAAATTCGCTTCAACAAAGACTTCCCGTTCACGCCACCATACGTTCGCGTAATTCGCCCACATTTCAAGACCTTCGCACAGGGTGGAGGCGGCCACATCGTCATGGGAGGGGCGATGTGCATGGAGATGCTGACGAATACTGGCTGGTCGAGCGTCCTGTCGATGGAGTCAGTGCTGATGTCGATCCGCATGAACATCGCAAGCGAGCCCTTTGCCCGCCTCGAGGGAGGAGCTAGCCGTGACTACGGTGCAGTTGAGGGTGCTGAGGGATACATACGTGCTTGCCAGACTCACGGCTGGGAAGTTCCACCCGGCTTCAGGGAGATGGCGTTCAGCGATACGAAGCAGTAGAGTGGTCAATCGACTTTCAGCATAGAACTTGTACAATACGACGAAGAGTCCTCGGGAGTACAGAAACGCAAACGGACGAGCTCTTGATAGCATGGTGATGAATTAGCGAGGCGCTATGGAGAAAATTGGGACACATTTTGGGGAAGGGACGTTTCATCGCAAGGCAACTTTTGGTAGACACATACACAGGCAGAAACGCTCTTTCAACAAAATGGAACTTATAGTTTGGACAGCTTTCATCTGTCATATTGGCTTCTTCCAACTCCGATCTGTGCGGCGCGTTGGTGAAGGAGAGCTTACCGCCACGCAATGCGAAGTGGCTTTTACACATAACTCTGACCTTCCACTCGCTCCGTTGAGGACGTAAGCAGCAAGCAGCACAAGCAGAAGAGGACAAAGCTATCACGTTTTCTGACATTACTTTGCCCTCGAGCAGCAACCAAATTCGCGAACCGCAACAAGTTCTTGAACGTAGGTTTCACCTCGCCACCTCATCTAATTCTTGCCCAATGGCTGACGAAAGGAACCCCCCTTCTCTTCCCGAGCTCATGGCTCGCCTCCCTCAAGAACTCTTTGACCCAATCTACGACTACACTTTCCACATCCCCCCGGTCTCAGGCGCTCCGAGCATAACAAGAATCTCCATCGCAACGTACAAGCCTCCGCCAATTCTACAAGTCTGTCGTGCCATTCGAACGAAACTGGCTGCGCGATACTATAAAAATAGGGAGTTTAAAGGGCAGGCCGATGAGGTTGTTCTGTGGGCGCGATCGCTGCCGCAAGAGCACGCCAAGATGATAGAGGAGGTCAGAGTTTGGTACTCCCATGAAAACGAATTGAGACAGGGCACGGAGAGGAGGATACTGAGCCGGTTGACGCCAGCAGTAGTTCGCCGTGCGCATCAGTTCTTGTTGGAGATGAGTCGGACAGCTGTACCTGCGGCTGTTGTGAAGGCGATGTGAGTGGTGACTGGGGTCGTGGGAGCTGGGAGGGCGGTGGATGCTGAGTACCCGTTGCTTGCGTAGCATTATGCACTAGAGGGTCGTGCACCCATGGTGCCAGGTTGGAAATGCCGGGAAGAAGGCTCAGAGCTAAGTTGCCTTCACTCTGTTATCAGTCGCCACATCTTTCTCCCAATGAACTTTTTGACGCCTTCGTCGGCCATGACTTCATCGGCCAATCTGCCAGTGACAATGCTGCGCTCGTGTTCTCGACCAAGAACGTAGAATGTTTTCCAGGGCCCTACCCATCTGCCAGCATCAGGACCGGCCTTTGCCTTTCGAAATCCAGAATTTGGTCGGTCGAGTGTGAGGAACCAGTGACGTTGGTGGACCGATCCGATCGTGTTTGTGGCCCCGGAATAAGCGTTGTTTGCTCGTATTGCCGCATCTCCATCGTCTTCTGAAGCATTTGCAGCATCGAGGTGATCATCTTCGAGAGCTTCTTCTTGCTTCGAGCTAACCTTGGCTTCCGTATCGGGTTCATCTTCACTACTGGTGGCAATACTCGCTGTACGCGCCTTCGAAGGGTCAATGCGGCGCCTTTTGCGTACTGGCTTCTGAGGCTGGGCACTTCGGTCATTGTGTGAGGGCAATCGCAGAGCAATGGTATAGCCATAAGGCAAGCGAGATCCATGTAGTCGGAGGTGTATGTGACGAGACTGGAAGGCGTTCTTCAAGCGCTCGTTTTGGGGCTCTAACTTGGCAGGCTCCTGCTCTGCTTCGCACAACTCATCATCTGTGGTTTGAGTAGGCTTCTGCTGGGGTCGGTCGAGGACTTCGAATTCACCAATATCCCATATGAGAAGCGAGCCTGTGGCATGTGATGCTGATTCAATCAGATTATTCTGTCATCGTCAGCTCGTTGCGATAGTCTGTTGAAGGGGCAGGCGCGGAATAGTGTACATATAGTTCGCATTGTTACTATCACCTACCCATAGATTATGGACTCTAGTCTCAATTGCCATCCTGTTTGGTCGAAGACTATTCGCGTTCCCGGGCAAGCCATAGGGTATGGCCCAGCTCACCGAGCTCGTCTCGGAGAATTGCAGGCGAAGATCATAGTGGACACCTGAGATCGGATGATCGTGCTGATGAATCACGAAATGGGCTCCTTTAGCATGCTGATTGCGAAGATACAACTTTCGAAAATGCTCGATTGTGATTCTAGGACCTGAGCTGGGCCTCAACGCAGCAGACAAATGCTGTACAAAATAGGTCAGATGATCTCGGATCGCAAATTCGTGCGCTTCAATCTTTGCGGCTTCTGACTTGACGGGATGATGATCTTGCGGCTCATTCTGCTCACTGCTGGCAAGAGCGGTTGAGCGTTTTCTCAGCGGCGGCGGCGAGACATCTCGTACGAGCGTGGCCGGCTGTGCTTTCGTTGACATGAGGCTTTGCGGTGTGCATATGGCTTCATCAAACCATCATCTTGTTCTGGATGTTGTTGAACGTTTAGGCGAGGAAACGCGTGAAGTGCACGGCGATGACATCCCCGTTTTCTTGGCACGAAAGTTGAAGCTGGAAGCTGCGACTCGCAGCTCGCGCATCCATCTCCGGTAACACTTGTACGACATCAACAACGAGCTCTGCCATTCCATCCGATCAATCGCTAGCAGTCAAAATACCGGAGTCGCAAACATGTCTTTCCTCGGATTCGGTGGCCGACCGCAGCCTTCATCGACGGAGAAGATTGCAGCTGCAGAGGCAGAGATTGAGATGGTCGGCAACATGTTCAACCAGTAAGCTCGTACTATTCAGATGCGCTCGATCTTTGGCTAATGATTGTGTCTCAGGCTCGTCGACACATGCACAAAGAAGTGCATCCCCAACAACTACCGCGAAGGCGAACTGAACAAGGGCGAATCCGTCTGCCTCGATCGATGCGTCGCGAAGTTCTTCGAGGTCAACATCAAGGTGTCAGAGAAGATGCAAGGAGAGGCGCAGGCGAGACAAGGAGGTGGTGGATTCATGAGGTAGAGCAAGAGTACTCAGCGGATGATGGAAGAGACCCCAGGGGCTGCGAACGGGAATGCATTGCATTGAAAGCGCTTGCGTTTGATGGCGCAATGCGGCCGACGCGACTTCGTGCGGTAATGTAGTTTCCGCGGAGTCGGATGCCATTGGTATTGGAGACTGGGCGCAATGGGATGCGTTCATGTACAACAGGCTTTGGCGTGGAAGGCACGCAGGCAGTAAAGCATTCGGCGAGGGCAAGGCGATGGCTCGGAGCAGAGATTGCGATGCACATATACCATGAGGCGGTCCGTGTCGGACGCGGAAAGAAACCCAGCTTTTACAATCGAAATTCCTTTGGGCAACACCAACCCTAGACCTGGTCATCACATTATGGTGCGAAGCAAACATTTGAGGGACATAGCACATTCGCACTATCAGACCATGCAAGTCGAAGCAGGATGTGGGTACGCATTGTGATGGTAATCATGTGAGCAAGCATTATGCTCTGTCGTTGCACGCCTATGTACACGAAATGGCGCGGCTGTGCGCGAAACAGAGAGATCCTCTTCTGCCGGCTTCTGTGCCTGGTCTTGGTATCGAACTCCATTGTCCTCCGCTATGCAAATCAAATAGGTATCATGGGTCATCAAATCATGCCTTCTCCTGTCGTCTCCGATCGATCTTCCGTGGTAACGTCCATGGAACGGCACATATGACCTAAGAGCATGTCAGCTGGAGATCATGATTCACGCAATCGATAGTACTCACCTCGCCTTCACTGTAGGCCCAGAAATATACAATAATCGCAATGAAGTAATATAAAGCTGGATTCGTCGCTTGATAGAGTAGAAGACTACTCAGACTCGCCAGCGGTAGCCACATCAGTCGGACCTCCATAGATTGATGGATCGCCGTGCCAGCGACGAATTTGAGCGGCCATTCGTAGGCCAGAGTTATGATCCCCACGACGAGGTTGATGGTTTGTAGTATAGGTATCGGCTTGACGGCATGATCAAAGTTTTTCGTCAAGAAGTCGAAGAAGAACTTCGGCCAGAAGAAGCCTTCTATTGCAGCGGCAATCTGGTCTGCGAGGTTCATTAGCATCCACGAAGAACTGGCATTGCGACATTGTTCTCGCGTACATATTGCGGCAGTCAAGCAGATGAGACGAGCCCAATGGTTCTTGATCAGCTTGCCCATGATGAGCTGCGGCCGGTCTCACACTCTGCTAGCACTGAATGCTATCGTCTCGATCTGCGAATTGGCATGGTCTGGGTAGCGTGAGACAGAAGAGGTCGAGCTGGGTGGCGAGGATGCGCGAGGAGTTGTCCTAAAATGGGATGTGGTAGATCGCTCCCGAACGTAAGGCTTACAGCATGCGGAGCAAGCAGAGAAGAAGTCTATGCGAGCCGCAGCGAAGTGTATATGCAGAGTGATATCGGATCGAAAGGAATACGGAAATCTAGGCTGCCGAGCACCTACCAAAGAAGCGATCAAGACGCGGACACCACACGATTTTGCTTGGCGGCTTGAATGGGCTGACTCGTCACAGGACGGACAGGACAGGACAGCCACGAAGCTGGAAGCGCTTCTGGCGCGATGCGTGGCAGATGCGGTGGGCATTGCATATTTCTGGTGCTGTAAGCGCCGAATGAAGTCGTCTTGTAGCTCTCACGGAAGATCATTGGCTGAGAGAGAAAGCGGAGCGGCTTGTCGCTGCCGAGGCTTCGACTTGGCTTCTGGTGAGCGTACTTCGCTGCGGTGGTTATATTTACTCCTGTGCTGCGTCTCGTGATCTCGAGGTAGGTCAGCAGTTGGCATAGCATGGGAACCAAGTGCAGTCGTCGAGACGCGCTGCAAGCATGCGGCACAGCAAACAACATTTGGAGGGAAATCGTCCACAAAGCCAGTGGTCCAGCTCACCAATGAGAATGAGGCTATTTGCCAAGCGCACTCGCTAGCGTGGGCGGTTAGAGATGCAGGTGCAGGGCTGCCGAAGCGCCCCGTCGTGCTGTGCGTGCTGCAGGCACACGTCGTGAACTTTGCACCACGCCCACTCGCCCTCACAACCTGCAGCAATTGCATTCTGAGAGGCTGGAATCGCTGTTGGGCTAACCGATGGCGGCCCACGAGCACACGGCCGCCCGGCTGTTCTGCTGCACCGTGTGATCGGTATCGGCCAGGCCTGCTTCGAGAAGGTTGGTCTTCGTCTTTTCATTTATCTTGACTTTGCATAGTTATGCTGTCTTAACAGGAGTGAGGTCTGCTCAATCACTCTGCCGACTCTGTCTTTGAGCTTGTGCCTGCTCACCAGGACACGCAGCTCGCGGCAGACGCGTTGCAAAGGGGAGAGTGGCGGTAGAAGTCGAGACCATTAAGACCTGGCCGCACTCTGGTGTCGATCCGGATTCCCTCATAGCAACTGGAGCACAGCTGGTCAAACTCGCACGATCCGAATAACAGCAAGACCAGCGACATGGCTGTGCCAAAGAGGAAATCATGGCTGGCGTCCCAGTTCACGCCACGGAAGCTCATATTTTACACGCTCTTCCACGGGATACATATCGCCATCTTCATCATCGGATGGTGGAAACAGGTGACTGATCAGAGACTGGCGCCACTCAACACGCTGCAATTCAGTGTCTGGTTCTCGCGAGGAGCTGGCTTGTGTCTATCAGTTGATACGATGCTTATCGTCTTGCCAATGTGTCGCAACATCCTGAAGGTTGTCCGGCCGAAAATACGATGGCTTCCACTAGATGAGAGTCAGTGGTTCCATCGCCAAGTGGCATACAGCCTCCTGCTATGGACGATCGTACACGTTGCATCCCACTACGTCAACTTCTTCAACGTGGAGAGAAGCCAGATTCGGAAAGAGGCTGCCCTGGAGATTCACTATCATCAAGCTGGAGGCATCACAGGCCATGTCATGCTCTTGTGCATGCTGTTGATGTACACCACCGCGCATGCCAAGATCCGTCAGCAGAGCTTCGAGACCTTCTGGTATACGCATCACCTGTTCATCCCATTTCTGCTTGGAATGTACACGCATGCTACCGGCTGCTTCGTGCGAGATTCTGTCGAACCACACTCGCCCTTTGCTGGCAAAAACTTCTGGGGACACTGCATCGGCTACCAAGGTTGGCGTTGGGAGCTGGTAGGCGGTGGCATCTATCTTTGTGAGCGCGTGTACCGCGAATTGAGGTCCCGTCGCCAGACCGAGATCATCAAAGTCGTTCGCCACCCTTATGATGCCGTCGAGATACAGTTCCGAAAGCCGAGCATGCGATACAAAGCAGGACAATGGCTATTCATCAACGTGCCATCAGTCTCAAAACATCAGTGGCATCCCTTCACAATCACTTCATGCCCATTCGATCCATATGTCAGCATTCATGTTCGCCAAGTTGGCGATTTCACTCGATCTCTGGCGAACGCGCTAGGAGCTGGACCGGAGCAGCAAGCACTGTACGATGATCTGGATCCGATGGGCATGTACGAAGTAGCACTCAACAATGGCCAAGAGATGCCACGTTTGCGAATTGACGGGCCTTATGGAGCGCCGGCAGAGGATGTCTTCGAAAATGAAATCGCAGTTCTGATTGGCACTGGAATCGGCGTTACACCTTGGGCCGCAATCTTGAAGAACATCTGGCATATGCGACTTTCGCCAAACCCACCGAAGCGTCTGCGAAGAGTTGAGTTCATCTGGGTCTGCAGGGATACGACATCGTTTGAATGGTTCCAGGCTCTCCTTCAATCTTTGGAAATGCAGAGCAGTAACATGTCCGGCGGAGAAGCCGGTGGTCAACAGGAGTTCCTGCGAATCCATACCTATTTGACACAGCGCATGGATGTGGATACAGCCCAAAATATCGTTCTCAACAGTGTTGGCACTGACAAAGATCCACTTACCGAGTTGTCGAGTCGCACGAATTTCGGCAGACCAGATTTCAACAGGCTCTTTGTGGCAATGAGGGAAGGAATTATGAACCAGAAATATCTCGCGGGAATACAGGACCGTAAAGGAAAGGCCGAGGTGGGCGTCTACTTCTGTGGGCCCAACGTCGCTGCAAGAGACATCAAGAAGGCGTGCAAGCAAGCGACGGTTCCTGGTGTGAAGTTCAAATTCTGGAAAGAGCATTTCTGAGCTATACATCGATCGGTTACAAAGCCTTGGCCTCCACATACTTGCTTGCGCGGTCACTCAATTTCGGCCAAATACCAGGCGCCGTTTCGGTTCCGCCGTGTTGAGAGCGTTGCAAGACAACTGGTCGAGCATTGCCCTGGCGGATCTACCAACTTGCCAAACCTGTCTCATTTACTCGTATGCCGTTGTGCGCATGCGCTTAGCGTCTGACTCCGAATCTTCATTTTCGTCTTCACGCTTCCTCTTGCGCAGGCCGTCCGCTAGCTCTGCGACAACCGCATTCGGAGATCGAGATATTCCTGGAGTGGAAATCGCACTCTCTGCGACTTCGGGGCGGCGAGACCGCTTGTCTTTGTGCGCAAACTTCTCCTGCTGCAGCTTCCGGAAGTCTCTCGCACGCATGGACTTCGCCTCAATCAACGGAACTCGCTTCCCGGCGACGTGGTGGTACTCATTAGCGCCCTTGGTGCTCGCCTTGTGTGCATCTGCCGCATTTCGCCACTGTTGGTTGGGTATGGGGAAGCCGTCCTGGTCGAAGGGGGGGGCGGTCTTCTTGTACAAATTCGCCACTAGCGGTAGTGCTCGCCTCGAGCCAGGCGTTCACATGCGCATGCAGTTGGTCGACTTTTGGCCGGAGCTTCTCGAGTTGCGCCTTTGCCCTTGCGAACCGATATCCGTACTTGCGAGCTTCGCGCTTCAAGGCCTGAACATTCTCCTTGGCCTTGTGGACGGCCGCTATGTGCTCATTCTTAGCGGTCTCACGTATCTGTTCTCGCGCAGTTCTAAAGGCCATCAGCACATTTCTAGGCATCTGCTTCGAGTTGACTCACTGCTGAGCAGCTCGCATGGTGCCTCTGCCCCCTGCTGAGCCGAATCGGAGGGTCCGCCATCCTGATTGTTGCAACTGTGGGAAAGGCTGGCGCGGTGACGAAGTGAAGAGGTAATGCGACTTGTGTATCGCGAAGATGAACTTAGAAAGGAAGGAGGCGGGCTGATTTCTGATGACGTGCCCTGTTCACTCCAGGTGAATGCCTCGAATGGCACACCGTTGAGCAACTACTGAGCAAGACTGATGTAGAGAATTAGCGCCTTTCAATGCAATGGACTCCACTACACAACTTCGCCCAAAATGCTGAATGCCGATCCACGCTATGAACACCTTTACAGCTCGTTAAAGTAGGCTCGCAGCAGAAGCGTCCGTCTCATTACCGTCGAGCCGGGCTCGAAGTTGTTCTTTGCGTGTAATGTGAGCCACCGCGTAAAACCAGGGCCAAGTCCGGCTCTTGCTTTCTGCTAGGCACTGGTATTTCCCAGGGGCGAGCTGAAGGATTGTGCCAGTCCAGCGGCAAACAAAAGCGAAAAGGGGCGATTGTTCGAGCTTGCGCTCGATACTGGTCAGTGCAACGACACAAAAACTACGGACCACCACATGGATGGTCCGTAGAAAGGCTCCCGACCGCATGACATATTGCCGAACCGTTGATACGTTTCGGCCAATATATCATTGTGGAGGTTGAGTAGCCTTTTTTCTCAATTCAGTTGTTTGATGTTTAATCTTACTGAATCGAACGGAGTTACTTGTATGTGCTTGCCAACCATGATCCTCCATCGGAAGCAATGAACAAGGTGGCTCGCAAAGTTCGTATGAGCGCGCGTTGACGCTTGAGCTACAGAGGTAGGCTCTTTGATCTGGTTGGTCAAGTCACGCTGCTGTTGCTTCAAATAGCTTCACCTGTGGCTTTCAGCTGATTCTTGGCATTGCGCCAAGGACCAGTTCAACTCAACTTATTTTTGCAATTTCTAGTAAACAGCGATGCTTCAGCTGAGGGTCGAGCGAACGCGAAAGAGGCAAACAATACAAAGCGGGCGTGCACTGGGATTCCCGCGTGATGCAGAGCGATGGGATAAAAAAACTTCAGACTACCACAGGGGCAGTCTGAAGAAAGGCTCTCGAGTGAGATATTGTCGAAGCACGAGGGCTGGATCAATAACTCAAGCCATAGAGGCTGAGTAACTCGTTTTCTCGATGCAGTCTTTTGACTTGCTAATCTTACTGCACCGAACTGATTTACCTGCTCGTGCTCGCCACCAGGATCCTTCCGCAGAGAGACCGTGAAACAGATGGTCCGCAGAATTCTTGCGTATGCGCGTTACGCTTCAGCTAGAGAGCCTAATGCCTTGCTGATGTCTTTGGTTGAGTGAATGGGTTTGTCATCTCGACCAAATAGACTCATCTACGGCTTCCAATTGATTCTTGGCACCGCCAGTCATACAAGTCAAGTTTGCACAAGTCTTTGTTCTTTCAAACAACAACAACTACAACTACAACGACCTCAGGAATGGACTCGAACACACAAGGCAAGATGGACAAGGAGGCGCAACCCACTGCCAACACCCGCAACAAAAAGCACTACGTAACGATGTGTACGACGATGATGGAGCACTGGGGCTGTGACATCAAGAAAGCCCTCCCAGCAGACCTTGCCCCACGCAAACGAAACCCCAACGGCAGTCGAGTCGCCATATCTCAGCATCACGACCGAGCGAGACTGCACCCAAAAGAATGGACTCGAACCTTCTGCACACAGCTCACCCTCCTGGCCAGCAACACGATGCGTGGGCATGAATTAGTAATCAAGGAACTCCGCAAACAGGTCAAGCTGCGCCAGAAGCAGAAGACGCATCCTCTTCACTATGTGCGCGAGCTCCTGACGAGCGAGATTGATATCGTCATTGAGCACTTCTCGAGACAAGAATACAATGCGGACCGGAAGAGCGTTGACCCCACCGAGGATGGGTTCGATTTTGCGGAAATGAGTGAGGATGAGACGCGCAGCAAGATCAGGCGTATGAGAGAGCTGCGGCGCAGCCAGAGGACTGGTATGCGGGGAGAAGAGGCAGTCATCAACCCCGAGTCGGCGGAGAAAGGTAAGGGCGAAGCCGATTGATAGGATGACATCTGGACTCGATGTTCATGTTTGCAAGAATTGAAAGTGGATAGAGACTTCGGGAAATGTCGGCCATCAGCAGGGGTCTAGGCGAAGTCAAGGACTTACTTGTGGCTGTTCGAGCGATGTTGATGCTATAGACGGGCTGTGCTTCTTGCGCTCGTAACGCAGTACGCGCTCAGCAATTGATCATGCAGCACCTCAGATGCAGTTTTTCGGCGAGAGAGCATCGTATGACCATTCATGCAATTTCCCACTCGTGCAGATGCTTCTGGAGCTCGTGAAGGGCTGACTCGAGACCTGATATCCGAACGCTGTGCTCTCCATTTCCGAATGCTGCTATCGCTGACCTCCTCGATGGTCTTCATCTGCGATGGCTGGACAGCGGAGGCCCACTCTGGAAGTACTGTGGCAGTCTGGCAGTAGCATGTGGCAGCAACTCCGTTTTGTAGTCTGCTCGTAGCCTTGACACGAGTGGCAATTTCGACTCGGGCGCTTACGCGAGCAAGGCCAACTCGGTCCGTGATAGCGATACGACCTGATTCTGTCGAGATTCTGAAAGCACAGTCGGGCACGATGCAGCCCAATTGCCGCGGGCCTATGATCTGTGCCGGAGTGAGATTGGTCGTAGTGGTAAAATTTATAGTAAAAGTCTTCTCGGCCTCAGGGAGTGCAATATGCCTCTCAAGTGAGTTCAAAATAATCTTTGCTCTATCGTTTGGGTATCATTGGATGATCATTACGACTTTCTACCGGCGGCTTTCTGTTCCGTTGTAAGCACAGATATATTTAGATCGGTATGAATACATACAATATAGCAATCCTTCAGTGCCAGAAACTCCTTCGCGCACATATCTTTTTTGACGTTCTGGTAATTGGCCGCCACGCATTTGCCGTATACTGCTCCCTGGTCGTCGTTAGTATCTTGTCGATGAGACAAGCCCTGATGGCATGCATACTTCTGGTGAGCATTTGGCCGCAGCCTCTGCGAACTTTTCGATCGGCCGTGTTCTCCCAGGCATTGTGAAACTTTGGTTTTGCGAGAAGTGAAGAGAGCGAGTGAGGTTGGATGTCGTCAGGAATGTGGATTCTGTCGGCAGATTTCCGATTGGTCATGCGCTGCGCTCGCAAGAACCACAACAAAGCGCGCGGAACTCGAGCGACGGGCGCGTGTGAAATGCGACTCTCGCTCTCACTGCGACACGCGCACATTTCTCAACTTCGACAGCTCATAACTTGCATGTCATAGTGCTTGTGCAGCTTCCGCGACCACGCACAAGCCTCAATGATCAGCCGCACCCGATGACCAGAACATACTCGAAGCGCGTGCGCCGGAAACTCGTAGGCCAAGTCGTCGATGAATGGTTACCCTCATGACCGCGAGCTGCCCGAGCTGAGCAACGATCGTAGGTTCACAACGCGTCGCGATCGCGTAATGCTGGCTGACGACGCGTACAGAAATCGAGACACTCTACCAAATATGCGTATCCGCTACGAAATCTGCCAGTCCTCCCATCAAAGCGCTCTTCACCGAATATGATGCCTACGTTGAAGATCAAGGGCTCGATCCAGGCCACGAGAATGCGCTCTTTCGCTGGGTCTGCACCATTGGTGACAGTACGCGACAGCAGCAGAAGGCAGGGCAAAAGGCTGATCTGGTACGCGGGCTGAGGAGTGTGCTTGCCGCTCAAGGAATTGAAACTGTGCTTGATGACGAGGAAGAGGATGAGACGCGATCTTTACGTGTCTCATACACGCCGCCCAAGAAGAGAGAGTTAAAGCCAGGAAGGCGTGTCTCTTTTGGCGATGCACAAGTCGAGGAGACATGGTTGAGTGAGCACACCGAATCGCTTCGCCCGCTCCCAGAACTGGCGCAGAATGGACTGCTGAGTCATCCGCCACGCAGAGGTAGAGATCTGGTGAACGCGCAAAGAGCACGTTCGACAAGCAGCTCTCATATCTACAGATCTCAAGACCCGGCATCGAAGCAATATCAGCCAGGGTCACCACTGTCGAATCGGCATTCGGACTTTGAGGAACAGAAAAATCCGACACTGGTCTTTGAAGTCTCACAAACGCAATTAGAACAGAATGCGGAGGCCTTCTACACCACTAGCGAATGGCGCTCAGCAAGACGAATGCTTCACTTGTGGCATGACACAGCACTGGAGCAACGGAGTCAACGTGCCCAGGCTTGGGATTTTGCTTTGAATCACGATCGGCGAAAGCTACTCAAAGAGTCCTTCGACACCCTTTTTGCTGCATTTCAAGAACGTCGCATCGAGCGACAACGTGCGCTTGAAGCTCAGCGTTGGGAAGAGGAGCAGCAAGCTCGTGAACGAGAGCGTGAAGCTGAACTCGTGCGCAAGTTGCAGGAGTATAGGCGACAGCGCGATGAACAGTACATTTGGAAAGCCTTCAGTAATTGGTATGAGTCGCTGCAGTACCAGCGGCGATGCCGTGAAGTTGCTAAAGAAGGAATACTCAAGATCCGATACTTTGCCAAGTGGCGCCGGCTGACGATTGACAACGCCACAAAAGCGCGCAGCATACTGTGCAGGAAGTACTTGAACCTTTGGCAGACCAAGACAATAAGGCGTGCTCTGGTCGCCGAGCAGGCCGAGGCGCATTACGAAGAGACCTTGACGAGACGCTGTTTGCAGCGCTGGTTCTGGGACTTCTGCGCTCGTCGTGTGGAGGGCTGGCGCGAGCAAAGATTACAGCAGAGGACTTTCGGCTACTGGCTCGCAGAATTACAACGCCACCGGACACAGCAGGAACAGGCTCAAGAATTCCGCAGAAGAAAGCTCCTCGGTTCAACACTGCACATTCTCGCACGAAGGAAAGACGACTTGCAGCTGGCTTTTCAGACTGCCGAACGGTTGTCTCAGCGAAGTCTGACCACGCGCTGCTTCAAAGCCATCGTACTGCGCGCGAGGCTCACCCCACGAGAGGTGACTTTGACAACGAAAGTGAACCTCGATTTGAAACGCAAGGCGTTCAAGACATGGCACTTGCACCTCACGCTCATACAGCAAGCCATCGAGAAAGATCGCAAGCGTATTTTACAATCCGCATGGACCAATTGGAATGATGCGCTGCGTTGCAAAGCCCTTGCCCAGCGTATTGACGAGCGGGTGTTGCTCGAGAGCCTCTACAAGTGGGTACTGCAGAGCCGAATAAAATCCTTCCAACGGACTCGAGATGAGAGATTAGTGCGGCGGACGCTCGATGGCTGGACTTCTGCGGTGCGCGACAAGACTGCCAGTCTATCACGAAGCAAGCACAGCTTTGAGGAAAATCAACGATGGAGACTCTTGCGTTTTGGCATGACTAGCCTCAACAGAGCGCTCCGGCAGCGAGAAGACGGAGAGCGTGCAGCAGTCGAATTCGCGAATAGCCGAGCATTGCCAAATGTCCTGGAGACATGGAAAGAACGCACTGAACACGCCCGCATGCTCGCCAAGTGGGCTACTGATGCACGCTTCTACGTCCTCACTACACGAGCTCTCAAGCTATGGCGCGACAAGACAGAGGAACACAAACACATACGGCGTCGAGATGCATACGCTCAAATCCGATCAAGGATCAAACTCAGGCTGGTCAATCAATGCTTCCATCGTCTCCGTCTGAAGAGCAATGAGATACGAACTATGAACGAGGCCGCTGGCCAGAGATCGCGGGTTCGCCTCTACGCAATTGGCACGGATGCTTTTGATAAGATCCGAGAGAAGACAGCACATTATGGAGAGCTTGCTACTGCGGCCGAAGCCATGGATCGTCAAAAGCTCCTTGGCTCTGCTCTATCTGCTCTGGTGAACGAGCACATCGACCTGCAAGCATTGGATGAGCAAGCCAACCTCTTCCGACAAGAGACCGATCTTGCACTTCTCGCTAGCGCTCTGAAACGCATCCAATGGGCGACATTCACAGCCTCTCGCCGTGGCGAAAGCGCTGATGCACTCTGGGCTCGTAATCGTGACCAACACATCAAGCATATGCTGCGTCATTGGGCGGCACAAGCCAAGGCGCGCAAGACTGCACTAAACACACAGCAAGAGGCTGGTGACAGTCCTAGTCTGCGACCTGCCAGCCGCGTGGCCGCGAGATCTGCTGAACGACCAAGCTTTCCCAGCTCGCCTCCTACTGCGACGCCCGGCTACATGCGTACGCCTTCAAGGTCAAGGAGGACCGGCCGTTTTAAGCCTCTGCCGACTCCAGCGCACTTCACGCCCTTTGCTTTCGATCAGTCATACCTCGTCACGACGCCAGCTCCTACAGCGGGCGTCGAACTGCGGACAGCAGTGGACGAAGCTGAGACGACAGATGTCTTTGAAGGCTTGACTCCTCAGGTCACACCATTTGCTCGGAAGCTGAGAGCAGGCGGGATCGGGGTGACACCAGCACGAGCACCGCCAAGTGCTCTTAGAAGCAGTGTCTTCGGCAGATCGATGGGTCCCGGTGGAACCGCAAAGAGCGTGCGTTTTGCCAGCTCAAGTCGCTTTTCCGGCAGACTGCAGAGGCTCAGTAACACCGGCGAAAATTCGTAGCAAGACCAAATAATGAATGAATCCAATCGATGAGAACACCAGTCCACCGTCGTAGCGCGACGTTCACTTCTGGGACATGAAGCCATTTGAAAGGCAGATCCTGCTTGCTGCAGTCTCACCGTTAACCCAGCATAGATCCGTGTTAGCCAAGCGCCTGAGTGGCTTGCATGACACACACCGGCTGTGCAACATCAAATGCCCTGGAACTGGACATTGTGCCGTGGGCTGCAGAAACAACAGGATGCCCTTCAAGATGAACGACACGGGTGCGTGCAGGAACGCACGTCGCTCGTTACCAAACAATACACATGTTGCGAACCAGAGCCGTTCCGACATGGCATGCTCAAGATCCTCTGTGTCTGCATTCGACTATTTTGCGAGACTTCCTGATGCAGAAATCGGCTCATGATCTCAATACACACAGTGCAAATGGTCATGCTGTTTGCTAGACGCATCATCATCATGCCTGCAACCTCGATTTCGACCACGCCACACGAGGATGGAAATCAAGTGCAGGCGACCGTCGCTGGAAACACACCCAGCATGACCACATGGCGCCACGATACGAACGCATCCTTGCATCGCTCTGGCCTTTCACTGAATCGCAGACTCGCGATCCTCGTGATAGTACCACTTTGTCTGCTCTTCCTCTTTGCGATCTTCGGCGTTGTGCTTTATGCTTCGCGGAGACGACGGTCGAGCAGACACAGAATTAGGAGCAGGCACGAAAGCGTCGCTGAACCATACTGCGATGACAATATTGAGCCTGATGAATCGCCATCTGCTTCGCCGAATCAGTATCGAGATTTCACAGCAGCCGGACTTGAGGAGCATCACCATACGCCCACGAAGCAATCAGACGATGCATTATCGATGATCACAGAAATACCTACGAATTCGGTCAGGACCTCAGTGGAGAGCGATCGAGGAAGAAATGTGCCTACGCTTCATTCTCAACGCTTGCCCTCCTCGGTAAGCTCGCGTTCGCAGACACTAGATGCGCTGGAGAGTGCCAGCGACGACGATCTGCATGGTAATCTCAGCGGACTCGACGAGGACCCGTTCGTCGATCGTGCGGCCCTTTCTGGAGCTGATCACAATCAAGAAGTTTCCGAGCCAGTGTCTCCGCTGTCACAGCCTTTGCACAGCAGACCGAGAGTTGATACAGCAGCAAGCTCGGTAAGCAACACATCTGCCTCGTCGGGCTCCTCGCAAGCCCCCGTCACTGCGATCAACACTGGTGGAAAGAAGGGATACAATATGGACAGCAATGGACAGGAAGGAAAAATTGCCCAGTCGGGAGATTTGCTGTCTGCCGAGAATGTAGGACGAATGACTGCAACCGATCCTCAAGAGCGTCTGGACGCTGCAGAGAGAGGAAGATGCAGACTGCGTTCTGATCCGATCAATACTGCCCGCAGCAGTAGTGTTAGCACGCGACAGTCGAGACTTCGAGCCGCGGACATAGCGCGCTCGCCAGGATCAAGGGGCGAATGGAGCAATAGCAGAAGTCCGCAGGCCGAAACATCAGCCTCGATAGACAACTTAACGGAATCTTTTGAAGCGCGAGGCGACAGTCATCCTCCACCGCCGCCACTACTGGATCGGAATTCGTGGCTGGGAGAACGAAGACGACAGGGTGGAGAAGTCCCAGAAACGACGTCGCCATTGTCATCGCCAGATGACCCAAAGACGCACGAAGGATCTTCAACCGACGGGAAACAAGTTCTGTGACTGCCTCAGAGACACAAAGTGACATGCAAGTCTATGCAAGTCCTGCACTCTGTTTGCGACCAGGCTCCTGTAGCCATCGAAGCAATTTGTACCTGATCATTGACGTTCACGCATTCTCATTCTCTCCTCTCGCTCGCCTTCTGATTTCCCATGAACCATCTCACGAGGAGTACGAGCGACAACGACCCGCGGCTACACTTACTCCCACACCGTGCAACTACCCCTCTTGTGCAACCTGTCGTGCGACCTCTGGTCATTGAAGCTGAAACAGTTGCACTTACTTGTCCAAAGCTCATGGTAAGCGAGCAAATGAGCGTGAAAAGCAGGTCTTTTGTGCAATGAAGGGCTCTGCAAGATAAAATCCTGCAGCAGTTCCGCACGACATGCGCGTAGTCTCCATGCTTTGTGAGTTTTCTTGCTCATGTTAGCTTGGTATGGATGAAAGGTGTTCTTGATCGCTGGTGTGTCGCTCGAGGGAAGAGAGCTCTGTTTTTTGTTTGTCGCCTCACACGACTTCCAGTGTGCGTTGTGATTTGACGTGAATTCAAGCTGATCAGCTTTCTGTCTGACTGCTGTGCTCAACGCCTCTGCAGCTCCGCAGGTTCTGACACAACCACACGACAATCTTGCTTGCGTGCTTCTTTGTGTGATGGAGTGCGCGACGTGTCCGATGCGTCGCACTTAGATACCTGCTATTACCTTGAGACTGCAGAACGAAATTTGCATCGTGTCTGCATCGTATCATCTCCCGCGAGCGCAAAGTTGGGGATCATAGTTGGTCATTATCGCGCTTCTTGCAGCGGGTAGATCAAGCAATACAGGATGCAGCGGCAAACTCTGGCGCGGGTTCAGCGCAGGACTGCAGCAGATGAGCAGATCTTCGGCACTTGGGAGAGCACCGTGCAAGCGACATGGTCACCGACGAATCCGTCGGATGCAAGCATTATTAGTTTTGACAAAGCACCAACGCCTTCGCCGAATTCCGTGTTCAGTATACGGACATCAGAACTTACCTCCTTCGAGACGAGTCGAACGATTTCAGCTTCGCAGCGATCGATCGACCTGTCAACGAAGTCGCCAACAAGAACAAGCTGTAGTCGTTGCTTCACGACAAGTGTGGCGCCAACCGCGGTACCTGCGACAAGCGGCGATGTTATAGCAGACGATGTCCGAACACCACTGCTTGTTGTCGTTGCGATTTTTGGCACGCTGGGTTTAGCGGTACTTCTAGTCCTGGCATGGCGCAAATGCAATCGTCGCCGCAGGACCAAGAACGGGACAGAAAAGGCCTGCCTGCATGGTCATAGTAACATGGAGCCGGATGTGTCTAGATCGATACCGGAAAGCCTGGCTCGAGAACGTCTCGTCAGGAAAGAAGGTAGTCTCGTCGGACCAACACTGTTGCCTACCAGATCAAGTTCGCCCACGCTAGTTTCCGTGTCAAGTACGATCGGCCTAGATGGCAACGCATTTGCAAAAAAGAGTCCTAGGTTCTCTTCTGATGCGATGGCTTGCCATTCTGGATTCGTGGCGAGGCCAGCTGATCGACCTTTACCTCCGCTTCCGCGGGTGAAGAGTGACTTGGCATCTCAAGAGCCACAACCTCCAGTCGCACCAGCCAGAGGATTGAGACCAGCGCGACAGACTTTGAGACATGCAACCATTCACGAGATCCCGCAGTCGCCGCGGCTCGACTTCGACAATATGTCGTCAATTTCGCCGCTCTCAGACCAGTCAGACAGCTCAACCAGTGGGCTGCTGAAGGATACGAAGGACACAATCTAGGCAAGATGGTCAGATGGTCGTTGTGAAATGCTCGAGAGCAAAAGGCAGCGCGTGGTCTTAGCAGATGAAGTCGATATTCTTAACTTCCTCTGGGATGCCGGTGGAAGGTTTCGATCTCGCGGGTTGGAAGCCAGGATAGGCATGCTTGATGAACTATTCGAGAACTCGGAGCGTAATGAAGCAAGATAAGATAGGACAAGGAGCCGTATTGAAGCTTAATAGCGATGACTTCAGCGGCAATGCGAAAGTATTGCGGGCCGCCGTGCTCGTCTGCATTGAGTCCATGTGAGATGCACAAGCTTTCAGTGTATTGAAGCAACGCGGATTCGCAATGTTCTGCGCTGCTTTGGGAGCCTGGTGTCAAATGCGCCTCCGAAAATGAGCGTGACCTGCCAATTTTTCTTCCACTGGAACGCGTGACATCGTTGGCCATAAGGTTGCTGCCTGTGAGCCGTCCAGACGGCAGACTCCGTCAGCTCGAGGACGGCAGCGTTTCACAGTGTCTACGCTCCAGGACCATCGCTGCTTAGCAAGCCATGTCGGAGTGGAAGCGTGCACGTGAGGTGAACTAGACTTAGTCAAGCAATCGCATACGCGCCAGGTGTCAGCGTAGCGCAATGATCCCATCGCGTCCGCTCGACGGTCCAATCCGAGGGGCGGAGGGTGAGATACATGATGGCGAGGCAGGATCGTCGGTGAGCGCTGGCAGCAGACTGTTCAATGCGTGCCGCCAATCGACGAAGGCTCGATTCGACGGGCATGCTCGCAACCGACAAAGTGCCGTTGCGAAGATGTGCCAGCAGATCGACCGACATCCGACACCAGATCGGAGCGTGTGCAGAGGAAGGAAGGGACGTTTGGCACAATGGCGCAGGCATCCCAAACGACAGGGGCGTTTCAGGTGCAGTGGCAACCGCGCATGCATCGGCAGTGCGAGGATGTGCCCATTATTCGAGGGCGGTGGTGATATAGGCAGGTGGAACTTAAGAGGACGTCGCACGTTGTGGATGACGTCCTCTGGCGGTGGTGGGAACAAGCGGAGCAAGCGTGCAGCGGTGCCCCAGTTCGCGCGGCTGTCAAAAAGATTGGAGCACGCACGGGGTTGAGCGGTTTCAGAAGTGCTGTGCGACTTTTAGCTTTCACGGACCGTTGCTGCACGCTGCGAGTCATTTCCCGCCGGCGACCTGCTGCTGATGATGCATGCCAGCATGAGTAGCTCGCCCATTGTGTGCTGTACGATTGCCACCACTGCTGCTACTGCTGCTACTGCTGCTGCTGTCGCGCTGGTTGCGACGCCGCAGATAGAGCGTGTTCGGCGCGTGTCACACGTCGAGCGGGCATTGGGGTGTCAATGGGCCCGTGGGTCTCGCGTAGCGTGCACGAGGCGATTATCGTTTGCGCCCAAGACGGCCGGGAGCGGTTTTTGCGAGTAGCCATGAACCGAGGACACAGTACTCGCGGCCATTTGAGTTGTTGGGCGCGGTGAGCAGCAGCCAGTGTTTGATGCTCGTTCGGGGCGTGTTCGCGACGCCGGCGATCTTATGGCGGCGATATGGGATGTGCAGGAGCAGCAGTACAATACATACTTCGTCGTGGCAGCGGCAGCAGTGCTGCTGGGTCGAGTTTTGCAACAGATCGAGAGACAACGTGCTCTGGCCCGTCCGTGTGCGCTTGTGCTGAGGCCTGACCAGCCACTCATTACAGCAGGCCACAGCGCTAACTTAGAGCAATCCTCCGCGCGCGACGCCCACCCGTTGCAGCAGCTCACACCTTCTCCCTCACCTCACCACCTCACCTCCACCGCGCCGCTCCTCTCGCCCTCCGCTCCGCCAGCGTGCTCGTGCCGCAGGACTATTGGCGATTGCGATAGTTGCTGCTGGCGCACGTTGCACCGCCGCCGCAGCCCGTCCGTCCGCGGCTTCGTCCTCGAGCTGGCCCAGATTGCGAACGCATCAGCGTTGACCGGGATTGGCTCACTTGCAGCACCTCGACACCTCTCTCCTGCACCGATCTACGCCCTGCTTGTGATTCCTTCTGCCTACACGCTGATCCCGCCGGAAACAACTACTCCCACGCACATTCAGGATTGGCATATTTTCGACACCTGCAACTCACTGCTTCGAAACGTGTTGGACGAGGCGCGTCGCCCATCGCTGCACTTCGGCTTCCATACGCCCTTCGCTTCCGGCTCGCTGATACTACGGTCCGGCTACCGCGCGCGCGCGCTGTCACCCATCATCTGCACCGCAGACCGCAGGAACGACACGCGCTGTCCCCCGTCGAGCCCACACTCGGTGCAACGCGCCTGCTGCAGGTGCTCAACACTCCTCGCTCGCTCGCCCGCCCACCGAGACGTGCAGCGCCTGCGATACCGACACGAAACCGCGTGTCATCCCTCCCGTGAGACCCCATCTCACGCTTCGGAATATCCAGCAGACACCCCTCCTCCATACACCGCCTGCGGCGCGGGCCCTTGAACCATGTCGGCTGCCGTGCAGCAACAGAACGAGCGTTTCGCCTCACCCTCCGCCCAGCTGGCGACATCCCCGCCGTCGTCCTCGCGTCGAGCCGCCGGCCAATCGAACCATGCTTCCATCCCGAGCTCGCCGCCGCACTCTCAGATGTCTCCGTCCATGCCTTCACCCCGTGGCAATCAGACGCAGCAGGGCGCCATGAGTGCCTCGACATACCAGCAATACTACCCTGACCAGGTCACTTCCCCTTCGACGACACGGCCCTCGTCGCAGCAAACGCCTACACACGCGTCTCGAGCCCAGTCTTCACATGGCCAGCCAGGAGTCAGCAGTGGAAGCGACAGTGAACGACGGAGAGGGACCCGTCCATCACAAGAACAGCCTGCCAGCGGCAAGAGTCAGCGGTCGCGCAATGCTCCCACATCTAGTAGATCACAGACCTCAATGGGGCAGCCGCCGATGGGGACCGACTTACCGCGGGAGAACAGTGCCGTGATCAATCGCATAGTAGTCGACGACCCCCAGACTGATCGAGCGAGAGAGGAAGCACGGAAGGCAGAGGCCCGTCCCAATGATCCAGCTGCACAAATGGCGGGATTGTCACTGGACACTGCAGAGCCACCGCCTGTTCAACGAAGCCGGCAAGAGCACTTGAAACACTCGTCCTCGAACAGGAAAGAAGTCAAGTTCGGCGACTACATTCTGGGACAGACTATCGGAGAGGGTGAGTTCGGTAAGGTGAAAATGGGCTGGAAGAAGGACTCCACTGTGCAGGTCGCGATCAAGTTGATCCGCAAGGAGAGCTTAGCGGGCAACAACACTCGGCTTCCTAAGATCTATCGTGAGATTTCCATCCTTCGTGAGCTTCAACATCCCAACATTGTCCGCCTGCACGAGTTCGTTGAGACCGAGCGCCATATGGGCATCATTCTGGAATATGCATCCGGAGGCGAGCTTTTTGACTACATTCTCAATCACCGGTATCTGAAGGATCCAGCAGCTAGGAGGCTGTTTGCGCAGCTCGTGTCTGGCGTGGGCTACTTGCACAAGAAGGGCATCGTGCATCGCGATCTAAAGCTGGAGAACCTCCTGCTGGACCGCAACAAGCACATCATCATCACCGACTTCGGGTTCGCCAACACTTTCGACCCCAATGACGAGCTCGGCGATGATGTAGAGGGCAGAATCGCTGACAAGGACTATGTCAAAAGATACGGTTATGACAAGGTCATTCCGTGGCAAGATGGACGAGAAGGCGGCCACCGCAGAGGAGATCTCATGCAGACATCTTGTGGAAGCCCCTGCTATGCTGCACCTGAGCTTGTGGTAAGCGATGGACTGTACACAGGTCGAAAAGTGGATGTCTGGAGCTGTGGTGTGATACTGGTAAGAAGGAGCGCTTCAACTCCCCTGAGCAGTCTACTAACATATCCATAGTACGCGATGCTGGCAGGATATCTGCCGTTTGACGATGATCCAGCGAACCCCGAAGGCGACAATATCAACCTGCTCTACAAATACATCGTGAGCACACCTCTGACCTTTCCGGAATATGTCACGCCGCATGCTCGTGATCTTTTGCGACGCATACTGGTACCCGACCCGAGACGGCGAGCAGACTTGTTCGAGGTAGCTCGGCATAGTTGGCTGAGCGAGTATACACACGTTGTGGGATTCATCGGCAGCAGAGTCAAGAGCGATAAAGATATTGTGGACAACGCATTGCAAGACGACGAAGCCGCGCAGCTTGGTCGCAGCGCCTCGGTGAGAGAGCCATCGAGCAGACCGGCCGCTGATAGAGCTTCAACATCACAGGCGCCCAGACATGTCGCGGCAGCGAGCATGGGAGGCGATGAAGCCAGTGACTTCAGAAAGCAGCAGAGGGATGCAAAGCGAAGAACAGTCCAGGTGGAATACGTGGCGCCGCAGGCCCCAACGGCACGACCAGATGCGAGCCCAGAAGCAGGCAGGCAAAGACCGCTCCCTATTACAGCCGTGTCTGGATCTGGCAAGACAAGAGCAAGAACAGACGCACAAGGACCGGTGGAGGTCACGCCACAACGCCCCGATAACACAATGCAGCCGCCTTCAAGATCAGGCAGGGTGACTTCAGCGGACCAAGCCGGATCATACTCTGCTTCGTCGAGCGCAATTCCACGACCAAACACCAGCGGCACAATTGGTGGTACGTCTCGACTGCCATCTCGCGGCAATTCTTACAGCACGCCGGCTGCCGCTCAGCCAACCAACACCAATGCACAAGGATCGTTCTCGCAGCCGAAGTCGAGCTCAGGGTATATAATATCTGGATCCGGTCCGATGGCTTCAGAGCCAGACGAGATTGATGCTCGCAATCGACCGCAGAGCGAGCGTTCCCCTACGGGAGGCCAGTTTCAAACACCCCAGCAACCATATCCCGGCGGCAAGCCTTCAAATCAATCAGGTCATCGACGAAGCAGCACTCTGGGGAGTCTTGCAGACAAGGTCCTGAACAGAGGCTCCTCAAAACGGCAGTCGCAGGCCTCACAGCAGGACAGTAACGCTGTCGTACACAATGAGAAGCGAGATCGAAAATACCCTCCTGTCAGCATGAGGAATGCAATACCGAACGCTGGAGGCGAAATAACACCACGCCCGTCTACCGATAGCCGACGGCCCAGCTTCTCGTTGCGCAACAAAGCATCCAAGGACGGAAGTGTCACCGGTCGTAGGTCATCAAGGCGTTTCTCGTGGCTGCCAGCAAGCTTCAGCATGAACAACTTTGGCGGCAAGAAGGCCGACGGCTACGAATCGGGTGGCGATGATGGGTACCGTCCACCTACCTCTCAACAATCGAACCAATCCAAGCGAGGCAGACCGGAGAGTAAAGGCGCGGCGTTTGGGCGTGGTGCGACCGACAGTCCGCAGGCGACCGACAGCGATATGGCTCTTTACCTTGACGATGAGCGAGAGAAGGTTCGCGAGCGAAGAGGGAGCAATGTTGCAGCGGCATCACAGTACAACAAGGCATTGCCAGCATCGCCTGGAAACCTCCCACCACCAGGGCCAGGGTCGCGCAAGCAGTATCGGGATGATGGCTACGGTGGCAATCTGCTCGAGAGCGAAGCGCCCGAACGGTTCTATACACCTGACGCTGGTATCGCGACCGGGTCGAACCTCGAGCAGTACAACATCGGCAGCAATGGTGAGTGGCTACCTGCTTCTCAGTCTCAGCTATCGCAAGCAACAGCAGATACATCTCGGCGCCGCGACGAGTCGTTGAGACCTGCCCAGCGGCGGTTCGCAGACGGCTACGACCATGGACACGGTGGCAGCTCGAGCGCGACTCGAAAAGTCATGGACTTCTTCCGCCGACGAGGCCGAGAACGAGAAACATAGGAGTTTCCAGTTCCTCGACACGTCAGTGTTAGACGGCGTGGCCCAAGTGGCTACGCCACAGATGGTGCTCTGGAGAGATGAAATGTGTGTACATGATCAGGGCTACGACTGTCTATGCATGAGTCGACGCAGCACACGATGAGGCAGTGGTAGTATGGCGGCGAGGCGGGTCTTCGATTCACAACGCAACGATGAAATGTCGACGCAGGACGGAAACGGCAGCTGACATGCCGTCCCGCCCTTCGAGAGTCCTTTGCGGCATCCGGCTGTTTTGCATCCTGGGCGTCATAATTTTCAACAGTATGGGTCTAATCGTGGAGCGATCATTGGTTCAGCAGTAGCACAAGCGACGGAGTTCTTGGGGATGGGGGCTTTTATTTCGAGCGAAACTGTACTTGTGAGCATCGTATCTGTGTCGTGTCATGATAGATTCAATGTAAATGTGCAGCAAATATTGTGTCAATGGAGGCGCTGAAAGGTGCGGCTTCTGATTTACAGCCAACCTGGCATGGACCTGTACTACGCTCAACAAGACGTTCGACGCCCATCTACTCAAGCATGTACCATCCAACTGCTCTGGCCTACAAGATGGAGAACAGCAACAACGATGATCAGGAATGCTCAAGAAGAATCGCACAGGCGACAGTCGAAGCCGATCTCGTTGATTGATGTGCTTCACTATGCTAATGCGGCTCTTGGAATACGTGCCGTGTCATGTGCCTTGAGAGTGAATAGCACAATATCACAAGGCCGACAACCTGGATCAGCACCTCCATTGCCCTCCATTGGCCCTCGTTATCGTTGAAGTCATCGCAGCGATGGCTTTCATTCACTCCGCGCCTGTTAACCTGCACGACGAGGTCAAATCATTTTCTCCTACGATTCTGGTCAAAGCCTGCAGCATGTTCGCCGAGGACCATCATCCGCCACTTTGCATGAACATCTCTCCGCATCAAGCAGCTTCTCTTCGGAAGCTCAAGTCACCGAGAGTCGACTTTTGTACGCACTGCAATGGGACAGTCACACGAGCGCCATACGGGCCAAGATCCATATGCGTCTCGTACAGTCCCCACGAGCTTCGAGTCTCAATCAGGCAATAATGGGCTTGCGATCTCTCAAACCGGCCCGGCTTGGCGACAGATACTGCACTTTGCTCTGTCTCCTGTTCGCTTTGGGCAAGTGGCTTATGTCAAATTGAGGCAGTCAATGCCCCAGGTTCCGCTACTCAAACGAGCCGCTGCGCGGGATGGACAAAGAATTGTGCCTCGGCGAAAGACGTCAGTGCCTTTACAGGACGTGCTGGAAGAAGATGAATTGGAATTGGAGAATTTGCACCATCGTGCTGAGAGTCTTGGACAGGTATTGAAAAGGTCGTGTCTATGCCTGCCATGGACGCTCAAGCATCGGTATACGGTGTTCTTCTCTTCTCTTCACGAACGTCTGGGAAGCGCCGTCAGACACATGGGCCTTGTTCTATTTATTCAGCAACGTGCCTTTGTGGCGGCCCTCGTGGGTTCCGCACTGTTGGGTCTCACCATATATCTGGTAACGACCAAGCCATCATACAGCGCTTTTGGAGTCCTTTCTATCTTGGGATACTTCTTCGGGATACGACCAGTTTACCAATTCTACATTTCACTTCGACGGAGCTGGCATTTCCATGATGTTGTAAAGAGCAAAGATTGCGCTCCTGCAGCGGCAGTACCTACACCACTTTTCGGAACAATACGCCACAAATTGAATCTGCTCCTTTATCCTGGCGGCGACCTTCTTGACGATGTGTTTGCGAAGAAGTACGAAAAGTATGGTGCAACACATGCTTTGCACGATCGTTTCGGTGTGCCGAAAGTCATACATACGATCGATCCGGCTAATGTCAATGCCATCATGAGGACTCAAGCTGACGACTGGCGGCCTGCGAAAGGGAGAGCGAACACGATGTATCCCTTGGCGCAAGAAGGACTCCTGAATTCCGAAGGCGAGGCGTGGTCGCGCAATCGAAAATTGATTCTACGACACATCAACACGAAGCGGGTCAAGGATGTTCGGAGTGCGGAGTCTGATGTCCAATTGTTGTTTGACACTATTGGACCGGCTGATCACGACGGATGGACTGAAACTGTCGACCTGTTGGACTTGTTCCATCGCTTATCACTGGACATGTCTACCACGTACCTTCTCGGAACTAGTGCAAATTCACAGCTCACTGGTGTCTTTGAGCGCAAGCGACAAGCTGCCATGGCAGAGTATGATCTGATACCGAACAAACGCGACCAGAAGATGAGCTATGGAGAAGCCTATGAGATCGTGCGCAACTATTTCTCCTGGCGGTCCAAGCTCGGCTCGAAGTACTGGATAGCTGACAGTCCGAAGTACCGCGAAGCCTGCGCAACTTTGAACGACTTCGCAGACGACCTGATTCAACGTGCGATGAACGCTCGTTCCGATAACGCAGGCAAATCAGAGGACAACGAGCACATGGACAGCAAATATGGTCTCATCGACAGCCTCGTCAAGGAAATCGGCGATCCAGTCCATATTCGTAACCTCATCATGGACCTCTTTATCGCAGGCCAAAACATGACCGGCACGCTGGCAGCTTGGATCTTTGCCCAGCTCAGCGCCAATCCTGATATCTTCGACCGTCTTCGTGCAGAAGTCGTAGACAAATTCGGAACGGAAGACTCTCCACTTTTACCCCTGACATGGGACAATCTCCGATCCTGCTCAACAATGCAAAACGTCATTCGCGAGACGCTCCGCATGTACCCTCTCCTCGCCAACATTGGTCGCAACGCCAAATGCGACACCGTCCTGCCCCGCGGCGGAGGGCCAGATGGTTCGCAGCCCATCGCTGTTCCCAAAGGCTGTACCGTCACATGCAACATTTACCTCACCCATCGTCGTGCAGAAGAATGGGGTGATGACGAATGGGAATTCAAGCCTGATCGATGGATCGGGAGGAAAGTTTCCTTTGGAGAGTATGCGCCTTTTGGAGCGGGACCGAGAATTTGTATTGGGCAGCAGCTGGCTTTGACGGAAATCTCGTTTGTGCTGGCGAGGATGTTGCAGAGGTTTGACGGGATGAGGGTGCCACTCGGGCAGGATAATTTGGTGAAGGGATATCGGGTTGTGGTGGCGCCGAAGAATGGAGTGAAAGTGCAGTTGAGGAGGGCGAGGGAGGGGAAGGGTGAGTGTACGAGTCCGACGCTGGGAGCGCAGGCAGGCTGACAGGCGCGTAGTGTGTAATTAGCGGTGAATGCGGGACGACATAATGCAAAGAGTAATGACAGTAGCCTGTGTAATGTGCTCTTAAGTTCTTTGCGTAACTGCAGGGGTCTTGTAGAAGTTTCCCTAAGTTTGCATCTCCATGGCAACTCGTTTGAACATCTCCTCTGCCGCGGACTTTGGCCCTTCTCGACCATCACCGCTGCCCCAAAATATCAATATGTGGGTTGCGGTGGCCCGCAAACGCCAGGGCTGTCGCTCGTGCGAGCTGAAAACAGACAAAAAGCCGCATCGCTGCTCCTTCCGCTTCCTCGACCTCCCAGCAGAAATCCGAAACCGCATCTACAGCTACTACTTCGCCGCCTCTGACACGAAACCACAATACAATCTCGTCAACTACCGCGACCCACCGATCACTCTAGCTTGCAAGCAGCTCCGCCGCGAGTCACTACCAATCTTCTTCAGCGAATGCACATTCTTGCTCACCATTGGCGCCAACTACTTCGAGCCAGAACGCAAAGCCGAAGCTGGAAGACTCTGCCTCCTCAATCGAGTTTCTAGCCGCTTGATCGCTCTCGGAGACAACAATGTCTTGTTCCGGAACTTGCACATTCGAGTCACTATGTTGTGTTTTGCGAGTACGATGAGACGGGAGTTGGTGTATCCGAAGTATATGGAGCGTTATCTGATTGCTTGGATCACTTTGCAGACGCATCCGAAGCTGAAGTTTGGGGTTAAGCGCGGAATGGGGTATCCGAAGGTTGGACTGAGTGGTGTGTTGGATCGGTATGCGGAGCAGATTGAGTCGACGTTGGAAGCTGCGAAGAGTGCTGCGTTGGAGTTGCGTGGACGAGAGGGGTTCAAGGGCTTTTCTTTGGTCGATCTTGCCACCATCGCCCAGGCTTTCTCTGTTTCTTGATGGTATGCTTCATTTTCTTGTCGTCATCGACTGAACAATGCTAATAGTTTCTCAACAGACCTCTACTTTCGGCGCTACAAGACACGACGACATGCTGGAGACAGGGATAGACAAATGTGCGTGTGTGGCTCCTTCATCTCAGCACGGATGTGGAAGAAGACGCTTTGGTCGAGATGAAATAGAACTGCACATGAGCAGTGGATGGTTGATGTCGGGAATGGCAGCGGAGAAATGGGGGATGTAATTGGTGCGGAGACGTGTCCGCTGCACAGACTGGCAGGTCAGGAAGGGTTTGGCGCTAGCATCGGCTCTCATGAAAACTTCCAGCGATAGGAGAAAGACATTGCCATCACCACCATCGTCGCTCTTTTCATCGTCGTCGATCATCGAAATTCTCTTCATTGTCTGAGCTCCCATCGATACCAATTGTAATACGCGGGCGTTGCTCCCACGCGCTCAAAATGCGCCGGGCTTTCCAGAGATGCTCAGCATCCCTCACACGACCATTGTCGACTCTCACATCCTCCCCACGAGCAGCACAACAATGTCTCAGGGCGCAGGAAGCCGTATCGATAACGAGGACTGTGACGTTCCCTGCCACGCGCAGCCTGCACCAATCCTCGAGACTCCGCGATGCCGCCACCGAGCAATCGATCGCTACAGAACCCGTGGCGAGGTTTACGGATTTGGGCTCGAAGAATATCATCCATCCGAACGTGATTCGAGCAATCACCGATGACATGGGTATCGACACGATGACGGAAGTACAACAGCGGACAATACACGAGGCACTGAAAGGGCAAGATGTAATTGCGCAGGCGAAGACAGGCACAGGCAAGACGCTAGGGTTTTTGCTCCCCGTCGTGCAGAGAATAATCAACGAAGATCCGTCCATCGCGGAGCGTGGGCGAGGACGCCGCGGCCCCCGAACAACAGCCGATGACATTCGAGGCTTGATCATCTCTCCTACACGAGAGCTGGCAGAGCAAATTGCGGCCGAGGCGAAGAAACTGTGCAGGAACACCGGTATCATCGTTCAGACTGCAGTTGGAGGTACACAGAAGTCTCAAGGCTTGAGGGCCATCCAGCGCGAAGGCTGTCATCTTTTGGTTGGCACTCCTGGACGTCTAAAGGACATTCTCTCCGACCAGTACAGTCGAGTGGAGGCGCCAGATCTTCAAGCGCTGGTTTTCGATGAGGCCGACAGACTGCTGGACCAAGGCTTCTGGCCAGAGGTACAGGAGATCATGCGCATGCTTCCCACGACTGCCGAGAAGGATCGCCAAACGCTCATGTTTTCCGCTACCGTGCCGAAGGACGTTGTGAGCATCGTTCGCAGCACTCTGAAGCCGGGCTTCAACTTTGCCAAATGTGTAAGAGACGACGAAGAACCAACACATACACGCGTGCCACAAAAGTCTGTCAGCTTGGTTGGATTGGAGAACTGCGTGCCATCATTGATCGAGCTCTGCCAAAAGAGCATTGATGCCTCTCGGGAATCGGACGCGCGTCCATTTAAGGCCATTGTCTTTTTCAACAGTACTGCGGAGGTGACGCTCGCAGCCTCGACACTTTTGGCTTTGCAATCACCCGCTGCTCCGCAAGGCGATCAATTTGGTTCTCGAGATGGTGGACATCCATGGTATCCCACGAAGGTGCTGGAGATCCATGCGCGCTTGACTCAAGCACAGCGAACACGAGCAGCGGAGGACTTCCGCAGAGCTTCCTCTGGTATTCTGCTTTCCTCTGATGTGACCGCACGAGGAATGGATTTTCCTAATGTTACACATGTGATTCAAGTCGGACTCCCACCAAGCAGAGAGCAGTACATTCACCGTCTTGGCCGCACGGCTCGTGCTGGCAAGGAAGGAGAGGGCTGGATCTTCCTCAACGAAGTCGATAAGGCAGAAGCTCGACATCGACTGAGGGATCTCAATCTGACCAAGGACGACACTCTGCAGATCCCCAAATTGGACCTCACCAAGCCAGGAGATGTACCAGCAGAGGCTGGCCGAATTCTGAGCATGTACCAAGGAGCAATCAAGAAGATACCCATGGCCGAGAAAGCGAAGGTGTACCTGGCTCAATTGGGCACGTACCAGTGGTTCCAGCGCAAGCAAGATCTGATAAAAATGATGAACAATCTCTCTCGCTTTGGCTGGGGCTTGGCCACGCCGCCGAGTATTTCGCATGCACTTGCTCAGAAGCTCAGGATTGGCCGTATAGAAGGTGTCAACCTCTCTTCATCGCACAACAGAGACGACAGGCACTCGTCAAGTGAGGGAAGAGATGGCGGCTATGGCCGCAGCAGGTCTGGCGGCGATCGGGATGGCGGCTACCGCAGCCGTGACAACGATCAAGGTGGCTACCGCTCGAATCGATCGTTTGGTGGAGACCGCGGTGACAGAAGCTTTGGGGGAGATCGTTCAAACCGATCAGGATTCAGCGGAGATCGTGGCGACAGAGGCTATGGAGGTGACCGCAATGGTGACAGAGGGAGATACTCGCGCGACAACGATTTCAACGGACGAGGTCGACGCAACTATGCATGAAGAGGGATGTGATCACGTCTTTAATGCATAGCAACGGCGTTTGGAAGGATGGTTTGTACAACAATGAGCTATACTTTAGAGGCTCGCTCTCCTCGATTGGGCGAGGCATGATACAGTTGTAAAAGTATGTGTAGTAGTCTTGCTCACCTTCAAAAAGGTGAAGAATCTCCAATCATGATACCCGTCAATATTCGCCGCAGACCATCTTCAAGCTCTCTTGGCGCAAGTCCCGTTCCTCTAACCGCGAATATCGCCGAACGCGACCATACCCTCGGAGTTAAGTGCACGTCACCCATCTTTGTGATCTCTCGTCAGCGCGTCTGGCCTTATTACTAGAACGGTTATTTGCTACGAGCTCGTAGCTCTCACTGCGGTCGGCCTCACCATCGACCATTGAGAACAGCCGCCGACATCGCCGTGCCCGCCACTCTGCCGACCCACATTGAGACCTCACGCTTGTACCCATCAACTATACAAGTAAATATACATAAGCACTCCCGCACTTCAACATCGAATACATGTTCCTCGCCAGACGCATAGGAATACAATCGAGTCTCAGATTCAGCATCTCTCAGCTACGCACATTCAGCACCACAACCTCCACAATGGCCCCCGCCTGGACACGTCTGATCCGCTACGTCTCCGCCCAAGACGGCGCAACACGTCTCGGCGACCCCATCATCCCCTCTTCAGAAACCTCTCACCCAGACATCGACGCTCTTGCCCTCTCAGGAAACCTCAAAGTCAAAGTTCTCGAAGGCCGCGTCGCCGTACAAGCCACACCCACAGGCCAAGAAGACACCGTCAAAACCCTACTTGGTCCTCTGACACCCCAAGACGTGCCCATCGTCCGGTGTATCGGATTGAACTATAAGACACATATCCTCGAGACTGGCTTCGATCTCCCCGAAAATCCTACACTCTTCATCAAATCCCCCATGACAGTAGCCGACACGCGGCAACCAACTCCAATTCCAAAATTGGGACAGACACATCTAGACTATGAAGGAGAATTGACAATCGTCATTGGGAAAGATGCAAAGAACGTCAGTGAAGAAGATGTACGTCATTTTCATCCAAATCTTCCCAAACCACATCGCATGCTCAATACTAATTCTCCTCACAGGCCCTCGACTACGTAGCAGGCTACACCTCCGGAAACGACATTTCCTGCCGCGACTGGCAAATGGAAAAATCCAAAGCCGGCATGATGCCACAATGGTGTTTTAGTAAATCTTTCGATAAATACGCTCCTCTCGGCCCGGCGATCGTAAGCACTTCCGTCCTCGGCGATGCTTCGAATCTCGTGCTCAAGACATTTGTCAATGGCGAGGAACGCCAAAATTCGAACACAAGTGACTTGTGTTTCGGTGTGAAGAAACTGGTGAGCTTTTTGAGCACCGGCCAGACGTTGCAGGCGGGAACATTGATCATGACGGGCACGCCGGGTGGTGTGGGATTGGGATTCAAGCCGCCGAAATTTTTGCAGGATGGAGATGAGGTTGCTGTAGAGATTGGAGGAATTGGAAAGGTGGTGACGAAGATGCAATTTGAGTAGAGGGAGAAAAGGACTTGCAATCTACAGTATGATCGATGGTTGTAGTAGACTGTCTGACGAGAATACATGTCCAGTGCTGTTCAGCTTCCATGCAAATCTGTTGATCGTATTTCTTTCCAAGCTGTTGGTTCGAACATGCGTCGTAATTCGTTAATGTAAGATCGGCGAGATGCTCAGGTAAAGTATCTCTCGAATCTCCCTTCTGCAGGCGGCGTTACGTCCAGCTCCCCATGTTGTTCTCGTCGAGATACCCACGTATGTCGGTCCTGCTCGACGGCCTCCAACGCGGCCTCGATGTCGTTCTCACTGTTGCCAGTCCTTTCTTGGCGGTGAGATTGGCGCAATGGAATTTGTTGCTGAGTCGTGTGATTGTGGTGTCTCACCAAGTCGTGCTGAGGCGAGCGAATTGGAGTTGAGCTCTGATATATGGGTGACCGTGTTGGCTGCATAGGCGAGGCTCTGTGATCGACGAACAACGTGTGTCGGGCAGGCGTGACGGCTGGTGCCCTCACTGGCGTATCGCTAGTGACACTTTCCTGCCTTGAATTGCTCATAGGGTAAGTCTGGCGGTTGCTGGCTCGCTCTGGTACAGCGCTCAACGGGCTGCTCACAAGCTCTCCATGGATTCGCCGAGAGGAGCTTGGCGAGTGCCGGTATCTGCGTGCCGTGGATCTGACAAGATCGGCTGGCGTCTGTGGCTGTAGTGACATGGGTAGTGAGTCGTCGTAGACGGTGACGTGTGGAGGGCCTTTCGGTGTGCCACACGGTATTGACGAGGATGAATCCACGTCTCGTGATGGCGACATTGCTTGTCGTTGTCCCGAGGGAGATAGATCAGGCAACGGTTGCACCTGAGGCGAAGGTAGGGCTAGAGAGAGCTCATACAGATCTTGGGGATCCACGAGAGAGTCCCGACGAATCTTTGCATTGTCTGCAGGTTTTGAAATTGGCGAAGAAAGCGCGCGATGTCCACTGGGTTCTTTTGGCAAATCTGGCAAATCTGACTCGCCGCTCACTTCGAACGGGTTCCCAGACAACAACGATATACCCCGACCAGGACGGCGTTCAAAAGACCTTCCGACAGATCTCGGACGATATGCACCCGCGGCCAGGCGACTGAGTTGCTGGCTGAGCTCGTCGAGCGGAGAGTCGCGATGCAAGAGGTCGAGCGGAAATGTTGTTAATGCGGACGCCCGGTTATCGATACCATTTGCGCTGCTGACGACTCTGGATTTCTGGCTCTTATTCTCGTGCGTCCGTTCCCAAGTCAGCGAGCTACTTCGAGTCCGTATCCGAGGACCATGAGTTGAAGGTGGCGACCTCATAGCGAGCAGGTTAGGACTGGACCTGTGACTCTGTTGTTCACGAACATCGTCGTGAGGCCTAATGTCATGATCGGAGCTGGCGTGATGGCGGCGAGAGCTGGTACGCTTGGGGAGTGCAGGTCTCCGAAACGGCGGATAGCGATCGATGTTGCCCTCTGTCAAGAAGCTCGCTGACCCTTGTACCAATTTTGGCACAAAAATTGGTGCACCAGGATCCAGCAATGGTATGGCAGGCTGGTCGAAACGATTCGGGGGGTCTTGTTGTTTTGGGGCGTCGGCGCTACAAATTGCCGCTTGGGAAGAGCATGAATCCGCCCGCATGCGACCTGTATCTTCATGTGCTCTGGTAATGCTTGCACGTGTGAGGTGGCTTGGAACTGAGCTCAGCTTTACGCCGCCAATCCTGAATTGGGTCTGTTGCGAAGGCTGTCTGGCTTCGAATCGTGTCTGATAATCTTTGATGTCAGCATGGGACAAGCCCACGCGAGTCGGCCGTCCCAGTAGCATGATACGTGGTCAAGTCGGTATGAGATCCATGTTGGCTGGTGATTAGACGAGAGAAGTTGAAGCTGCCGAGACAGTCGTGCATGTGGTAGTTGCGCATCTGCAGAGCAAGGTAGTCGCTAGGCGTTAGCATGCTGCGAAGTCAGTGACGCTGTGAATCATGGCATTTCTAGCAGGAGGACAGAGGGCGGAGCACAGGATGAATTGGGAAGGCATGCGGATACGTTGGCTCCGAGACAGCAGCAGCGTCCGTAGCGACATTTGCCATGAGACAGCAGTAGTAGCCGTGGCAACATTGGGCTTTGCAGTGAGATTGTTTCATAGCAGTTCTTGAAGCCCGGAAGACGCAAGGCACCTCTGCACCTGGAGAGCGGACTCCTGTCACATCTGGGAATTCTAGACGGTCACGAGTTCGTGCCTGCAGACTGCAGTGAATGTTCGGCGGACTGCAGGACAGCAGCAGGCGCGGCGGGAGGGCCAAAGTACTTCGAGACTTGTCCAATGAGGCGGTGACTCGGGAGAATATGGTGAAGCTCTGCAGCACCCGGGTATCTGCCGCAATGCCAGCTCAGCGGAGGGGCTGAGGAGGGCGGGCGCGAAATCGCAGGTGTTGGTGCAGTTGGGGAGGGCGTGAGAGGAGGGGAGTCGTTGAAGGAAGACGCCGGTGTTGGCGGTGGAGCAGCGAAGGAAGGGCGGGCGCGTCATGCTATATTTACGACACGCGAGAGCTGTGTTCTGACGTTGGCTCGTCTACACACTGCATCGTTCGGTAAGTTGGAGAGAGGCTCTGCTCTGCGCTTGGCTGCCATACCGTTACGTGCGTGCGTTCGGCAGCGAGCCCGACGACGGCCGTGGTCTGTGGTGCTGTCGTCTCCTGCACTACGCTATTACAGTATTACTATAGCCTTCGCCCATCCGCCGCCCAGACTGCACTCTGAGACACCTTCCACGCTTGCCCTCCTCCTGGATTTGGCGTCAGCGTTGCGGAAGACCGCCCGCTGTCCTGAAAGCTTGAGTCGTTCGTGCTCTGCGGCCCGTCTCGACTTGGACGCTGCGGACGACTGCCCACGACGACGACGACGACGTACTCCCCTCCTCTCACGCCTGCCTCCGCCCGGCACCCATATCACGCCCATCGCCGCTTCCCGCCCACCGCTCCTGCGAGCCACCGCGACCCTGCGCCGGCCGGCCACGCGCTGCCACACGCTCGCTCGCTCGCTCGCTATTCCCCATCTGGCCCACGCACGCTTGCACGGCTCCCACTGGTGATGCCGGAGCACTCCACCATTGAGACGCACACATCACGGCAGGCGCTGCCTCCCCACCCACAACCATGAGCGGTGGCGACCTGTCGCTGTCGCAGTCCTTGGGCGGTCTGCGCATCGCCAATCCCGACAACGATGTCACCTCGCCCACCTCGCCCACCACCCCGAGCTCGAGACCGCCTCCGCCCTCGTCACATTCTTCCGAGAGCACCGTCACCGATGGCCGCCGTCCCGCCTTGCTGTCTCTCGCCGGAGAGCCAGGAGGCACGCTCGACGCTGGAGGCGACTCAGGATTAGACTTTGACCCGAGCAGCTACGAAATGCAGTCCACAGACGCTGCTCAGCCGGCACAGCCGAGGCGATCCCCCTCCGTGCAGCAGTCGCAGTTTCCGGATTCCAGGCTGGAGCATCGATCGAGCATGCAGCTAACCCACCAGGCGCAACAGCAAGCACAATACCCCTCCTACAACCCGCAATTCCGGAATCCGAGCGTACAGAACATCGCGCAGCAACAGCGCATGAGCGGCTTGTACAGCCAGCTCAACAGCTCACAAAGCTCCGGGATTTCGCACCAAAGCGGCTATAGATACAACGACGACCTGGCCGCGTCCTCAGACGGAAGTGGGGGCCTAGCGAGGAGCGGATCGAGATCTGCACGAGCAGCATTGGCTGGCATACCTACTCGAGAGTCCAGCCGGTCCTATAGGCAGCCTGGAACCCCAATGAACGGCGCTGGGAATGGTCCACTCCCACCGAGGAGGAACTCGCGGAGAGGCAGAGCTCCCACAGGGGGATCATCATCAACAGGAGGATACGACGGTCAAGACCAGCCGTACGCTGGCTCAGCGCCGATACCACGCTCGCGAGAGGAATGGGAAGAGCGAGGCGCAGCCATGGGGACGCGAAAGGAGACCGACGCGTCGAGCTCGCAATCATCACGCGTGGTCAAGAAGGGTGTCAAGGACTTCAACTTTGGCCGTACTTTAGGAGAAGGCTCATATTCCACTGTGTTGGCCGCTACAGACAGGCAGAACCTGAAGGAGTACGCCATCAAGGTCCTGGATAAGAGACATATCATCAAGGAGAAGAAGGTCAAATACGTCAACATTGAACGAGACACGTTGAACCGCCTGACAGAGCACCCTGGGATTGTGCGGTTATACTACACTTTCCAGGATGAGCGGTCACTATACTTCGTCCTGGACTTAGCCACAGGAGGTGAGCTCCTAGGGGTCTTGAAGAAGCTGGGCTCCTTCGACGTGGAATGTACCAAGTTCTACGGCGCCGAAATCCTGGACAGCGTAGCATACATGCACAGCCGAGGCGTGATCCACCGAGACTTGAAGCCGGAGAATGTCCTGTTAGATCGTGACATGCACGTCAAGATCACCGACTTTGGTACTGCCAAGATTTTACCGGATCCCACACGGAATGGCTCAACTGTGATTGGAGCGTCCAGTGGCCGACCGATGGATGGTGCTGAAACGGATCGAGCTGTCTCCTTCGTCGGTACTGCAGAATACGTTAGTCCTGAGCTGCTACGCGATAAGAACGCTTGCAAGGCGTCCGACCTGTGGGCGTTTGGATGCATAATATACCAGCTGCTTGCAGGACGACCGCCTTTCAAGGCCGCTAATGAATACTTGACGTTCCAAAAGATCTTGGCTTTGGACTACACATTTCCAGAGGGCTTTCCTGAGGTGGCGAAAGACTTGATCGAGCGACTTCTGGTGCTTGAGCCGGAACGTCGACTGCCAGTTGACCACATCAAGAGTCATAGATTCTTCGATGGTGTACAATGGGGCAAAAGTCTGTGGCGGCAAAAGGCTCCGCGCCTAAAAGCATACGTCCCACCTCCCGCAGCTCCAATAAAGCTCAATGGCACAAGTGTCAGGGTGGGCAACAGCGGCGGCATGGCAAGCTCTGCGGCCGCAATCGCGCTGTCATCGTCACAGTCGCAGCAGTCGGTTGCGCAACACCCTCCTCGCAGGCCCCAATTGCACAATGTGACTGAACTTCCGCCGCCTAGCCAGCTGGATATCGACTGGTCTCCTGTACTCACACACAACAATGAGAGGATCTTAAAGCTCGGAAACTTGATCGTCACGGCAGCACCTCAATCCAGCAGTCCAACCAACAAGAATGGTGAAGTGCAAACGCCATCTGAAAAGCCCAAATTCTCGCGTTTCTTCAGCAGCAATACGGCCAAGAAACGGGAAAGACTCGTCTTGATTACCTCATACGCACGACTGGTGGTCGCTGCAGCAGGAGGAAACGAAAAGAAATCGAAGTTAGAGATCAACCTTGCTGCAAGTGGCGCAACATGTAAGAGCTGCGTAGATTCCAAGGGCCTGACTTATTGGACCATTGACACTGTGAGTATCACCCTTCCCAGAACTTTCCTCCGCGAAAACTAATCATGACAGCGTGACAAACATTACACATTTGAGGATCCTCGAGCAACGACTTCCGACCCTGCTGGCAGCAAGTACTCAACACAAGAGTGGCTGGACTGCGTAGAACAGGCCCGAGAAGTCGCCATCGCAACATCGATGACCAACTCCTATTCCGGCGATTCAATACTGAATGACCTCAATGCAACGTCGGCCATGAGCTCACCCGCCGACTCTGTAGGTGACGACGCAGTCATGCCGTTGGGCGGCCCCAGCGCCGGTGAGAGGCACGGGCATGCGCTGCGCCACACATTACGCAAGAACACCGACGACGATGATCGAAGCCTGAAGGGGAGAAAGAGATTTAGCAAGAGGCACAGTAAGAGTGGGCTTGCCGCAGTGTTCTAGTGACATGCTGCGAACAGGCTACGAGGCGCTTCTGTGCTGCTGTCTGGGGCTGCACGACGCACGCCTTATAATGCTTACGTGGCACACCTCAGGAGACCGCAGGCTGCCTTGCTGACGCTCACTGCCTGGTCAGCAATGCCGGAATGGAGCTTCACAACACGGCGAGCCTTCCTCGGAAAATATACACAATCGACACATCATTCACCGTTTCATGACGACACGACTCTCTATACCATCCCATGTACGCAGCGGTCTGATTCTTTGCACTCGCTGCACCCATTTTCCCACAGATGCATTGTTGAGGAGTGCTTTAGAGCGAGCAAAGCGGGAGTTTTTTCTACGACGATGAGCGCTGGTATCTTTGGCGTCACCTTTTTGGCGAATGCGCGCTTCCTGGGTTATCTGCCTTGGGCAGGAGCTGGATGTTTGGTGCAGCTTCAGTAGCATAGAAAAATCTTTGGTGTACAATGTACGTAGAGCTCACTCCAAGAGGATGATGGGCGATGCGAGTAACGCGGAAGAAAGAGAATAGGAGAAATTCAGCAGCTGACTCCCCCTACTTATTGCGAATTTCCACTTTTGCGAAGTGCTTTGGATGGCGTGGGTGAAGCAGATTGTGCAGATTACTGGGAGAGGAATCGAATGCTGTGTGCTGATGAAAGCAGATACACTGGCGTCTCTAGATTCACGCGGCACGACGTAGGGAGGTCATACTGCAGTGGTGAGAGTGAGAAAACGACGTCACTCTTCACGCAGTCAGCAATTGATGAAGATTACCGCAGCTGGGAACGTGTTCGTGCGGTCTATCGTCAGACCACGCTGACGCCGCGTGTGGCGTGCCCGTACCTGAGCGGCCCCTGCCACACTGCGTTTCAAGTCTCAAACTTATGCCTGATGCAGATTTGTGGTGGAGCAGAAGGAAGCTCGCGTGGCGATGGATGTCATGCAGGTGCTTCTTTGACAGGTTAGCTTGTTGAATCCTGAGGTTTAGGTTGTGTTTGCACTGTTTGGTGATGAGTCTGTGAAGCGGTTTCCGCTCGTGGTTGATTGATGATGAATGCACTGGTTGCTATGCAATGCGTCGGAATCGTGAGGTTGGGAGTGGAGTCTCCACTTGTCCAGCGCATCGACGCCAGGTTCCAATCGTACATATCAATTCACGCCAGGTCCGATTTTACGGCAAGATCAAAGCCAGGTCGGATTTGATGTACGATTACCTGACTTGGCGAATGCTGTTGAGAACTGATCTCTGCAAGGTCTCATGATTCAACGATTGTTTGAAGAGTGGTGGTGTGCTGGTAGACGGAAACTCTGTTCATGATTGTTCTTGGTCGTTTTCATCTATCCTCAGGGCAAGTGCATATCAGAACAGATCGATAAGCGTTCGGCGCGCGCCACCTCTGCCATGTCCAAAGATCTGTGCCCTGCGTGACACTCTTTTTTCCGCCAAACTGCTCAGCTCCCGTACATCTCCGTGCGGCTTCTACACGAATTCTATTGTGCTACGGTCCCATGCAGCGCACCGTCGACAGCGGTGCAACGTGCGCCAATGCACGCTGCTCATGCCGGCATGATGTCAACCACGTCCGGCGTCTTTTGTTCCATGGATCCGACGTGCTGGCGGCTTCAATGCCGGGGTCTGGAGCGGAGTGAAGAGCGCAGGCATGCATGCGACTGATCGAGGGCTGAGCAATCAACCTGACTGGCGTGAGATCTGTCAATTAATATGTCCACACCGTCTCCCGACTGGCCGATGCCTGGACGCGCGCTGCGTCGCCGTTTTGCGGTGGGATGCGCGAAGCAATTTGCAATTGCGCGCCTGCTGACCGACCCAGGAGCGCGTTGCTGCGGGCAGGCTTCGTGCTGGGAGTGCCGACAAGCAGCCAGCCGCCAGATGCAGAAGCACACGGCCCCAAAGGAGATGGCATTGATGATGTGGTGGAGGAGGATTGTGACGGGAGAGTGGGAGACCATGGCCTCTCGGAAGGCGGCCAGCGAGCTTTGCACGGCCATTGGCGAAGTCTAATTCGCTGTCTCCCGCACGTCACCCTATCAAACATCGCCGAACAATGTCGCCCATCACCGCGGTAGCGACGACTGCCACTTCCGCTTCGGTGTCAAGTGTCGTCTCGTTGTCGCGTGCAGCACGCGAGGGCCCTCCACCCGCCTCCACGCACGCTGCTGCTGCACTTCTGCCGGGCGGCTGCTGGGCCGCGGTCTAGCGACGACAAAGGCCACCAGAAGACGACTCCTCGCCGCCAAATGGGAAGCTGTTGCACGGCACGAATGCAGTCGTGGCCCCGTCGCTTCTGCGCGACTCGACCAGGCGCTATCGGATCTGCTCATGCTCCCGAAAGTATCACAAGGCGCTCGACTGCTCTGGACGACGAGCTGGATCCCGAAAGTGCGACGCAGCACCAATAATTCCACACCCCCATGCACGCGCTGCGCATCCTGCACCGAATCGACCATGCTGGGTGTTGCATATGCGCTGGGGCCCTGCCGAGCGGGAGCTGCTCGCGTGTGTACACACCGTAAGTCGTCGTGATAGGACTCGTCACCGCGGACTGCTCTCTGCTGCTGACCCTCTGTTTTCTCTCTCTCGCTCTGTATACTATTTCCTTGCGTCGCTGCTTTCGATCCCGTCTCCCCTTCTCCGTCCCTGATGTGAGTGAGCATCACTTTCGCCACGATTTCTACGTCAAACAAAGCAAGACCCCCGCCATGATCCGAGCCACGTGTATTTCGAACAAAGGATAACCGCCGGCTGTGATCGATAACACTCTATCTCCTAATACTTTTCCCTTGGCGTTGGCAACGGTTGTAACCTGTGCCTGGCAAAAGTGGGTTTTGCTGTACCTCTTGACCCGCAGCTCGATCTTTCCCATCTTTCATCCGATGGCTACTCGAAGTTATGCAGACGTGGCACCGACCGCTGCAACTATAGGTATGTCTGACCCCGGGCCTCACAATTTTGGCCACATCTCTGACCATGCGCAATCGAACAGCCTTGAACGCCTACATCTACGGCTATGGAGGCCACTCATTAGTGACACCACATCAGCAACTCAAACAACGATGGTGGACCGACGAGAGGATAGATGCGAAAGTGACTCGGTCGTTCGTGATCAGCAAACTTCGTGGCGAGGAACGCGACTTCCTCGACAGGCCTTTAGCGTTTGGCGAGGGCTTGACTGATGATACTTACATGGTATGCGATCCAATGGCTTCCTCCTACCTTTCCTGCGTCAATTACTGAGTATTCATTGCAGGACTGGATCCTCGATCGAGCGAAGCGACTTTTCTTAATCTTGACCGAAGTCGGTGTACCAGACCAGATCTTTGGTTGCATCGACGACTCTTGGGACGATGACGACCTTCCTCTATCGCTTGAGAACGTCGAGAACCTGGAGCTGTCCTACAAGAACGATGAAGTACTCAACAAAAAGTTCTATGACATGCAGTTCACGTTCTTGCTTCGTGAGCTCAAGCAAGGCTCTCACATCGATTATGGGTCCAAAGAGCATATTCCGATGGAGCACGTCAACACATTACCTCCAGCTGTCACACTTCAACCATTCGATCGTATTCACTTTCCCGGTAAACCGGACGAAATCTTCATGCGCAGGAAGTACTCTCTCGTTGACAAAGTGACCGGTGATAGACACCACGACAAGTACAAGCGCGATATTCGAAAAGCAAGGGCTCTGGACCACGAGCACATCGCATCCTGCTGGGCATCGTACACTTCTGAAAACGCCGGCTTCATCATTTCCGACTTTGTGGCTGAGCACACACTTGCAACATATATTGAGCACCGGACGCCCACGCAATACATGAAGGTCGTCGCATCGGAACGACCGGCGCTGCTTTGCGAATGGATGCACTGCCTTTCGGATGCCTTGGCATGCTTACACAGTCGTGGTGTCGCGCACACTGCAATCCGGCCTTCCAATATCTGGATTGACAAGGACAACACCATTGCATTCGGAGATGTTGGCTCGCTCAGTACCTTCCAAAGAGGCAAGAAAGCTCCCAAAACGGAAGCATACGATTATGCAGCGCCCGAGTCACACATTTCACAGACACCTATTACCTTGAAATCCAGCTCGCCTCCAGTCAGCAGCATGAGCGCCTTCTCCCGATTGCGTAAAATGAGCACCAGTACCTTCACCACCATCGACACAGTCAGCTCTTCAGAATCTTCTGGAGCCAGCAGCACGCGCAGCAATAGTTTCGTGGGAGGAACCACTATCGGCAGCCCGATCACATCGCCCACGGTGTCATCTCGAGATGGACGATGCAACAGCATCACGACGATACGCACCCCGGTCACACCCGCACTCGAATCTGAGCCTCGCTCGCCGCAGTCCATTCGCAACTTCTCACGGCAATTCGCTGAGACGTGCCCGTCCCCAACCGTGCCTACAGGACCCTATCCACCACCGTCCATCGAAACTGCATCTCTACTCCTTTCACGACCTAGCATAATAGACGCTGCTACTCTTTGCGATCTGCCGAGAGCAGTCCCCGAGATGAGCGACATTTGGTCACTTGGATGCATTTTCCTCGATATCCTCACATTCATGATCAAAGGCAAGAATAACGAATTCATCAAATTTCGATCTACGCGCGTAACGACGAAGAACCGAACACGAACGGATTCTTCTTTCCACAATGAGCCGGATAAGATTTGGGCGTGGATCGACTTGCTCGAAGAGGAGAGCACGCGCCACGGCGAGCAGATCTATCGTGGTGTGCCGGATCTGTTGAGATTGATCAGATCAATGATGGCTCAGAATGCAACGCTCAGGCCCACGGTGCGAGACGTCCGGGATCGCATCCAAGAAATCATGGTTGGCGAGTGCGGAGTAGAAGTTCTATGCTGCGCTGGGCGAGAATGGTCCGAGTTCTCGAGAGGCGATCTCAAAGACAACATCAGCACTGCATCTCCTCGAAGAGGTCGCAATGACTCTCCACTGGACGCAGACGCCAGCATTGCTATGGGTATGATCAGCCTCGAACCACCTCGGAAAGGCAGCGATGCTGGATCTCGCTACAATGACAACCGACAAAGAGGCAGCGTTGCCTTAGAACAACGACTCAATGCTGCAGAACAGGATGCGCTTGCCCGAACAACATCACATTTTGGATCTTCTGCGCAGAGAAGACGCAGCTCGGCATCCACTGTCACAGCCAAAGTCAGCTCATGGCGAAGTAAATTCTTCAGTGGAGGTGGTGGCATAACGGCGTGAAAGGCATTTGTACATGGCGCGGAATTCTGACCAACTCTCTATGTTTGGCATATTTCTGCATTGTTGCATAATTTGACGTGTAATATATATTCCAACCTAACTATGGCGACGCGAATCTGAGCGAGCTACTAACAAGATACCCTTCGGTAATGCGTATTCCAATAAATGAACGAATGAATCATAAAAATCTCACGTCTTCCTCTCCTTGATTCGCACTTTCAATCCACTCGGTCTCGACATCCAATACCCTTCAACGTTCCATTCTTCGTCTTCATCACCCGCCCACTCGAAATCGAATTTCCTCAAAAGCTGCGGCACGAGTTTCATAGCTTCCATTGTGAAAATGTGTCGTCCGATGCAGATTCGACTTCCGTCGCCGAATGTAAAATAGCATCGTTCCATTTTTGAGAGCTGTTCCGGTGAGGCTTCCAGCCACCTCTCGGGTCGAAACTCGAGGGCATCTGGGCCGAAGACTGAGGGGAGAGTATTGAGGACATTTGGTGCTGCTCCGATGCGGGTTCCGGCTGGGAGGTGGACGGTTTCGGCTTTGGTGTTGTCTTTAGTATTGTGGATACTGACGAGCAAACCGCCTGCTGGTACGACTCTTTCGAGCGGCATTGTTACGGCTGGGAAGAGGCGGAGGACTTCTTTAAGGACTGCGCGGAGGTATGGTAGTTCGTTGGCTTCGGCGAAGCTTACGCAGGAGGGGAGTTTGTTTGCGGTGTCTGCTTCGTCGATCTCGGCGCGAAGTTTGGCGTACGTTTATGGATTCTTAACGAGGTAGTAGAAGCAAGCTGTGAGAGAGAAGGCGGTCGTATCAGATCCGACGAAGACATTGATCATCAGGCTGTCGATAATGTCTCTGTCGCTGAGTTTGCTTGGGTTGTTGGACTGGACGTTGTGAAGTTAAGATATGTAATCGCCACGATTGTTGTTATTGGTTTTGCGATAGGAGCGCATCGCTTGGAAGACTGCCTATGTAGAGAGTAAGTACGGGACACAAGATGATAATAGAAGTTCCGTCACTCACATCTCGAACCTTCAAAGCGATGTTGTTCTCTCTGAAAGCCTGAAACGAGTTCAAGAATTTGAGGAGTCTGGCGTTACCAATAAGCCAGCGGTGTAATCCTGGAATAAGTCCGACGACGCTCATATATACCAGGGCATCGAAGTGAGTGTCGAGGCCGAAATCGTCTCTGCCCTTGTCCAGCATGCCGAAGGGTTGCATGAAAGTGATCATTCCCACCACGTCAAAGGCATAGAAGTGAGATCATTCATCCAAATGTACGACACTTTCAGGTTCAAAATGCTTGAGCTTCTCAACGAACAAGTTGGTGCAGTCGTCGACCATTGGCTCCAATTGCTTGAGGGAAGAGAGTGAGTACGCCGGGGCAACGGCAGCCTTCATCCTCTTGTGATATGCCACATCTGGGTTAGAAAACAAATTCGCCCTCGAAGGCGACGGGAGCTCATACTCCGTGCCATCTTTTATTTCCGCCTGGAAGCTGCCGTAGAAGTCTGACTTGACGTAGTTGCTTCCGGCTCCGTATACTCTTGCAAGCAGCTCCGGATCATTGAATACTACTCTCTTTGGGCCCGTTCGAACAAAAGGCCCATACTTCGCATGAAGTTCTCGCCAAAATAGATGGCTGCGGCCTTCTCCACTCTTCCGGGCTATCCAAAAATTCGTGAAGCGGGCGAGCGATGGACCCGGTATCTTACGAAGAGGTGTCAAGAGTGCACTGTATACAAGACTGGCCAAGATCGGAAGTATGAAGAGAATTGCAGTCGTCCTGACCAAGTCCATTTCCAAAAGCAGCATTGTCGATCGCGAATTGCGTGATACCGTCGACAAATGTGTAGTAGCGTTAGCAATATCGATAACTGCTACAGGTGAATCCGAGCTCTCAAGTCCTGGTGCCACTTCATGCCTTTGTCAGCGTAGGATTTCAGCCCTCAGCCGCACTGACCTGTCGCGCAGATCCACACCACACGTGTACAGAGCTGAACCGTGATGGTATTTCCGTCCTCAGACATGGACTGGACAAGAACGAGGCTCATACAAACCCCCCATTCGATTTGAGACCTCTCAACCCCATAGAGCATTCCAACAACCATTTCCCATCTCTGTTTCTCCTGTAGCGATTTTCCATCAGGCCTCCAAGAGTCACGCCGCCACTTATACCGGTGATGTCGGCTTCCGCGAGCAACCTGGCCACGCCACGCCCCAAGTCCACGTCGCATGAGCAATGTTTGATCTCGATGCGCATTTCAGGATCCTGTTTGTGCCATTCCCGCCATGCATCGTTGACTTCTGTCCAGCTCAGCTCGGTCTTGTCTTTGGCGTCGAATCGTGCTGTGAAATTTGGCGAGAGGTGTGAGAGTACTACTTGTCCGGCTTCGCCCTTGTGGTCGTGGTCGTGTTCGTTCAACGCTTGAATCGCTAGGAAGTAGAGCTCGCATATTTGCCTAGAAGTCGTATTCTTCTCGTACTGCGGTGCATGCTGCGCACTCGTTGAAGGTCTTTCTGAAGGGTGCAAGTCTCGCCTGTCGTCCATCAGAATGAGCCAGATCCCTTGTAGTATGCAAAAGTATCCGTATCCTTCTGGTCCTTGATTAGTATTCAATTCATCTTTGAGGCTCAGTGGTACGGCAAAATTTGCGAGACGTACACCGCGGAGTATTGTAGGGAGTCCCCTGTCACGAAGATCCAGACCTGAGAGATCACCACCGTGTGCTCTGAACAATGTTGGATGCTACCTCCGCATGCATTGAGCCGTATTTATGCCACAATATACTCGTTCGTGCCCTATCGAGCAACTGTCCACATCTCAATACTCCCTGTCTTTTCCAGGCGTGGACAGATCGCAGACGCCGATTAGCTTTGACGCAGAAGACCAAGGCACAAACCCATGGCTATGATGACCAGATTCCCAATCGAAGCAAAATCGCAGGCCTTGGGACCAATTCTTTTCTCCGAACCACACCCTCGCTGGGCTTGAGCACGAATCACCTTTCTGCAGTCCTTTCCGCGATCGGCAAGAAATGGCCACTTCAGAATACTCTATCCTCCCCGACCTGGCCGCGGCAACAGCAGGCCTGGGGCCAGCATGCTCCTAGACAGCACCATTTCTGGAGGGATTCTTGCCAAGTCGAGAGCATTTCGGAGGATCATTCACAAGAATTCTTCAGTAATCGCCGCGAGGTAAACAAGGCCCCAGGTTCTTGCATGATGTTCGACTGCGTGACTACACCTTGGCCAAGTCATCCAAAGGACCACCAAGTCGCACTTCAGACCATCCCGACTGTCCATCACGATGGAGCGCCATTCTTGGCATGTGTATAGTAGTGAGGGATGTAGTTGAGCGATTGTTAGAAATCTGCCACGTTCATGTTGCGGTCGTGTAGGAGTGTTGGCAGCCGCAAAGGGTGAGCCACGGGTGTCGCTGCCGTCGAGACTGTGGATCTTGTGGCTGATGTGGGAAACTCCCCAGCACAGCTCAGCAAGCTCAAGGATGGCGTCAACACCAACACCCAAAGTATGGCCCGAATTCGCCCATTCTTGCCCTCGAAAGCCCTGAGGTCATCCTTCAGGGCTTCTATACGGTACACCAAGCCCAGACATCTCGTCACACCATGACCGCACCACCAACCCGGCTCTTCGAGCCCATCCGGCTCGGCAAAGTCCAACTATCCTCCCGCATTGTGATGGGCCCCGTGTCCAGCAACGGAGCAGATGATAATAACGTCCTCTCTTCAGTGGCAGTCTCATACTACGCCGAGCGTGCCCAATTCCCAGGAACACTCATCATAGCCGAAGCTACATTCGTCTCGCCCCAAGCCAGCGGCATCTCAGAAGCTCGAGCTGGAATCTGGTCCACGGCCCAGATCGCCGCATGGAAGGAAGTGGTTTCCAAAGTTCACGAAGCTGGAAGTCACATCTTCTTGCAGCTCTGGGCTCTAGGCCGTTCCGCAGAACCAGAGATTAAGCAGAAACAAGGGACTGGTGATGTCGTCTCGAGCTCTGCCATACCCATGGAAGGTGGCCCGGTTCCGCGTGCGTTGACTGATGCTGAAATTCGGCAATATATCGCAGACTACACACAAGCTGCAAAGAATGCTGTCGAGCTTGCTGGTTTTGATGGGATCGAGCTTCATGGGGGAAATGCCAGCTTGATCGATCAATTTACCCAAGAAGTCGTGAATCAACGTGCCGATGACTGGGGTGGCAGCGTGGAAAAGCGATCACGCTTTGCACTTGAGATCACGAAAAGCATTGCTTCGGCCATCGGACCTGATCGCGTAGGATTTCGCGTTTCGCCGTGGAGTACGTATCAAAGCATGGGGATGCCCAAGGACAAGACCATTGCGCAATTCTCCCACCTGGTGCAAGGTTTGAAGGAGCTCAAGATCGCTCATTTGCATCTCGTGGAGTCACGGATCGCAGGAAGGACCGATGTTGACGCTGGAGAACCTCTTACTCCGTTCATTAATTTGTGGGCGGATGCTTCGCCTATCATTATTGCTGGCGGCTTTAGTCCAGAGAGCGCAAAGGACGCAGTTGATGAGGAGTACAGGGGTAAAGGTGTATTGATTGCATTTGGTAGAGCCTTTGTCAGGAACCCTGATCTTGTGCGCAGGATCCAAGATGGGACTGCGCTACAGGAATAAATTTCAGCGTGTTCGGAAGCTGACCCAGCGTGTCTATGCCAGGCATAGCGCAGGCTCTACGGCATGCAATACGAACAAGAGTCGTAATTTAAAATTTGAACAATGACAGCACAAAAGTTGAACAGAGAAGACTCATTGATTGGTGTGAAGTTCATTTTATTCATTCTTTACAAGATGACTGCAGTAGTCCATCTTAGCCCGTTCGGCATAGTTACATGTTCATCATCATGATCATACAGCGACCCTTCAAGAGCCCGTGTCATTCCATGCATTTCTGGCACTATCTAAGCACCATTGCCGTTGTAGGCAAGTCTGTTTCCAGAGAAGAGTTGCAGACCAAGGTTAAGAGCGTTCCTGTACGATGATTAGTAAAGTTTCAAACTTCATGTTACGTTGGACTTACTTGGTGCTCAACTCCTGGATGCGGCTGCAGAGTGCCTGAGGATCTTGTGGACCCTCGAGTGCCAAAAGGTAGGCACCAAGACCAGCAACGTGAGGGCTAGCCATGGAAGTACCGGAGATGGTGTTGGTGTCAGAGTCGCTATCGATCCAGGTGGAGGTGATGTTTGAGCCAGGGGCGAAAACGTCAACAAGGAGACCGAAGTTGGAGTACGAAGCGCGGCGATCCTGGTCATCGGAAGCACCGACGGTGCAGACCTCTGGAGCAGAAGCTGGAGAGGCAGTGATGGTTGGGAGACCAGAGTTACCAGCGGCGACAGCGAGGAAGAGACCCTCGGCGACGGCCTCAGCGACAGCGGCGTTGGTGGCTGGGCTGAGAGGACCACCCAGAGACAAGTTGCCGACGGCCTTGCCGATGCGGCCCTTGGACTTGGCGTCATTGACGGCCCAGTCGATACCTGCGAGGACACCGGCGTTGGATCCAGATCCCTCAGCTCCGAGAACCTTCACGGCGATGAGAGTAGTCTTCTTGGCGACACCGTAGGTGGTTGAGCCAGTTGTGCCAGCGACCTGATCAATCAACGTTAGCAGTGAAGAGATGATTCAGTGATTGAATTCGACTTACGTGAGTACCGTGTCCATTTCCATCACCCTCTTGCTCGCCATCAACGAAGCTGGCACCGAAGACGGCACGGCCACCGAAATCCTGGTGTGTTGTCCTGATACCTGTATCGATGATATACGAGAAAGTACCCTCTCCAGCGGAGTCGTCGTAGACGTAGTCAGTGGCGCCGTTTTCACGGTGCGAGATACGGGCCAGACCGTACGATGGGACATTCGACTGTGTGACGAGCGCCGAGGTTGTGACGCGAGTGTTTGGCTCAATGGACTCGATCGAGGCGATATTGGCCACCAAACCAAGAAGGTTGTCAACTCCATCGATGGAGAAACCCTTGAAGTTGCCGAACTCATAGGTGTGCTTAGCCTCAGCTCCACCGAGCGCGGATGAGACCTGCGAGATCACGTCGGACAGGACGCTATTCTGGTTGACGCGAACGATCCATGATCCGGCAATGGAATCTTCTTGTCTGGTGTTGAGGAGGACAGGCGCAGCGATTGCGGCTGGCACGGCCAGCAGGGCAGCAATGAAAGAACGCATATTGAAGATGAATAGCGGACTGATGAGAAACTGATCGCAGATGTGGCAAGGGACTCGCAAGCACTATATACTTGCCTGGTGATCTCAATTGGCAAATGGTAGCATTCGTGAGCGCCTCATGCGCGACCGACCCACAAGACGATCTGGTGTCTGCCTCTGGTAATGCCATCGCCGGTCTGTAACCCTTCATTCGCTTGCCAGCACAAAGATCGTCAATACCCCAATCTTGGCATCGCACAGACATCATTGTAAGGCATGGGAGTGCGAGCAGCGCCTCCACAGTTCCCAAGCGGGAAGAGGCCGAATTCGAGGATAGTTTAGATCGGCACAGAGACTGACCATTTCGCGTGGTGGGAGTGGACCAACGGCCGAGGCACAGCACCGAGACACATCGGAGGAGTGCTGACGTTCGCTACCTCATATGCTCTTGGCAAAGAGCAACTCCTTCCTGCTTCGTAAGGTGTCAAGCATGCCAAGGGAAAAGGCGTCGAGCTGCCAGAACTTTGTTTGCAGAAAGTTTAACGGAGCGTCCAGTCACCAGGGACGTCGAGCACTTGCTAAGCAGATCTTTCCGTATCCGTGCACTCTCAAGCTTATCCTCAAATCTTATTCTTGGAGGCGTTTCTCTTGGGTTACGGCGTGGTAGGTACTCGCGCTGAGTGGCACTTTGTTGAACGCCACGGCTAATGTTGTCCAGCAATTGCGCATACGTTCTGGACTATACAGCCCGCTCGTATTCAAGAGCTGGGCAGTAGAGTAGCATTCGACCACAGGAAAGTATACCAGGAGGTGACGTTGTAGTAGTTGGCAAGTCCGAGATAAGTGCAATCGGATATACGGCGGGGAGAAGGCTGCATTTGATCCTTCGTGCAGGACCTATCACTCGCGGAAATGGCTTGCGCAAGGACATGTCGTGCTCCTCACGAAAATTGCGAGCACCGCAATGTCCATCGTAGTACAGCACGCTCCGGGGTTTTGGACACGATGATGTCTTGGGCTCGCCGAAAGTTGAACGCTGCGCAGTGTCTCGGCTTCGACTGCGAACGGAGCGACTTCACTGCTACTGCGTGGTGATGTCGCATGTACCGTCGGAGTAACGGCAGAGGTAGGCCAAGGCCAAGGAGACGACAGACTCCTGCTGGCAGCTGCGCTGTTGCGCCGTTGCGCCACTTGGACCCTTCCCAACGTTGGCAGCTCAGATAAGCTTAACGTTGGAAAACCACCGACTGCCGAGCCAGGGAAAAGGCACAAGGCATGTCTCGGTCAACGCTCAGCCATTCCAAAGAGGTGACCACGTGCCTCCATGCGTTATGTCTTGTTCCATTCCGAATTCGAGTGCTCTCAAGAGATCGTCCCCGTCGATGCCCCTGGCCAGCGAACGTTGCATCCACAAAGAAGAACGGCACCAGCAACCCTAATGTTCCTCGGTCCTTGGTATCGAGATGAGGGGCCCAGTTCAGAGCTACTGGTTGAGTGGGCGGTGCAGCAAAGCGCCGGACGCTATCCGTTCCTCGAGAATCTCAATGCTGGCGTGAGAGGCGTCCACTAGCCCGCCACATCGCAGGGTTAGGATCAAGCATGAATACGCCACCGTGAGTATGGCTATGTGCCGAGGAACGCTCGTTGTGGCCGAGCTGGCATGCGTGCAGTGAGACTTATGCCTTTTTCGTGTCCCTTTGTCTCATGGCGAAGCGGTCCTACATGGAGACACTGTCATGGTTGCATTATTGAACGCTTTCGATCCAAGCTGAGGGACTTGGGTCGCGGGCGAACCTTCGCGCTCTGTTGTTGCGTAATTGAGGAGACCGGTGAGAAGATGTGGAACTAGGCTTCGATACTATACCTGAGGGGTGGATGCTTCTTATACATCAAGATTTCCAGCGACGTGGATCTGCTGTTGCATGATCATCGCGCCAAGAGAGGACAGATTTCTCGCATAGCTCGTTTAGCGATGATTGTCCACTCGCAAGGCAATCCGAGCGAAGGTCTGCATGCAACAAATGATAGAATGGCCGCGAACGAGATATCGTACGGCACATTCCAAGGACAAAGTCGCTGCTCTCGTCAGAGGATCTCAAAGACGGTCGTCTTGATCTCGTAAGCCGAATTTGACAAAGTCTTCCCTCTCTACCTCATGGGCACTCTTTACCCTCATGCCAGCCAACAGACTAGCGCCTGCCCATGCACCCAAGGTTTCAACTCCCCGGACTACACCCTTTACTGGAGCTTCCGATCGCCCTTGAGCCTGCGCACGCTCTGCCTTGATCGTGATGGGGTCTTTGATATCGTCATGCACTCGATCCATATGCGGCACGCCTTCTTGCAATGGCATCTTCAGCGGAGAAAGTGGCACAGTAGGCGTAGTACTGTCTGGAGGTGTCAGATTGACGGTGTTGGGTGAGCGCTCCCTGAGTGCTGGAGTTGTGTGGTTCTGCGCACTCCCGTAATTGGATACTGGATTCCAGCCTCGAGTGGCTATGAGAGTCTCAATCTCTTGGAGCATGCGCCGCTTTAATCCCGGAATGGTACCATAGATACCAGTCACCATAATTCGGCTAACGCAGACCGCTCGGAAGTCCGTTGGCAGCGAAAGAAGTACTTGATAGGCGAGTGTGGAGAGCGGCAAGTCGTGGTCGTCGTGTTCATCAGGCTTGCTACCAACAGCAAAGAGAACCCTTTCTGCAGGCTCAGCGAGCTTGTCGAAGAGGATTGAAAATGTCTCGTTTGATGTGCTTCCGGGAACTGGAAGCTGCACGACAGATGCATTGTGTTCGCCAGGTTTGCGCTGTTGACACCAGGCCATTCGCTGCGAGATGTCTTCAGCCTCTTCGAATGTGACTTTGACTTCTGCCTCACTAGGCACTGAGCCTTCAATGATATTGCCCATCTCACGTGTCAAAGCCTTGCCCGCTCGTACGCTACGCCGCTGTGCCACTTCCTTGTACTCTCCCACGGCAGTGACCACGGTCTCCTCCCAGCCTACGTCGATCACAATACCGTTTCTCAAGCCCGCGCTGACACAACACATGACAGGTTGCGTGAGGAGAGCGATCGAAGGGGGCTGCGTATAATGCCCAAATACGACTTTCAAGGCGACTTCAAGCAATGGCGATGGGAGCAGTGCAGGCATGACGAGCGCAGCCTTTCTGGGCTTCGTATCGAGCTGCAGGTAGTCTACGTGTGCTGTACGCAATGCGCGATCCAGCTTGTCTTCCACGAGACCCAGATCAACGTCTCGCAAATCATTGTGGTAGAGCTCGTAGCTGGCGGCCCACTCCTCTCGGAGCCGGTATGGGCGCATTCTGCACGCATGACCTTGGTCATACTGCCTGTGATCGCCTACTCTGCGCGCTGAATCTGGATCGAAGGGTATAATGCATCGTGGTCTGCTTTCACCTCCAAAGCCGGCGGAAAAGTAGCGTGGACCAATTTCGTAGATGACAACATCCTCTTGATCTGAGCGAAACCCGCCTGGACTGCCGAACTGAGAGGAAATGCTGCGACCCAGCTGCGGCGTTCGTGGGCTCCGCGGCGACGGCGCAGCGTGTAGGTTGGAGTGCGACGGCCTCGAGCGCGTCGGGAGTCGCTCGTAGTCACGATGAGAAGAGGCGGCGGTGGCCATGATTGGAAGACTGTGTCAAATGTCTGGCAGACTGCCGCTGCCGTGTTGCCAACTCACATCATGTCGTTGTGGCTGTCGTGGTGCGCGCTTCCGACACGCGACATGGAGCTGGAGCTGTGCAGAGAGTCTTGGCGAAAGAAAGTTCGCGGAAAACTGAAGCTCTAATTTTCTCGACCTCGACCAGACGGCTTCCTGGTGCTGCTCCCTACCACCACCACCCACCGTCCACCGCCCGCGCGCCCATCCATATCGCTGCAGTCATCCGATCGCATTCTAGCGGTCACCTACAGCCAGGATGACGCTCTTCATCCTCACCGAAACCTCGGCGGGTTATGCGCTGCTCAAAGCCAAGGACAAAAAGCTGCTCAAGCGCGATGATATTGCCAAAGAGGCCAGCACCGCCGAGGGCGTGTGTGGTCTGTTGAAGATGAAGGAGTTCCACAAGTTCACCAGCGCTGCGTCTGCGCTTGAGGAAGCTGCTGCACTGACCGAGGGCAAGGTAAGAACTTATGCAGAGATCTAAAGCTGTGCCGAGACATGCAAAGGTATTGACGAGATCAGGTTACGCCTACCCTCGCTGGCATGCTCGACAAGATCAAGGACGAGAAGAAGGTCTCGCTTGCCGTTGCCGACCCTAAGCTGGCCAATGCGATTGGCAAGCTGCCCAACCTTCAAATCACACCTGTGTCCGACTCGAGCACTGCCGATATCTATCGAGCTATCCGCGAGCATCTCCCATCGCTTATCCCTGGTCTCATGCCAGAGGACATCAACACCATGTCTCTCGGTCTTTCACACAGCTTGTCCCGCCACAAGCTCAAATTCTCCCCCGACAAGGTCGATACCATGATCATTCAGGCGATTGCCCTGTTGGATGACCTGGACAAGGAGCTGAACACCTACGCCATGCGAGTCAAGGAGTGGTATGGCTGGCATTTCCCTGAGATGGCGCGCATCATCAATGACAACCTTGCATACTCTCGTGTCATTCTATCGATGGGCATGCGAACCAATGCTGCAGAGGCCGATCTTTCAGACGTGCTTCCCGAGGAGATCGAGACCGCTGTCAAGGCAGCTGCTGAAGTGTCCATGGGAACAGAAATCACCGATGATGATTTGGACAACATTAAGGCACTTGCTGAGCAAGTTGTTGGTTTTACCGAATACCGCGCACAGCTTTCGTCGTATCTCTCAGCACGTATGCAGGCTATCGCACCTAACCTTACCACACTTGTCGGCGAGCTTGTTGGAGCACGACTTATCGCTCACGCCGGTTCGTTGATGAACCTCGCCAAGTCACCTGCATCAACCATTCAGATCCTTGGTGCTGAGAAGGCTCTGTTCCGTGCTCTCAAGACCAAGCACGACACACCAAAGTACGGTCTCATCTACCATGCTTCTCTCATTGGACAGGCGTCAGGAAAGAACAAGGGTAAGATCGCGCGTATGCTCGCTACAAAGTCAACACTGGGTCTGCGTGTGGATGCTTTGAGTGACTGGGGACAAGCTGGCAAGGGCGAAGAGGAAGAGCCAACGGAAGAGGAGAAGTCAGCGATCGGTGTGTCAGGGCGTGCAGCAGTCGAGCGAAGACTACAAGCGCTCGAGGGTAAGCCTCTCAAGGCGAACAATGTGGCCATCGGGCCCAACGGTCTCAGAACAGCTCCCGCCAAATGGGAGATCAAGGAGGCTCGCAAGTACAACGCCGATGCCGATGGGGTCGCAGCCGATGCGCCAGCAGCCGTTGCGAACGGCGATGTTGAGCCTTCTTCCAGCAAGAAGCGCAAGCTTGTGGAAGAGGTCCAGACAAATGGAGGAGCCGATGACAGCGAGGACGAGGACGACGTTGACGACACAGTCGCCACCTTCCAAGGCGCATCATCGAAGAGCGAGTCGAAAGAGGAGCGTGCGGCCAGGAAAGCTGAGAAGAAGGCAAAGAAGGCTGAGAAGCTCGCCAAAAAGGCCGAAAAGGAGGCCAAGAAGGCGTCAAAGGAATCGAAGAAGCGGAAAGCCGACGACGAAGACGAGCCTGTGAAGAAGAAGAAGAAGAGCAAGGCATAGTTTGACTCACAGGTTTTGAGTCTGTCGATCTGGTCTGGAAAGCATTCCTTTGGCGTTACAAAGCTTTGGCGGCTCGGCGTTGTTTGTTGTTCTCTTATGGCGGGAAGACGATTTCGATTGTGGATGAAATGCTCGGCGCTCGAGGCGTTCCTGACTGACTGTACACACCACCGAAAGCGTGAGTCCGGTGTATGACTGTTATACTTATTGTACACTTCCCGGAATGATTGAAGATAGTCTCCGATGATGGCCTCGCGGTTGTCAAGTGTAATGCATGTCTTCTACTCAGAAACAGTACTTGTCTCTCTTCTCCGCCATGCTTGGAACTGGCAACCTCTACACCTCTTGCTGATCATGGAGCAAATAGGCATTCCTTCCGGCTCTTCGCCAGAAATGATTTCCTGAAAGACAGTCAAAGGGCAACGTTTGCTCAATGCAAACGCCCTCCAAAGCATAAAACTTGCCTCAATACAATCGCAATCATGGCACTACTCATTCTCCATAGTATCGAAGATCGAAAGCGACGAATCCATCATGTCAGCCTCCCATCCTGGTGAGCCTCCACCACCGCTCGATACAAGACCCTTTAGCGTCACGATCCAAACCTCAGCTCAGACCTTCGACCTCACAATTCAGAACTCGACGACAGTCAAAGAACTCAAGCAAATGATCATAGGCAGTGTAACAGAATGTCAGAACTTGTATGATACAGATGGGAGGATGTATCTGATTCTCCACCCTTGGGATGAGATGGAAAGGATGTTGGATGTGGATGAGTTCGTTATGGGCACGGCGGGGGTGAAGGAAGGGGACACGATTGCAGTTGTTACAAGGCCAATTATTAAGGGCGAGGGGAAGGATTTTGAGATTGAGTATAAGTTGGTGTGAGACGCATCGATCTGAGTGAAGGAAAAGTCGGCTGGATGCACTTTCCTGCGTTGCGGTGGGATGCTGCAGTGCTGTTGCAAAACATATGTTATCCTTCGCCGACAACACTGCATACAAAGCCGTATCTTCCGAAGAAAAGCTCCACATCCTCCATTAATAATCTTCTGCTCTCAGAGCATTTCGTGTAAATCTTTCTTGCCTCGTTGTATTGACACCCAATCTGACGCGTCGAGCCAGATGCTATGCCGCTCCCGCGATCACGATAGCAACGCAGATCGTTCCACGAGATCGAAGTCACTTGGGCAGAAGCATAACAGCAGCCGCCGTACGCAAGAGCGTTGGCAACCCGGAGGTACTGTAGACGAAAGGAGGAAACGCTCAGCATGGCGGCCACGAGGCCATGGTCAGCCCCGGGAAACCTTCCCACGAACGGACTCCAGTCCGTCGCAGAATGACGCGGGTCAACGACAGGTCGTCCAGGATCAAGTTCTGTGTCTGCAACTCCACCGTGCAGGCTGTGCAGGTGGCTGTAATTCCAAGAAATGTAAGTCTACAACTTCTCCTCATCACTCTCACACTTTACACCAGTCTCCCTCCATACAACACGTCAAGATGGAATTCGTATTTGGCCTCGCAACAGCACTGCCCATCGTAAGCTCGACAGCTATTTCGGTGGTGACGGGAGTCGCACAAGGAGTTTCAGAGCAAAAGAGGGTGAACGCCGATGCCTCGAACCAAGTGCGCATGCTCAAGTTTCACGTCGACACATGGGTAGACGAGGATAAGAAGAAGGGTGTTGGGCCAGAGCTTACGAATGGCATCGTCACATTACGCGACTCGAAGGTCTGGGTGGAAGCGAAAAATGAAGAGACGAAAGAGCCGGCGCATGTGGGACATCATCCGTTCACTGGGTTTTATTTGGCCTATCCAGATGACAATCGAGGGTATACGCGCGGGCTGGTCAGCACAATCAGTGTTGATCCGCCTATGCTGAATTGGATCTATGTGGATAAGGACACATATGAGTGCAAGTTTGCTGCGCGATCCGGTAGTATCATGCACCATGTTGGTGACTACGACTGGACGAGCGAGGACAATGACAGCTGTATCACGTTTGACGGGTTCGAAGGGTTTGTTGCGGTGGAAGAGAAGCCAGGGGAGTGGGGATTGTACTTTGATATGGATGATGACGGGCTGAAGAGTAAGAAGAAGGGCAGAAAGGTGGTTGAGTTGCACTTGCAGCGGAGGGTCATCACGGGACAGGAAGTCAACAAGTGGGGACTGAAGGAGGATGGAAATATTGGATTCAAGTCTACGAAGGAGGTGGACAAGATCAGCAAGCCGAAGCCTGAGGGTGAACAGCAGCGGCAGTCAGCGATTCAACCCAAGAAGGAATGAGATGTGCTTGTCTGAGGAAGAATTTGACCCTTGCTTGACCCAGATTGCTTTTCGTGAAGGTTGTATGGATGCTGGGTGGGATTTGAGGCCTGAATGCGGCCAGAAAACAGTATCTCACCCTTGTCTTGTGTGTGTTGAGACTGACCATCGAGACGAACGCTGGCATCCCTCGATCGACTGTCCGCATGTACGACTCTTTCTACCGGAGCGCACAATGCGCGCATCTCGACATGGATGCAGCTAACACGAAAGGACTTGCTCGGAGCGTGTGCCGGGGTGCGACCGAAGCGAACGAGTACTGTATTGCTGGGCGGCGTCAGGTCATGGAGGTCGGGCAGATGACTGTGGGTGTCTCATTCACAACCGGGCGAGCGACGGCAAAACGCGATCGTCGCAACATCGAAGCACGAGGGAAGCACAGATGGGAGGGAGCAACGATATGAGCCATGGAGGTCAGGGGAAGGGAAGGAGGCAAAGTCAAGCATTCTACGTCTATCGGACTATGGAGGTGCAAGCGGGTGCGAAGCATGGAGACATGCAGCTGCATAGCAACGCAGGTATCACGCTGCCGTCGCTGCCATACATGTTGGGTATCCTGATTGATACAGCCTGCCAGCCACTGTCTTTGCCAAGCGCATCACGGGCGTGCAGTCTGTTGCGGCCTCGTCATGAGCAAGTTTCGCAGCAATGACGTTCGCAGAGCTGATCTCTCTCATCGTGAGTGGGCGAGCTCGAGGCCGGAGGCTGGCGTGACGTGACGTTTGTTGTGATCTGGGAGCTCAGGCCAAGGCGCGCTGGCGACCATAAGTACCTCGCCAGACCTTCCGTTTCTTCTCTTCCCTTTCCTCCACATCCGACTTTTTGGTTTGCGACTTCCCAAGCTCGACACCACTTGTAACACCACTTGCTCGCACTTGCATTTGCACAACCCATTGCGCCTTCTTGCACACAGCGCCGTTCATACCACCTTCTGTACATCACCACACATATCTGCGCACATGGCTCCCCGCAAGAGCGAGCGCCAGGCCACCGCGCCCACCCGTCGCAGCGGCAGAATTGCCTCGAGGGCCAGTTCGCGCGCGTCTTCCGTCGCCGACGACAATGACAGCGGTTTGTACCTTCCCATCCCCTCCCCTGCTTCCCTTTCCCTTGCGCCTTCTTCATTGTCGCCATCGCGGGTTATTGACGCAGTTGATTCAGTGCAATCAGCTGGCAAGAGCGTGATCTCGTCCAACACTCGGATCACTCGCAGTCAGAGCAAGAAGGGCGGCGTGACTCTGTACAACACCGGAGTCACGAAGAACATCTCCAAGAAGAAGAAGAAGCCCGCGGCGGTCCCTGTCCCGTCGCGTCGCGCGGTCGCACCTGTCTCAACGACGCGTCGACCTCCCTTCAATGTTGATTACGCCATTGGCTGCATCCTCTCAGAAATTCAGCGCAACCCAGGTTCACGCATCACATACCTCGACTCACTGACCATGGCCGAAAAAGACGCAGTCATCCAGAGATTCGGAGAGCGCGAAGTGCAGATCAAGGAGAAGCTCGACGATGCCGAACGTCGTGCAGACCAGATGGCTGCAGAACGCGACGCCGCCGTCGAAGAGCGCGACAGAGTTCGCATGAGACTCAAGACGCCCATGCGCGACGCCATGTTGCAGCAATCACTGAGGAGACGCCGCGAAGAATCCGTCACCTCCATCGAAACGCCTTCGCACTCGCAGACCCCTGCCGCCGCACCAGCTCAGACACCTGCCGCTGCCTCAGACACACCATTCACAAGCAAGTCTCTTGACTTCTCCACACAAGACCTCATCACTGGCACACCCGTGCAGTCGAGCGCAGACAAGCCGACGCACTCGCCAGACCCATACGCCACCCCAAAGCCACGCTCATCCACATCCATCGTCGGCTCCTTCTTCAAGGCTATTGCCTCGCCGTTCCTCTCGCGCAGAAAGTCGCAGGAGAGCAGCACACCACCACAACAGACTCCCCAAGAGAAGTTGGGAGAGCTACCGGCATCACGCAAGCGCTCAGCTCCAGCTCAACAAGAGCCGGACACATACACACAGCCTCAGGTCCAGTCACAGGCGCAGACACCGATCTCGTCGACACCAAGGCAACAGGAGCTAGCCTCGGAGCGTTCAGCAACATACACCACACCACGCGCCTCCACCACATCGAGCACACAACAGACCGCTCGCGCGTTTCTCATGCCGTCATCTAAGAACCCTCAGCAAGAGACGTCTCTTGCCACCATCACAGAGCACACCGAGACGAGCGAGCAGAGCATGGCCATCGATCCAACCCCAGTCAGAGCTCCACGCACCATTGCCGCCGTCCGCCGCCAACAGACACCATCCCGCTACTCCCACACACCACAACGCATTTGGAGCCAGACACCACAGCCCAAAGATACCAACGCAGACCGCCGTCTCGAGAAACTTAGAAAGTTCAAAGAGCTAGACGCGCAACTGCAAGCATTGAAGCAGGATGAAGAGGTCAAACAGATGACAGAGCGACCACTGAAGCGTGTCAAAGTCGACACGCTGGTCAGAATCCCACACAACAGACCAGGCGAGGCCTCTGGCACATTCCGCATGCCGGACATTGACTCTGACGACGAGATGGAGGTCGACGCCGACCAAGAAACACGCAGCAACATCTTCGATGTGTCGGCCGAAGAGGAGCCTGTCGCTGCTACCACACCAAAGGCCACACCGGCCGCACCTGCCCCCGTCGCCGCCGCTCCTACCGTCACTGCCGCCCCTCCACCACCGCCAGCATCAGCAGCTCCGCCTGCCCCGCTATTTTCCTTCCCGGATGTTGGCCGATTGGAGGGAGGGGCGACGAATGACGTCACCAACGCCTACCTTGGCGCAAAGTTCGCCTACGGGCTTGAACATTGGAAGGCAACAGGAGAACTGTTGGACTTGTTTTAGCTTGTTTTTGGGTTGTTTTTTGGTTGTTTTTAGCGTGTTTTAATAATGATTGTATGAATAATGACTGCTTCTACTTCTTTTCTCCAGTTCCAGCCGCGTTTCAGAGCCAACAAGAGCCCAGATGGGTCGCAAGCAGCCATCAGCGGGTTGTCAGAGACAGGGGAGATTTGGTGCTTTCTCTGATATTCTTACTGTTTACAGAGCCATCGGGTTTCCAACTAGGTCGCGACACGGCTCCCTCGGATCTACAGAGACATCGAAGATTGGGACCTCTCTCTGATATCTGTGCTGTTCACAGTGCCAATCTGTATCGAGCAGGCCGCGATGAGCTTTTCACGGAATTCCAGAGATACGGGAGATCTGGTCGTTTCTCCGGCAACAGTGGTGTTCACCGTGCCACCCGATATCCATCTAGGACGTGGCGAGCTTTTCGTGGATCCGGAGAGATACAAGAGATCAAGCTGTTTCTCCGATATTCGTGCTGTTCACAGCACCAACCAATGTTCAACCAGGTCGCGATGAACCTTCTGCCGAGTTCTAGAGATGCAGAAATTTCAATTGTTTCTCCAAGTGTGCGCTGTGGACGGAGCCAACTGGTATCCAAACGAACGAGATAAAGGCTTCTCTGATTTCCAGAGAAACAGGAGATCTGGCTGTTTCTCCAGATGTCTGCTGTGGATTGGGCCAACTAATGGGCGGACGGACGAGAATGAGCCTTTTCTGGATTTGCGGAGATACTGAGGTCTGATGGTATCTCCAAATATGTGCTGTTAGCCACGCCAACTGGTATACAGTCGGACGAGTTCGAGCCTTTCGCGGATTCGCAGAGATACTAGAGGTCTGGTGGTTTCTCCAAATGCGCGCTGTCTACCGAGCCACCTGGAGTACGGATGGACGAGACTGAGCGTTTTACTGATCTACAGAGATACAGGAGGACAGGGCCTCTCTCCATGATTCGTGCTGTTGTGTTGCCAACCGGTATACGGATGGCCGAGAACGAGTCTGTTGCGAATCTTTGGAGACACGGGTAAATCTGCTGGCCTTCTCCGCGAATCTCCACCTGCAGAGCCATTCTGCCTGGAGAAAGAGCGCATGTGTGTCATTGTGGACTCTCAGAGACAAAATTCCAGGATCCTTGCCTTTCTCTGGATCATGTTGCTCACCAATGCCATCCAGTATTTCCATAAGCCGCAGTGGGCTTTTACCGGATGTCTGCAGATGCGGAGACGTTTGCTGGCTTTCTCTGCTTCCACTGGTCCTGCAGAGCCGTCCAACCTCAGAACGGGTCGCATTCATGCCTTTTTCGATTCTCGGAAGCATGGAGACGGCTTGCTAACTTTCTCTGCCGTTGCCGAGCAAAAGGAATACTCTTATACTCCTTGCGGCGGTTGTGCGAAGATCATTCTTTGGTCCACAGCTCAGACAGGCCACAACGGATTCCCGTGCTGTAATAGGTGTAGAGAATTCCGACATCAACGAGACCAAGTCTATTAACGATCTTATCGACGAAGAATTCAGCAGACCTTAGCTACGCATTGCTGAAGGCAAGAGCATGCGGTAGGTCGACGGATACTGCGCAAAGGTTCGGAAGGCCGAAAAACCTGCACCTCGCCATATGATGCCAAGCATTGAAGCTGTTATGCCATACGGTCTTAACGCTGCAGGGAACGTTAGCAATTATATCGCCGAAAATCTCCTCCCGTTCACCACGCACGCAATGAATTGCCTGAAGCAGGCTTGCTGGCTTTCTCTGCCGTTGGTAATGCCGCAAAGCCGTCGAATGTCAAAGCAGGCCGCAGTCAGATCTAGTCGGATCTGCAGAGATATGAAGCTCTTCACTGGGTGTCTCCGTTGTTCTTGACTAGCAGAGCCGTCCAAGCTCGGAGAAGAACACAATCGTGTCACCTCGAATATTCAGAGCCAGGATCGTTGGGCGTTTAACTTTCTTTGGCTGCTCCTTCGTGACAAAGCTGCTCAATACGCAAAAATGGCGCAATTGGCCGATAAGGAACACTCGCCAGAAGAATACAGCACCGACGAGTCGTCGGATACCGAGCGTGGGTCTGGGCAAGAGGAGCGATACATGATGAGTGGCGGCCGTGGCAATCGCGAGGACTCCGACGGCGGTGCCGAGCTCGTCGACCGCAGCACCAAGCGCAAGCACCGCAAGGGCGCTGGCCGCAAGGGCTCCGCCGGCACTCAGAAGACCACTCCGCGCACCTTCGTCGAGGTCATCGCCGACGAGGACGTGCCAGAGCATGAGTCTCGCGTCTCTCCGCTTGCCAATCGCCGCGACCGCAGCAAAGCACCAGAGCCAGAGGCCCAGGCCACGCCTGTCTGACTCGCCACCCCTGCCTCTCCGCTCACGGCCGCTCGCGTCTTTGGATACGCCACCCAAGCTGCTTTGGCTGGCGCCGCCATCTACTCTGCCTTCCGCAAGCAGTATGCGTTCGCCTAGGGTCCGTCGGCTCTCATCAACCACCCTATGAGTCTTGCAAGAGTTGCCAGAAGCAAGATCTCAGGTCCTTGGTTTTCTCTGACTACATCTAGTCATCCCAAGCCATTCAGGATGCAGGTTGATCGCGATGAGCCGGTCGAGAATCATCAGAGAGATTACGTTTTCATCCTTTCTCTGAATTTCAGGGACAGCCAATGACATTTGAGTGTCCGAACGAGTTGCGATGTATGCTCTGGAGACCATTGGCGATCAGCTCATTGAATTGCACTCTTTCTCTGTTCGCGTTCATTCGTTAAGCCACTCGTCCAGGCGGGTCGCATTATAGCTTTGGAGAAGCATTGGAGACGGGAAGGCATATTGACTTTCTGCTGTGGCTGACCAAACTCTTCTCAGCGATCTATTTCTATTGACACATATCCGTGCATCTAGTTCTTAGCTGAGCCTGTCCGCATGGCTGGAAAGAAAATGCCAGGATGCGCAATGGTCATCAACACGGCCGCTAGTGCAACCATGGCCCCATCCAGGATCAAGAACTCCTTCTCATTGCGCATAAGAGGGTTGCCCCAGCCTCCGCTCATCTCGGGCAGACTGCAAGCTGATCAGTACTGGCATTTATCATTCGTGTATCACAACATACCGATAAATACTTCTCACGAAGATCGCAAGGAATGCAACGGAAAAGCATGCAAGGTAATAGTATAGGCCTTTTCTGGATGTGGCATCTGGCTGTCCTTTCTCGAGCTCGTCACTTCGTAGAGTCTTGGACCTGAACAAAGCGAATGCAAAGTCTGCTGCTAGAACCAGACAGACAAACATGGTCGCAACCTGGAAGGCGATACCGGCAATCATGACGCTATTTCCAGTGTTGATAATGTCTCCAGAGCCTGAAGCGGCGATGCCTCCCCCAGCGGCTTGCAAAAGAATGCTGAAAATGTCGCAGGTTATGAAGATCCAAGTGTATAGACGAGGTTTCAGTCGAGACTTTTCTGGCCCAAGAACAAGGACGATGTGCTTCAGCGTCAGGTAAATGCCGGCTGCCAGGAAGGAAGGTGAGAGAATGAGGCAGCAAATCTGCATTCTGAAGCCATCCATGTCCCATGGATTGGAGTTCATCATTATTCTTCCTCCATATCCAACAGTCTCCCCGAAGCAACCGATTGCAACGACGATCGAGAATGCAACGATCTTATATCGAATACCCAGTACGACTTGTGCAATCGTACAAATTCCGAAGACAGCGAGGAGGAAGCTGTTGCCGGCGATGTCCGGTCGATATCCGTATGTCGTCGCTTCCACAGGACATGTTGCCGACACTTCTGTACAGAACCGACGGGACATACTGACAAAATCTCGAAGAGGGAATGGTAAACAGAGAGAAAGTTTGGACCCACGTGGCAGAAGAGAGTGTGAAAGAGGAAACAATCGACCATACCTTCTCACAAGTATCCGCCAGATAGACAGGCACACCTTAGCGATAGTGCTGTCGCCGCATGCCATGCATTTTTTTCCCTTCCGCACACGCAACGGAGGCCGTAGCAGCTCCACTACGAGACCTCTCGTATCTCGTACGCTAACCCAAAATGGCTTTTGCTGGATCACAGGAAGAACGGCTCAGCCAATCATCGTGTCGCCAGTCTGACGTCGCTTCTGCACTTCGTGGCCGCCTGCGAGCCGCCGTAATAAATCCTCCTCGTACGCCGTATAGCCAGGCTGTGTAGGCCTCGACTTTCGCAATGCCACAGCGACGGATATGCCGAGCCGACGACATCACGCAAAAACGACGACGGGCTGCTACGCCTGCAAAGCCAGACGCGTAAAGGTACGAGGACGAGGACGCGAAAACACGGACTCGTTGAGGGTTCAGAGAGCTGCAATAAGACGCAATTAACGCAAGATAGTGTGACGAAGGCCGGCCAGCATGCAAGAGCTGTACACGAAGACACACTACATGTCAATACCCGTTTGATCAAGGACCAGGCACTCCCCAACATCCCCGGCCTCCACATGGACAAGATGCGGCGATCGCCGGTGGCACGCCCCACGTGTTCGATTCACTAGATCTGCTTCTTATGCACCGGTACTGCACGAACACTTCGAGTCGCTTACTTCCCAGCCCAGAGGCGACATATGTATGGCAGATGGTGGTGCCTCTCAAAGCCGAAACGCATCCAATCTTGCAGCGCGCTATCCTCGCGCTTGCGGCTATCGATCTTGCCGCAAGCCATGCAAAGGCTCCCGGAGATTCCACCTTATCAGCCCGGTATCGTGCTCGGGGTCTCCATCACCAACAGGTCGCATTGCCAATGTTTCAAGAAATGCTCACGCGTCAGGATCCCGCTCAGAACAATGTTATATTCATGTTCTCCATTATGCTGATTATGCTTGCCTTCGGAGCGTTACAGTCCACTTGCGAGCCGCCGACTGTGGAAGACATCCTCGAAGTCTTTGCGTTGTTCCGAGGACCTAGAGCTCTGTGGAATATTCGGGATACTGCGGAAACCGAGCTTGGCGAGGCTATAATGTCTGGAGACAAGCTTGAAGTCGCATCCTCGGATTTGATCACCCCCGGAGCCGAGGAGATCTTTGCAGAGCTGGACAAGACGGAAATGGACGAAGTTTGCACGGAAGCTGCCCAGCTGCTGAGAATCACTTGGGCTACGGTGAAGCTTGTTCCGAACGACCTCCGAGCTATGGCGTATTTCCCGGCCATGGCAGACGATGCGTTTTTTACAAAAGTCGCGGAGCACGATGCGAATGCTTTGTTGGTATTGCGGCATTTTGCTGTCGTCCTCAAGGCTCATGAAGAGCGATGGTGGGTTGGCAGGTGGCATGAGATCTTGGTCGCCGCGGTTGATGCTGCGTGGCCGAAGGATGTCCAGTGATCTAGAAGTTGTACACCTGGGCATACAATCTGATCTCTGTGTCTTTCAACAAGCTCCCAATTTCTCCTTAACTTCGGACGAAGTCCGATGCTGCAATTCAGGCAACAGAGCACAAAGCAGCACGAGAGAATTCAAACCAGGAAAATTGCATGCGTCGAAGAGTGTCATAGGGAAGGCAACACGCTGATCAGAGGACAGTAGCGAACTTGAAGAGTTTCATGAATTTCATTTGCGCAATTCAGGCCCCTTTGGTATCTTCCTGCTATACAAGCGTTCAAGCGCTCTACCTGGACCTGCCACCAAAGCCACGGCCACCATCTCGACCACGACCTGAGGCAACACGAAGCACATAAGCACCACGCTCGAAAGTGTTCGCAACGATAAAGCCAGATGGGAATTGGAACTAAAAAGAACACAAACATTAGCTTCTGTTTAATGACGTGTTGAGAAGAAGCTTCACTCACGTTACCCCAGCTGCCGACGAAGTCCAATGAGCCGCCGGCCGCATCGTCCTCAGGGTGCATATCGAAGAATGCGAGGGTGCTGACACGGCTTCCGTCGGGGTGGCGGGCGATCGATCGGACGTCCTTGACCCAGACACCTGCGCCGTAGTTCGACTGGAACATAACGCCATCCTCGATGTAAAGGTTGTGGTCGACGGCGCGGTGATCAGTGGACTTGAAGGTGCCGGTCTGGTAGCAAGCACAAGTCAGTGATCGATGTCTCGAGATTGGGCAACGCTTGCACTTTGGTGCTTAAGACTCACCCATTTGGGATTGCGAAGATCTGTCAGGTCAATGATGTGAGTGATGGGAACACCGTCAGCCACAACACCTTGCACCTCATCAAGCTCGTCGTTCAGCAGAACGAATTGGTGCCAGTTGCGCTCCGTCCACCATCCCTGGTGGCAGTACGTGGCACCAGGATATTCGAGACGGCCGAGCATCACGGAGTTGGCTTTGTCTGTGCTGTCCCACACAGTGATGGAGTCTTCGTTGTATGCGACGCAAATGTTTTTTCCGCGGTAGCGTCTATCTGGACCATTGTATGTCACACATTGGGCATCGTGTGTGTAGCCATCGGAGCTGGCGCATCCCGGCTTGAAGGGGTTCCTTGGATCATCCAAGTTAATGTATTCGAGACCGGCAGCGCAGGTCTGGTTGCGAGGCTGAGCGCCAACCGCAATGGCATATTCGTTGTCCCAGTCAATGACAACGTTGTGTGCTAAGAAAGTTGGAGGTCAGCATAGAAAGTTCGAGGCCGGCTGGCAGAGCCGCTCCGAAATTTGAGTACTTACCACGGCCAATGGGCAAATCATCAAACACACTCTCCACATCACTCCTGCTGAAGGTGACTGGATTTGCGGGATCGATTGCAGCGACCTTATTCATGTCAAAGATCTGGATATTGTGGCCGACAGCCTCAGATCCGATGATGGCCAGGTTGTTCAGGACTCGAATTTCTCTCCACGACGAGCCAAGAGGATCGTTAGCTGGCAGACGTCCAAGGTAGGTCATCTTGCCGCGGCGATCGATCTCAACGAAGGCAGTTCCAGTGTGTTGGCCGATAAGGGCAATTTGACGTCCTCGTGGTCCTGCCCAACCCCAGACTGATGAGCCTCGTCGGTTCGGGAAACGAGGGTCGGCTTCGCCACCGCCCAAGTCGTTGTGGTTGATGAAATCGTACAGATCCATCTGAGTGGGAAGCAGTGGTCAGCACGAGAAATTGAGATACAACGATCAGAGCAGCTTACATTATCACAGCGGAAAGTCTGCATAGGGTTGCCTGACTCTGCAATGGCCTTTCCGTCACGGCATCGCAGACGGTCGCGCTTTACGCGGCGATCGAGTTGGTCCCAGTTCTTCCATGATGGCCACTGGCTGGAGTTGAGGGCACCTGCGGCTTCGAGAGCGTCCCATTGTGCCTTGGCAGTATTAGCACGATTCAGAAATTGGGTTCACTGCACAACGCATACATTCTTCATATCCAGAATCATCTGGTGTACCTCGCCAGACTCATACTGCTCCCGCTTGAAGTGGGCAGCGCTAACCAGAGCTGGCAAAGCCAGCACAGCTGAAGTGAACTTCACCATCTTGGCAATGCGAGGTGAAGAATACGATAATAGTAGTACTGAGCAGAAATGAGCAAATTCTTTCCAGCACACACAAGTGGATTATATATTGCGTAGCCTCTTGCTCACTTTCCTGTTCTCCGCTCATAACCTCTTGTCCATCCAAGTAGCTCATTGCCATCCACCGTCAAGACGCACACGAGGTCGACCTTCCTAAAATGGATGGTATGCCGAGAACAGAGATGTCTTGGCCGACCTTGCCCAAGATCCATGGCACATGAATTCTGAAGATAGCGGACGCTGATCTCATCACTTTTGGACCTGAGCCATGGAACACAACGTGGGAGCGGAGAAGAGTCGTGCGGAGACCTTCCAGATACGGTGGTTGGAGGGCATGGCACGCCAACTACTTTATCTCTTGGGACGAGGAGGCGACTCTTGAAAGTGCAAGCATGGAAGCTGGGCGCAGCGGCTCAAGAATTGAGTACGAGGTGCAGTGTAACGTTGTTATGCGCGGCGAGCAACAAGAGCCGTTGTAGTCCTTCGGACTGGCCGACGGCATTCTGCTACACGCGTCACTCAGAGATTCAGCAGCAAGACTTCGCATGAAGATAGTGTGGGGTTGTTGCCGTGCTTGACTGCACTTAAGGTCGTAGGTGCTTGGAAGAACTTCGCCGCACATCAAAGATGCACCCAGTGGAAGGTCTGGTGATTGATCGTCCTGATGGGTTGGTCCTACACCTTTGGTATGCTTGATTTGCCTGGAATCCTATGCCAGTAGATGAAGTCAGGAGATTGCAGAGCAGACCACTGTGAAGGTGTGTGCCTGGTCCACAATTAAGCTCGAGGAACGATGCCACACCTTCGAGACTGTGCGTTCACACCAACCGACTTGATTGATGAGCGCCATAAAGTCTTGTTGAACGAATTAGGTTGTCATTTTCTATTAATACAGTCGCTCGGGTCAAAAGAAAATCGTACAACTCAATGATCACCCTAGAATCTTTCCCAAAAGCCCTCCAAGTGGCGCGGAAGACTTCTTGGAGCCTTTGTATCCATTGTAAGCCTTCGTATAGCCGGGGTATTTGGCGAGAGCAGCTCTAATACCATTCCGGTTGAGCGCATCCAGCTGAGGACAGTCCAGAGTGTCGACGAGGGGTTTCGTGGCTGGACCGAGCAGATCCAAGGCTGGGCTAATGTTATCAAACAACCCCTCCAGCGCGTCCGGAAGCATCTGTATCACGAGTTGAAATAGAAAGCACGGACCATTGTTGCCTTCGAGCAGATTCGCAGAATTAATGACTCCGCCCGTTAGGTTTCCGAGATCGACACCAGAGTACGTGTTGACTTTCCCAGTATTGCCTCCCACGCTCGCCAGGCTCGGATACTTGAGAGTCATGTATGTGGCATCTTGCTGGACGTATACTGACGAGTAGGCATCGATGGGATGACGCTTGTACCAGTTGTCGGGAATCCGTTCATGACCAGGTGTATACTTGAAGTTTCCATCTTCGCCTGTGATGGAGTAGAAGGACTTGAGGATTGCGCCATTCAGCTTGCCTCTGGGATGTTCAGCTGATTTATTGCCCATCATGCGATAGACAAATGCCCAGGCAGCAGGCTGTGCTGTGAAACCAGCAAAGCCTCCGTAAAAGAAGTATGGATTGGTCGCAATGCCTTCTTGGAAGCGGTCCCATCGATAGTCTGTGAGGAGCTCCAGGTCGTAGTCGTCCTTCGCTTTGCCACGGTTGTAGAGCTCTTGAAATTGCTTCATTTGTAGCAAGTGCGAATTCCCGCTGCATGACGGCATTAGCTGACAGCCTACAACAACAATGGGTTCGATCATACTATGTATACAAGTCTCCACGAGTGGGGCTGCCGTCGCCTTCATACTTGTTATGCGATCCAGTGAGACCTTGCGGCTGGCCTAGCAGTCCAGGGAGGAGCTGTACTCTCGAGTCTGGCCCACCAATAGACCATTTGGTCAGACTCCCGTCGATAATCGCTGCATATATGGCCAGCAACGTCGAGAGATCGACTGACATGCCGAAGCCTGCCTGGACTTAGTTCCGAGCGAGCAGGTGCAACCATGGGCTCATACCTTTGCCTGTCGCTTCGATAAATTGAGGTATCGTCGCAATTCCTGAATGGGGCAAATAATTATGGTTCGCCAGAGCGTTCAGAGCTGTGCGTGAGGTCAGTAAGAACAATTCGTAACATCTGGACCCGATCTCACCTGGACATGGGCCTCTCTGATCACCTTTACCAGGTGGCACGAACTTGTATTTGCCCGTCGTCTCGACACGCTGCAATTCGGCATCGAAAGGTGGCACAATGATAGGTAATTGGCGTTTGGATGGTGAGGACTCTCGTGGAATCAGTCCTTGAAGGTCTGCTGGAAATGCTGAGCCAAGCTCGCACAGCGAGAGAAGTATGGGCAAAGCCAACATTGTCGTTCAGGCGTCGTGGAATGTGATCCGTAAGGCTAGCACAGCCTGCCGTTGCTTACCTTTTGGTCGAAGGCTTATGGCTTGAACTAGTAGCAGCGCCGGTGACGACACTGCTGGTCAACCCGTGTCCCTGGGCCGAGCATGATAGTCGCCTGGTATTCTGTCATGCAGGCCACATGGCCGTTAGGATGAGAGTCAGCTTGTGCCAAAGGCAAAAATTTGCGATAGGCCGGAGAGGGTGGCACAGACCGACAAGCTGCCCAATGCGAAACCCATGTGGTGTTGAGTATATGATTCATTTTTGTGGTTGGTCATGTAGAGTCGCAGGCAGGTTGTTCTGTGAGAACGCACAAAATCAGTTAGCACCGCCATTAGCCCTGCCGTTTGCACGACAGTAGATCACCACAGCCTGGGTAAACTCCCGCCAATCATCCAATGCCATCCACGCGGAAAAACTGTCAGGGGTCTGTGGTTGTTCGGAAGCGTGGTTGATTTCCGGCCTTCATCGATGCCATGCAGCATACGGAAGTATGTTATCATCGGCATGCCGAGATCGTCAATGTGAAGGTCGTATCTGGTCTTTCCAAAGGATTATGCTTCGACGGGGCGGTCGGACCGCTCGAGTTCGGGAAGTCTTTCTTGGCAAGAGGTCATTATCGACATGCTTCATGAGTCGTGCACAGCGCTACCACAGCAAGCAGAGCTCAGAGCCGCTGATCATGGTCCTCCTTCCAGCCATTCAATGTCATTGTAACGCAATCCAAGCTATTTCCTAGTCAGTTAAGCGACAGAAGGCAGCATACCAGTTGAGCATGTTCCGTCGAGCCGATCGGGCTCATCGCAGCCAAAGTCGTACTTGTGCACTGTACGCATTTGAAATATCGTCCTATCTTGACGAGACTGCGAGATAGATCCGGTTGAACCGGGTGTCAACGAACTGTCGATCGGACCGCTCTGGCAATAAGGAATCTATCGCCATATACTCCACCTGTTCACGTTGTCCGGTCGAGCACGGTTAAAGGCCTGCCGCTTCGAACCTTTCCACTGCATGTCGAATTCCTCCACTACCGACCTCGTATGTGATTCGTATTTCACAACCGCATGTTTGACACCTGGTAGCATTGCCTACAATAATGTCGATCTCGAATCCAGCACCCGTCAAAGCGAATCCGTCGCCGGGCGAGGTTGCGCAAAGCTCTACTGGCTTCGTGGAGCATGATCAAGTCATCACGCTTTATGCGGTGACTGGAGTATTCTTGACGTTGGCAGGTGAGGATACGCGTCGTTTGAGAGCACATGGTCGACTCAGCTAATTCTCTGCCATCTAGTAATCGCTGTAGCATGTCGTGCCGCCGTGCTCGTATTGAAGCGTAGCAGAGGCGGATGGGATGACTGGACGACAATTTTCTGTCTTGCCCCGACAGCAGCTCTTGCGGCGGTGACGAGCGTGCAAGCCAATTCGATATACAAGGGACCGAAACCAGACCAAGCGCCGTTCGCATGGCTCCAGCGGATTTTGATTGTAGGGCACTGCTCAATGTTGACTTCTGATGTCCCAACTGACACAATCGTCTAGGAAACATGGGTCATCCAGATCCTGACGATCACATCGCTGTATGTCTTCAAGTTGTCGATTTGTATCAGATATCTCCGGATCGCAAACGATCTCTACGACTGGTTCTGGCGCTTGACGATGGCTATGATTGCCCTGCTTTCAGCACACTACATTAGCTCATTCGTGACATGGGGAGTACAATGTGTTCCGGCCAGGAGATATTGGGACCCTTCAGTGCCGGGCTCTTGTATCAAGCAGTCCTCATGGATTCTATGTGAGTTGCCTCCAGAGTATACCTGATGCATGTCTGACATTGGCGGAATGCAGCGGTGAATGGCGTCAATCTTGCAACAGATGTCATGGTCCTGGTCCTTCCGATATATCCCGTCGCAAAGCTCAGGCTACCACCCAAGCAGAGGCTTGCCATTCTCGCGATCTTCACAGTGGGTGGCTTGTCCACGATAGCAGGATGTCTCCGATTCTATCATCTCTACCGTTTTGATAGGATGATTGGTAGTCTTGGAGCGAACACATTGGACATCGAGATCTGGTAAGAAGAGTGGTCTTGCTGGTTCAAACAGTGCAGCTAATCACATGGATCGCAGGTGCTTCATCGAAATCACCCTTGGCATGTTCTGTGCCTGCATGCCTGGTTAGTCGCACCAAGACTCCATATATTGCGACCCTGCTAACGTGCATCCTCATAGCGTTCCGAACTCTGTATACATTCTGCCGCTATGGCAGACAGAAGCCATGGACACCTGAGAAGACCACATCGCAAGGCAAGACCAGCGAGTCGTCTGCGCGAAACCGCTTCAATTTCTTGAGCAAAAATAAGTTGGCTCCCAAGATTTTGCGCTCCATCCAGGCATCGGGTTTCGATGTCGAACCTGATATCGAAAGGGTGTACCAGCAAAATCTTGACGGCATCGAAACCACCCGAGGAGGCCGTCAAGCCTCGATAGGTACGAGCTTGACAGCTACTGAGACGGGAAGCACCAGCAACAAGAAGCGACCGTATGAGAGCGACTGATTGGCATTCAGCGTGGATCAGTGCGATGGCAGTTGAGGCCAGTCGTCTATTGCAGGCATCCGCAGCTTACGTTCCTGCAAGCCTGAGAACGCAGATAACCCAGGCAATACTGGAGTGTAGTGACGTGAGGAGCGAGAGCCCAAGGGTAGTCTCGATGACCTGTCCCGAGTAGAGGCGTTTGTCATCCTTGAAGTCGTCTTTAGGCATCATATACCCAACATGCGGGGCAGTCACTTAATCCAGATATCCCATTTCATCGTCAATGACGCCTTTGAGGCCTTTCGGCTGCCGCATATATCCTGCATTGGGTGGTGGCCATGATCGCACTTTAAGCCGTAATTGCTCGGCATCTTCCAACGCTTGAGTCAGGCCTTCCAACTTCCCGTGAACCACATAGTCTTGCTGTGCCAAAGCTTCGGCAAGCTCCACCTGATGGTTGTCCAAGAGCGCTTCGTTAGGCACAACAACAAGTGGGACTTGGATGCGAAGTGCGTCGAGAATTGTGCCAGAGCCTAACAAGTCAATATCAGCATAGCCGCTCCTTGAATTATTCGAAAGGACCGCAGCGTACCAGCGTGACTGATGACAACCCCCTCTTGACCTCCTTCAACGCCCTTCGCCTGTTTCATATACTTGGCCAGTCCTGCCTTATCAATGGTGAAGCCCTGGATGTTCAGTACACTACCGCTTTCACTATTCTTCGCAGTGGTGATGAGAGAGTCGAATAGCTTCTGGCCATCCTCTCCGTACTGCACGAGCAGGTCTGTGTAGCCTTGGTTCTCGAGTGCTTCCAGGAAGTCGTGCTGAAGTACGCCTTTCACCAAACCACTGAAGGAAGCTGTAGCACCGATCGTGACGAAGCAGGTCTTCGAAGACATTGCAAAAGAACACTGTGCCGTGTCTACATACTGTCGCGGAGGAAGGAAGGGCTGTGGGTGAGGTGCATGTACGCAAGGGTCGTCAATGCGGCGAACGCGGAGGTCTTGGTCTTGGCACGCGGAAGTGAAGCCAAGTGATGAGCATCTGGCACTCATCTACTCTCCATTCTCATATCATGGCGGCACCATTGAAACGAGTCTGCCGACAGGCGACTCAAACTACCTCGAGATGGACGGGCCCATCAGCATCGCGTGCGAGCCTCCCTCGAAATGCACAATGGCACCAATGCCGCCCTCTTTCCCAGACCTCCCGCGCCATGGCCCAGCAGGAGCTAGTCGAGAACGACCTGGACACCTACCTCGAAGCGCTCGACGAGAATCTGCCTGTAGAATCTGAGTTATCCTCCGCAGCCCACGCCGAACTCGACCAACATCGCGAACTCCGAGAAATGATGCGCCTCGCAGCATGGGAAATGCCATTCCTTGCCCAACACGCCAAACCCTTCGTCCGAGCCGAGCGAACCGCAGATAAGACACCCCTGCGTTGGCGCTACACCACTTATTTCTCAGAATCGCATCCGGCGTCGCGAAAAGTGGTTGTAGAATTCAAAGTGAAGCATCTCGGGCTTGGACCAAAAGAGACAGAGAAACTCAAGAAATTGGCTGGAAGCCGATACAACCCGGAGACGAAGCAGTTCAAGATGAGCTGCGAGAGCTTCGAGACGATTGCGCAGAATAAGCGATATCTTGCGGATACGGTGGACAAATTGATTGCGGAAGCGAAAGATTTGGAGACGGATTCGTTTGAGGATGTACCATTGGACACGAGACATCACAAATTCAAGAAGAGGATGCAGTTTCCGGAGGAATGGAGGATGACGGAAAGGAGGAGGCATCAACTGGATAAGGAGCGGAGGAAAGCATTGCTGGCAGAGGGCAGGAAGGTGGAAGAAGGGCAAATCGTGTCTGGTGCGGCTGCCATTGAGGCTGACAGGCAAATCAAGTTAAAACAGGCGGAGGAGGCCGTGATGGCCGAGGCGAAGAAGCCATTACCTGCAGGCAAAATGGGAAAGAAGCAAATGGGTCAGAGGGGCCGATAGTGAGCAGATGCATGTCAACGGTACGGTGTAAGAATGTGTACAGCTACTACAGAGGCTCTGAACTATGTTTCGCGCTCACACCATTTCAATCCTGGACAAAGGTACGCTGCAAAGCCACTCTCTACACAGCATGATCCGCATGGAACTTCACGGTGACATCCATCGCCATCTTCACTTCCTGGGCATCGAAACTCAAGTCCTCCGCTTGCACCTGCTCACCAGCCTGCGGTCCCGCCCTTCTCGCAGCCGGGGCACTCTGCATGCTCATCGAAGCCATAGCCCCAGGGCCCGAGCCAAACAGTCCCCCGCCTCTCGCTGCCGCAGCACCAGAACTTCCCCATCCAGAGCTCATGACATCTCTCGCATCGCCTTCTTGTAACTCAATCGGCCTCACATTCGTACATCCAAGCACCTCACAATAGTCCTTCGCCTTCTGGATTGCGTCCTGTGTAGCTTCCTTTCTCAATTGCGATTTGAATGATTTAAGCGTCGCCTCTGTCAGGATCCAATTGATATTCTGCACTTCGACATGAGCCAAACTAGATAGTTTCGTGCCGAATGAGCCCAGAGCAACAAAATCTCGAAATCGGATATCGAAGTTCACGCTTGCGTTGTAGATACGGGAAAGTTCTTTATCGGGATTCTTGTGATTGTAGGGAACGTATGATGTCGAGCTCAGTGAGGTTTTGGACCAGTGGGCCAAGGGAGCTGCAGTTTTGGCTTCCTGGCTCTCGTCTTTGGGACAGAGAGGTCGGAGTAGCGCTTCGATGTGTCGAGCTGTCGTGAGGACTTCTTCTGACACCACGGCTTTCTTGTTCCCGGAGCTTGAGACGGACACGTTGATCAAAGCTCGTTCGGCGGGGTGTGGAATTTCGGCTTTGCCAGTTACCAGGAGCTGGAATACATTGGGGTTGACCGCTTGGGGGGACATGGTGGCTCGCAATGTGGCTTGCAATGGGAGCCAAAAGAAGGGTGATGGTTCTGGTCGGGTTGCAGCGCGAGCGTATGCGGCGGCCTGCTCCCGTTGGGAGAATGCTATCTGTCTTTGTCGAATCTCTGATTGTTCCATCTGCGAGGATGCATATCAAGTGCCTTATATAGCTGTGCTAGGCAGCTGCGCCCTCCTCACTGCCTGCTGCGGCCTTGGCGTTGCCTAATTCTGGACACGAGAGACTCGTACGCCCTGGAAGCCAGTTTCAAGCATGTTGAACAACGATTTGGAAAACTATGCAAATCGTTGTTGTACATGTACCAGCAGTCCATGTTGTGCTGCTGCTTACGTCACACTCGATCACATGCAAACTGACCAGCATCAAATACGATACCCCTGTCGAGCTTGAAACCAGAGGTGAATACGACGATAGTGTATGTATACTGTGAGGCCAAGCATGCAATAGATTTGCTACCTCGAATGTATTTCTCGCTTGTTCGCCACGTTTCGCAGCTGGCTCGTCACCCTCTGGCTAAGAAGAACACGGCACAGGGCCGCGGAATCTCTCAGAGGGTTGCGTTGCCGCACCAATAACTCCGCCCTTATGACAAGATGTCAATCGGCATGCTCTTCCTACCGGAGAGCATCTAGCACGAAGCGCCCGATGGAACTCCCTTGCACTTTGTGCTCTTCTCTCCACCAGTGATCGCAACACCCTCCCAAGTCCAGTTCGAGCACGAGGCGCAAAGGAGATACACCTCCGTTCCCTTCTCCGCAACAGTGCCCTTGACATTCTTGATAGTCACATCGGTGATCGGAACTCCTGACGTTGGGGTGCCAGTTGGCGAGCCGTTCTCGTAGTCCTGCTCGATGACAATACCATACTTGGCGATGTTCTTGAGCGTGATGTCAGAGTATGTGATGTTCTGGACAGATCCAGTAGCATCGTAGACGGTCTTGATGCGGACACCGTTGTCGGAGTCGGAGATAGTTGAGTTACTGATCACGACGTTCGTGACGTCGTTGTCTGAGCGGCCGCCGACTGAGCCGATGGAGAGACCATGACCGCCAGAGCAAGTGCCACCGGTGAAAGTTATGTCGGATCCGGAGTTGATGGCGAGGCAGTCATCTTGGTTCTTCACGTTGGCATTCGTGAAGTGCACGCCGGTGCTTGACCCAACATCGAAGGCGTCTGTTTTTTCACATTCATGTCAGTTGACCTTCTCAGCGTTATCACATGGATTGACTCACCTGTGTTGTGTCCGAGATCACCAGCGGCAGAGTTGTCAAGCGTGATGTCCTTCAAGTTGATGTTTTGGCACTGGTTGACAGAGAAGCACTGAACTGGGTAGTTCTTGATGTTCAAGCCCGAGATCGTAGAGTCGATCATCTTGTGAGCGGCGAAGAACTTTGGCTTTGTCTTGCCTCCGTTGCTGCCCTTGCCATCCCACCACTTGGCGCCGTTACCATCAATGACATGGCCAGAAGCACCAATAACCTGGATTCCAGTACCAGAGACGCTGATCAGGGGACCTGCCCATTCTTTGTAGCCAAAGGTAGTGGTGCCTTCGAAGGTAACCTATACTCCATTAGAGCTACAACAATTTGATGCATTTTGGTGACACCAACAGTAGTTCCTTTGTTGAGGCCTTCCAAGTCAAGGGTTACACCGGCTGGGACGGCGATGTCCTTGAGAATGATGTTGCTGCGACGAGACATTAGCTACCGCGACAGTTCGGATCGCTCGTTTCATGTATCGCTTACGAGCAAGCAGTCTTCGAAGCCTTTGCAGCTGCTGCATCTGTAAACGTGCAACCGGTGCTAGCGTAGCTGCTTGTGTTGCTGATACTCGTTGGCTTGAGTGCTGGCAGAGCAGCAGCAAGGCCGGCTCCGAGGAGCAGCGAGGCGATCGTCTTCTGGCAAACCATTTTTGATTTCTGAAAAACCACCAGGGTCTGTGATAAGGAGCGTAGGGAAAGCTTGGAAGTGGAAAGAAGCTTCGGAAGGAGTGAGTGAATGGAGTTGGACCAGCCTTGCGGATTGGGTGCGCGTGTAAACAAGAGACAGAGGCGAGTGCTTGACAGAGCTTGACAGACTTGGCCCTATATATTGTATATAGGTTCTGCAGCAACCGACCTGTTCTGGGGCAGGAGGTCGCTTCGGCCAGGCGTGGCCGATTTTTCCGGCTCGATATGAGCGGTGGAATACATATTGCTGTGGAGCAGAGGCGTCGTAGTCGAGCATCCTTCGGTCGAGAACCTCAAAGGTGGAAATCTAAGACTGCGCGCTTCTATGTGAAACGAGTCGATGGGCGTGGCAAGCGAACTACGGAACATTAGCCGAATTGGGGGGACAGGGATGTGGGTCAGGACGCAACTGACCGACGTCAACAGTTTGACGATACAGTACCAATTCAGACGTGAGAATGACTTGTACGAAGGCGCCTCGCATGCAATCTTCCATAAATTGGAACTCCGAGGAGGGAGCAGCGTGAGCAAATTTTGTTGCTTAGATTTCCGGCGTGCACGTTCGTTGCGCATGGCCACACTAAACGAGCTTCATTGTCCACCATTAATATATCGCAAGTTCGACGATATATCAATGATGACAGTCTGGCCGTTCAATTGGTCTTCGAACGATCACGAGCTCTGTTTGATCCGCAAAGGGGCAGTCACATTGAGGTCGCTGTCATACAGCACTGCCGATTTTCCGTTCCCCGCAGGATTCCTGGAAGATTATTCTTGCGTCGCAAGCACTCAATGTGTGCCGATCGAAGACTTGTTGTCATTTGGGCAGGTGCTCTACGAGCGGCCCCCCAAAATCCTCACTTGCCACCGAAAAAGCTGGTAATCTTTGCATTTGCATTTTTGTCCGGTGTTTTCGCGATCGTATTGTTTGAGGTAGCGCTTCTGGGTTTCCTGCTATTAGCACCTTTACCAGTGACGCTCTTTGCTGGGGACGGGGTAGCATGTTCGACCTTGATTGCTTTCTTGACAGGGCTTTCGACTGCCGCAAGTAGAGACGCGTCGTCCACCTCAGAGATCTCGCGCTTGATGCCCCTTTCCACCTGCTCATCCGCAGCTTCGATCATATCCTTATCGTCGAGCTCAGCTGTGTCTGCTTTAATCTTCTGAGACAAGTCTCGTTCGCTCTCCTCCTTGGGTTTCGGGAGAGGAGCGTTGTCCTCCGTGTTTTCCACTTTGAACGTGGTAACTCTGTCTTCATCCTCGTGCTTATTCTCATCTGCTTCCTTCAGAGAACGCGCGGCTTCAGCTTTGGCCGCCATATCCTTCGCAGTCGCCTTCTGATTGCCAAAGAAGTTTGCAATATTCTTTTTGTTCTCGGCGCTGTTGACAGGGATAATAAATTGAGGACTATTGTTACCAACCTTACCGACGGCCTGATCAACAGGGTAGCATTCGAGTTCGCCTTCATATGGCTTCAGCATGCTCTGCAGTTCTTTATTCCAGCCGATGAGATTCGGGTCAAGCCAGGCCTTCAGCTCGTCACTGCCAGGCTCGAAGATGACCGGCATACGATCGTGCAGGAATTTGAGCTGCTTGTTTGAATCCGTCGTGATGATGGTATACGTGTATAACTTCTCGTCGCTGCCTTCGTACTGGACCATGTCCCACAGACCAGCGAAGCACATCAGACGACCATCTTTGCGCTTCATGAAATGTGGTATCTTTTCCTTGCCATTGTTCTTTTTCAACCACTCGTAGAAGCCTTCGGCAACCACGATACAGCGCTTTCGCTGCTTCATGGTATTCCACATGCCTCGATTCTCAATCAGACTGTCGTCCCTACAATTGATGGTCTTCATCTGGCTGCCATAGTCGGGCTGTCGCTTGGTCCAGAAGGGCACGAGCCCCCATTTGGCGGCCTGGAGCTTGTACTTGGGTGCTTGGGCTGCAGTCTGCGACGAACTTGTCTTGTTTGGAGAGGCTTCGCTGCCATCTTGGCCATTCTCGGCGTCGTCGTCGTTACCGGCGCCGTTGTTTCGGGGTGCAGTGTCGGCTCGGTAGATGAGTCCGTGGTAGCCGGGAGCGAAGTTGTAACTCTGCCTGAGACGCCCGTCATCGTCGGGTGGAGCATCGTCGACAGGCATGTTTTGCTCAGCGAAATGCCGCCGGACCCGCGACGGATGCCACGACATGGCGTAGCGGCCGCACATGGCGATGATTCTGCGATGTGAACTGTCGCTGCATGTGAATTCTACGAAGTGGCAAGGCTGCAGCAGGAAGACGCGCAGTTGAACGCGTTGTCGTCATCAATGGCTGCAGCTCCGCGCAAGTCCCTGGAAATTTGATCGACTTCTCGTCTCATCCATTGCCTGACCACTTCCATCGCCATCATGTCTGGACGACCTCTGCTGCGACTGCCATTGCGGCAGGCAGCTGGACAAATATCTGGTCAAGCACGAAATTTACACCGTGTCTCTGCGCGAACGCAGCTCCGGCCACAGCACGCTCTCCGACGCACTCCGTTGCAACATGGCCAGCAGAGACGGCAGGCCTCTTTCATGGAGAATGCCAGAAACCTCACACAGCAGAATCCAATATCAGTGGCACTCGCAGTAGTAATTATCCTTGCCGGAGCTGGCAGCGTCGTGTATGCAAACTATCTCTATCAGTCCTACGTTCTGGCAGCTTTCCACAAGTATCCAGAACCGGTGGCGAAGAAGTTGCGCAGGGCATTGTACTACACCAATACGGACTTGCAACCGAAAGAGGCGCTCAAATACTACAAGCAAGCTCTGCACGAGGCGGAAGAGATTCAGATGGACCCGTTCTCGGATGAAATAATTGGCGTCAAGATCCAGGTCGCGAAGCTGCTCGAGGACATACAACAGTGGTCGAAAGCCATCGAAGTGCTGGAACGTACACGATCGAACAATCTGGAGTGGCTCGAGCAATTTGGACAACTCGAGCACAACAAGCAGAAGAGGACAAGCGTTCTGGCAAAGACGGTGGGCATATCTGTGAAGCTGGGTGAGCTGTACGGCCACCCAGCGATCTACGATCGAGATGCAGCCCAGGAGAGATTGGTCTGGGCAGCAGAGACGGTCTTGAAAGAACAGCAAAGACGTGTGAGCAACCAGGTCAAGGACGAAGAAGAAGGCGAATGGATGGGCAACGACCAGATTGGCGCGGCACTAGAGGCACTCGCTCACAGCTACGAGGCCAAGAGCCAGCACTATCTTGCAACGCCGCTCTTTCTTCAAGCTCTGAGCTTATATCCTACAAAGGACTGTCACACAGTGGTCCTCATGAACAATCTGGCTTCCTCCTTGGCGCAACAGTCCCCCGGTGCAGCACGAGCCGCACAGGCATATGCGACTTCACAAAACATCTCTGAGCGACCTACAGGACCAGCCGCCTCGCGGGAGAATATGATCGACAACGCCAGACGGTGGGCACAAAAGGCTCTGGACGTGGCAGCTGGAATTGCAGCGCCTGAAAGAAATGAAGAATGTGACATTGGCTGTGCTGTGGCGACCCACAACCTAGGAGAATTTGCCGAGATGAGCAGTGACATTGATCTTGCGAGAAAGAAGTACAAGGAGGCTATCAGCCTGGCTCGGGCCGTTGGCTTCGAAGAAGGGGTCGAACAGAGCAGCGCAAGGCTGCGCGAGCTTGCGAAGGCTGGATGAGATGGTCTGAGCCTTCCACAAAGCAGAACATCTGGTTGCGACTACTCTCACCACTCGCATATCAAGTTCATGTGGTAGTACACATCTTGCTGGCACGTCAGCGACAAGGACGTTCCATGTTCGGGAAGAGCATTGCATCGCTCCCGTCGTTTCGACCACATCTCTCCTCGATGGCTTCGACATGCTTGCCACTGCATGCCCCGGGACCGAGTCCGCGATGTCATGCATGATGGGCTTCTAACCAAGAAACTCCCATGCGAGTAGCGGAAATTCTACCGACATACGACCGCTACGCGCCAATGCAGAGATGTCCTGCTCGAGCACTGCAGGAGATGCTGAATTTCACGGTTCTTGTGCAAGTGAGCATTTGGTAGAACGAATGACAGTTTGAGGAAACGAATGGTGGTGTGGATTGGGGAAGCAGGCATGCAGAATGTGGGGAATTCAGCTGGAAGTAATTCCTACTGGAGCTTCACGACCTGCTAAGGCACGCGCCGTGTGCCGACGCTGCAGTGGACAGAGTCAATGCCGTGAAGGATCAGGCATTTCCCGTACAGCATGGAGTGGAAGGATGTGACGATGTGTGCGCTGATCGCTTACAAGGACTGTGCCGCATAGCAGGTACGAATTGCTCAAATCATCGACGACCACTTGCATTATGATCACATATTATTGCTGTTCAACTTCCCCTTGAGGAAACCCGGACTCGCAGTTCTATCGAACAACCTTGGCTCGGATCCTGACCGCTGATGTCTCAGTCTGTGAACCTAGGGCCCGCACTGCGTCTTGACGGCAGGAACTAATATTGCAGCACTATTAGTGAATCCTGAATGCGATCGCATGGATGTCAACCACACCATCACGATGACCAGACTGCTCAACCGCACGATCGCACTGCTCGCCATTCTCATCACGGCGTTGACAACTTTGTGGCTCAGGTCCTGGGTTGCTCGTCGATCTGAGCTTCCGCACAGATTCAGTTTGCAAGGGAGCTCTTTTCTCTCCTCAACCTGCCGTCGGCCGGACGATTCAGGCAGAGAGAGGTACATAGTGGTTGGTTGACGCCCAGAATCCGGACGGCTTCGTCCGCCAGGAACAACCGGGAAATTTCTCCAAGCTCGCTTCGACCTGTACATCGTATCGTATTTGCTTGCAGTCTGATGATCCTCATCGTGTATGTATGATGAATTTCGGACTTGAGCGATAACGACTGCACATGTGACAGCAATGTCATGCGAGTGTGCATTCAATTCGTTCGCCTAGCGCAGGTCACTGGCAGGACTGTGTGTTGTTCTAGCGCTTCTTGCTGCATCTCTTTCGCGCGATGACGATGCGCGTTGACTGGGATCTTCGTTTAGCACGGCGGGTTCGTTTTTGCAAGCTTTTGGTCGATCAACGACATTGGACCCGACAGGCGTTTGGCCGTCGGCGAGAAAGTCTGTTCCTCGCGTTTTCCATCTTGGGGAGCATCACATGCGCAGTAAGAGCTCTTTCGAGTCAGGTCATGGAGGTGGAAACTTTCGTATCACGGCTGCACAGATAAGGAACGGAATTCATGATATTGGTGCTATGAGACATTGCTGTTTGCACTGAGCACTTTTTGGCAGCTCGTGCAGGGTTCGTCTTCGTCAATCTGCTGCTAGAGGGTGCTAGCAGAAACGAAGTGGCTCTTGAACACGTGGTAATGAGCCAGGGTGTGGGAGACGCGCTATCGTACACCGGACGGACTCACTAACATGACTGCATTGTAGGCTTGTAGCAAGTACATTGGTCTGTGTCGTGGTCAGATCGTGGACGGCAATCATCAGTCGCAATGTCTTATCCCTCCTCCACATTTCTAGTGAAATGAGCCTTGTGAGTAGCCTGCGAATGAGTCTCTGCACTCAGCCCTCTCTGCCCGAGTGACGCTGCCGATGGTGCTTCATGTGGCCCTAGTATACGAACGGCTCGCTTTCAGATCTGGAGAGACCCTAGCAAATACTGGTGAGACATCCAGGACAACAATAGTTCCATCGCTTCTACGATTCTGCCAATCCCAGCGAGCTGAATGCACACGGTCGATGTGGTCGATGGACAGGAGACGTGCAGTCCTAACAGCAGTCAAACGAGGCGATCCGTGATTGCTGGAGAAGGACTGGCGTTGGGCGGCGAGGCCTGGCACCATACTGTAGCGGCAGTGGTCTGAGTGCGGAATTCTACCATGCTTCTAGCTTCGCCGATCATGCACACGGGGCAGCGCAGTTCGTGTCATTTTCACGGCGGCGTGTATCGAGGGCTCGCGCATCAGAGCAGCGCGGACAGAGCATTGGCCGTGGTGAGATGGAGGCTTGGAGGAGGCCGGTGTGTGCCGCAGCGCGGCTGCAATTAGCTCGTCTGCCGGTATCCTTGCCTGTTGACATCCGGAGGCCACGCGCGCACGCCTGGCTGCGATCGGCTAGCTGCAAGGTGTATGCTGTCGGCCAGTGCAGCTCCG